CAAAAAAAAAATCCGGATTATATCCGGATTGACCCGGATTTTGAATCCGGATCAGATAATCCGGATAGAAACCGGAAACCGGATTGGATTTACAAATGATCGGCAATAATTCTGGCCAGAATTATTGCCGATCATTTGTAAATCCAATCCGGTTTCCGGTTTCTATCCGGATTATCTGATCCGGATTCAAAATCCGGGTCAATCCGGATATAATCCGGATTTTTTTTTTGTGTAATCCGGATGACGGTTTTCATCCGGGTCGAAGCACTAGTCATCCGAAATATATAGGTTTATAGTGAGTGACAGTGTGTAAAATTCATGTGCACAATGTGCACATGTGCACATTTTAATTTTTATGTGCACAATTTTTAAAATTTAATTTGCACTATTGTGCACAAAATTTCTTAAAGAAAATATTAATAAAATTAATAAAAATGTGCACTATTGTGCACAAAAATTTTTTGATTGTACACAAAAAAAAATGCTTTATGTGCACATGTGCACATATAATTTTTATCAGATCTTATACACTGGACTTTATACCAAAAATTAATTGACAATCCGGACAATAGGTTATCCGGATTCAATCCTAGGATATTATCCAATTTGAGGAAAACTCTAATTAAAAGATTGTTGCTAATAAATATGGTAGAGAAAGTTAAGAGGAGAATTATTGGACAATTAATATTGATTTTGCAATTGTGAAATCAATACTTGAACCTTTATCCAACGAATTCTTAAATTGATAAAGTTCAATTACGTAATTTTCATGAAACTTGTTCTGTAATTAAACAGAACTAAATTTCAACATATAATACTTATTTCGGTTCCACGGCAGCAATTTCACGTGGAGCTACAATGTATAGATTGCCTATAAGAAATTTAAATAATATAGGAATAATAAGAGTGTGATGATTTCCCCAAGGATTCTTAAATACTTATGGATGTGATGGAGATCCAATTGATCCAATTGACAGAAGTATTCGGGGGTTTATTGCTAAATTAAAATATTTGGCTAAACGATCAAGAAGTTACGGTACTCATGTACCGATATTTGAAGATCACACTCGAGTGCGCCTTTAGATCTTATTGTTGATTTTCCTGGCGAAGGCTTTACTAGACGTATATTATTTTGAAGAAATGGAAATTATCATAACATCAAGAGATAACAAACAGGTCAAAGTTACTCTGTAAAAAATTTTATCCGTAATTCCTGGAAAAATAACTAAAAATCCAAGCAATTGGATAATTTCTATGTTTTGAGGCTAATGATTTTTTTTAAAACTACTTTTAACTTTAACTTGGATGAATAATATAAAGTTAAATTTCGTTTCAATAATTTATGTACAGTATAATATTTAATAAATAATTTATGATTTATCTCATATATGAGTTGTAACCACTGCTAATAGGATTAGTATGATTAAGTATTCGCAATAAGTATTAAGTAGAGATATAAAAAATGTCAAATTGTGATTTTTTACTTGAATAAAAATAAATAAAAATAAACTTTCAATTCTCATTTTCTACTAGTTTTTACGTACTGACCTAAAGACACCGGCTTTTCTAAGTGTAATCCCCTTGGAATCATAGTAAAAAAATAGCAGAATGTGCACTTAGAGAAGATATACATTTATAAAGAGTAAATTATTAAGAGCTCTTATAAATTGTGATTAGACTTATTACCGTGACTTAGGGAGAATTTACAGTACTTAACAGTGCCACATATAGAGGGTGCACTTATGGATGTGTTACTGTAAAATGTTAGTCAAAAACTTTTTTAACCAATTGCGTATGATTTTACGTAGATTAATTAATACATTGATTTAAGAAAATCTCTTATTCATAAGTTTGAGACAAACGTTGAATAACGTTAGATTGATTTATTTAACTAGAGCCATTTATTAATAATGACCCATTTCACACAAAGTGCAAATCATGAAAATTGGTTCATTAACATCACGATGTCCTTTTGAAGCAGCGATTTGCGACTCGGATTGAACTGCGTGTTCGGTTCTTACTTGTAGATAAAGAAAATGATGAAAGCATGAAAGTATTTGACGATCCAAACGGCTCTTAGAAACCATTTTCCTTACGTGATAATTATTAAATAGATTTTATTATTTACAGTACAATAGTTACGATAAAAAATAACGCAACCAAAGGATAATCTACTTTCTTGAATCAATAAATGACATCTAAAAATTTTTAACATGACGTATCTAATTACATAGTGCAAGTCTGTTCTGTATCTTTGAAATAAGGGCTGGTTTTTGAATATATGAATTCAGTTGTATAAATGCAGCATCCTATAAAGCCTTATTTCATTATTCGTTAAAATCCAATTTTGTCCATCTTCGAAGGAACTTATTCTTTCTCTATTCGATCAAAGTAATCAAAAAGATCACACGACTATACTTTTGAATAGAAAGTAAACCAGGTATCTTGAACTTTATCACCTGGAAAGTCTTTTTAGTTTTTTTTTCATTCATCCGCTTGTATGAATTACGCACAGAAATAGAGAGTGCTGTATGGGTTAAGTATCCCCGGAAAATTATGGATGATCTAAATAATTCTGTAACTCGATTAATCATAATATAAAAATATACTCTTTATTTAATTAAACGTATAATAAATCTGATTCAAAAGTTGCTTCATCATAAATTTCTCCATTTCGCTTATCCCTTGCAGTTGCTTTAATTCTATCCTGTCTAATCTAGCATCTAGTCTGACAAGGTTCTTTAATTCTTCTGTTGTACTAATAACATACTGGACCCTTTTGGAGTTATTAATTGCTATAGAACCTCTGAGTCTGTAAATCCCTGTTGGTCTTGCATTTTTAGCTCAGGACGATGGATCTAAGTAAACACCTGTTTTACCTAGTTTTCTACCTAGAAGCCCAGAGGCCATAGAAGCTAGGAGGGTAGAACAATAATAGCAGGGTACATTGTCTTTTGCAATATTTTAGTAAAATCAATAAGAATTCTACAGATGATAATATCAAGATGTGTTTATACGTAAAGCTCCTCATTGCAATATTTCCAGAATCATCTGTTGTATAATAAGTAGTTTGGCTAGACAAAATAATTCTTTAACATACTCTACTCTAGAGTAATCGATTCGCCATTTTTCTTATCTTTACATGCAACCTAAATAAAAAATATATTTTACATAGTATGTCAGATCAAAAAAAAAACAAAATAAAATAAAATCTTTGTGCAAAGAATAAAATCGAACAAATTACACGTACCAAACTTTGGCAAACTTCAATACCATAAATTCATTAAAAACATGTTATTATATAATTTCAACGTTTAATCCATATGTTATAACACCTCTAACAACTGCTACTGTTGGCAAATCCGGTACAGCAATAATCAAAATTTGATCTATAAAGTCTTCTTTTACTCTACTCAAAAGGTAAGGTGCCTCACTAAATTTACCTACTAAAATATTGCAGAACATCGTTACAAAGCATCCCTTAATTGACTATCAATTAATTTTATAATCCTATTCATAACTGAACCGAACATTACTTTCACTGATGTACAGTAAAATCGAGTTTTACGATCCATCCAGCTTCTTCCATCTTTTGCCTAAATTCTCCCGTAACATATTGAAATCAGGACAATGCACACGTAAATTAATCTTAACTTTCAGGATTTCCGTTAAATTTAAATTTAACCCTGATGCAAAAAAAGTCGTCGAATCAAATTCTGTATTTTTTGATATTTATATCGTTTTAATTTTCTTAATGTTTGAAATCCGACTTTACGTCCAAGACAATTGTAAAATTCTATCAACCAACGTGCTACAACATAGATCGCCGACACGTTTAGTAATTTGTTGTTCTGAAGAAGTTTACGCGACATAATATCGACTGCGTCATCCCCACAATCTGCATCCAGGAAAGTATCTTTTCTTAAAAAGAAAGTACATAATGATAAGTAACCTATAAGAAATAACTTTTTTCTTTTAAAAAAAAAAAAATTATTACCTCCAGAATAAAGATTATGATTCTTGACAACACTTAGACCTGTCTCTTATACACATCTAGATGTGTATAAGAGACAGCACTTAGACAATGCAAAGCGCTTTAACAAAGAGAAAATTAGTTCAATGCTATTTCGATGACATTAAAACAATTAATTATTATACGCACGTTCAGTAGTAAACTCGAGATTGGCAGAGTTTAATGTAGTTAAGAGACCAGCCTTATGCACATTCGCACATGACTTTTGTATAATGATGTGGCTTCAAATCGATATGAGTAATTATTTTTTACAAAATTAATAATGTCCTGTCATGTACTGTACGATGTACCCGATCAGCAAGAATGGTTAGAATAAATCCAACTTGTTGCGGAAATCTAATTGTCGGTCACCTTTTTCTAGTATACTTTTAATTAAAGATATTTGAGTTAAATAATCTTTGATTGCTTCATATCGATATAATGTAATTGCGGAGGTATCCAAGGTTTTTGATTTTTTCTTAAATAAGATAGATGTAATTTAAAAATAATTTAATTGGACGAGTTCTTGTTTCTTCTAAATCATTATCAGGTTCTTTAATAACACTTATAATTTTTTGAGCAGAAGCTTCATTATATTTAAAAGTATTGTAGGAATTTTTAAACACCTGGCCTTTTAATAAATATTAATTTAACTTACCAAGTATGGTTTATTTCGGATTTTCTTTGCGCACATAGGCAGGTTCGTTCCAAAAATTTTTAGCAACAAGAATTTTAATATCTTGTTAGGATCATTATTTCGAAAGAAAATAATTTTGAATTTTTGACGGCATATATATGAAACATTGTCGCACAAACATACCATAGGTTCATAGTCACATGACATAAATCGTGATTCTTTTTAATTTTAAAATATGAAATTTGTTAAATATGACTATTCTGAGCGCCTTTATAAAAAAAACAAGAAATTGACCAAAACAGCCACAGGACACACAATTCCACCATGTTCAAGATTTCTCCCCCACTTGATATTCTCTTGGAATATGGAAGAAAATAGACTATCAAAATTCAAATTATGCGTGTAAAATCCAGTAATCCATGATTAATAATTACAATAATTAATTACAATTCAAATCATTCATATTAAATATTATATAGAAATCTTATTTATAAATTTTCGGAATGATTCGCCTCATTTTACTTGGCTTGTCAATTTAAACCAGCAATATTGAACTATTTTGATAATCCAAGATAATAATTTATACTATGTTACGGTTTGAATAGGATAATAGAGGTGACTAACATTTAATGTCAAAATATATAATAGTTATTGCATCAGTCAGACAAGAATCACAAGATCATGCTGACACGTTTAATAATGTATAATTAGGTGTTTATACTGAATTTAGTATTAAAAGATTAATTTGTAACCTATATGATTGCAAATAAATTGATATTTAGCCATTGAGCTTGTTCTTCATGCAAATTCATACGCTTTTATAATAAAACTCGCATGTGACTTCAAAAAGTGACTTTATCTGCTAATACTCTATTTTTGCATGCAACTTATATTCAACATACTCGGCTTTTCCATGTTTTTTCCTGCTAATATACAAAATTTTATACTTTTTTACATTCAACTTTTATTATAATTAGCCGAATCCTGTCCAAATATTAATAATGAATAGTTGAACAAAATTGGGATACATTTTTTTCTAATAACAAGTTAACTAAGAAATGACAGTTACGCTAGGATAGTAGCCGCAGATCACCTAAAAGATAAATTATTTTCAATATGTTTTTTTTTAAAAAAAAAAAAATTAGTAATTGATTAATACTAATGTGAAAAGTCATTTAATAATTTGCAGCAACACTTCCATAGTGCACGTGTGCACCCTCTATAAGTGCACGTACTATGTAAATTCTCCCCCAAGAGCACGGTAGGCTTGATTACAACTTATAAGGGCTCTTAATATTTTACTCCCCACCCTCTCTCTAAGTGCATATTTTGCTATTTTTTTACAAGAGGGTGAGAGTTAGGTACGGTAAATTATTAGAAAGCGAGAATTGAAAGTAGAAAAAAGAGAGAATAATATGTAACCATTTTATTTTATTTATTATAGGTCATACAAAACGCGCGATTGTACCAAGAGACGATTTCTTCTGTTCCTTAATTCTAGTTCTTTCCTTTGATCCTTACTTTCTCAGAGAAAATAGACGACCAGAAGCCACGTGACAATTAAAGTAACTTACAGCAACAAGTGAAAATATAATGGGTTCAGTATTTGTGTTTTACGAGGGTTATAATATTTAGACTGTATTCAAAAAGGATAATTTTTATAGCTATATAGTAACTCAATCTTTATTTTTTAACCTTTATGAGTTATAACCTATGGAAGTTATTACGAAATTTATAGATGGATATTAATATTTTAATTTACCTTTTTTTTCAAGTAAAAATCACAATTTGGCTTTTCTTATATCTAACATTATAACTTTTTTTTTGTATAGAAAGTAGAAACAATTTCAGTTGATATAGAAAAAAATTTACATTAAACCATTAAACAAACAATTTAAGAAGTTCATTTATAATGTATTTAAAAAGAATTTGTTTTTAAAAAACACAATATTCGCATATATTTTATTGATAAGTCATCAATTAGTGAATAATCAAATACATTCAGAGGGGGTTATTTCGTATCTTCTATTCAAAAGTTTTGTCACGTGCCCGTCAGACCGGTTTGTAAAAAATGTTTAAAGTGACGTTAATGGTTTTTACTCTAATTTAACACCAATGTTTTTTGAATCACTTTTTTATCCCATTTTTTTCACTGCAAGTATAAATTTTTAATTTTTAAATCATTCAGAATAGAATGCTAGAGCAATAATGTACTATAAATATACATGCTTCTCAAATATAACCCAAAACTTGTTGCTTCTGGATATGTATTATACAGTACATAAATTATTAAAATGAAATTTGACTTGATATTATTCATCCAAATTAAATTTAAAAGTAGTTCTATAACTTTGTCCTGTTTGTTTATCCCTTGAAGTAGCGATAATTTCCATTTTCCCAAAAGTTAATCCAAATAATATACGTCTATTAAAACCTTCGCCAGGAAGATCAACAATAAGATCTCCTAAAGGCATCACGCCAGGATCATCACAGTATTCCGCATCATACTCTCGAGTATAATATATTTTAGTAATCATATTGTCTTGATTTTCAAATATCGGTACACGATTAACCGTAACTTCTTGATCGATACCCATTGTAGTACCACGTTTAGCCAAACGTTTAAATTTAGCAATAAATCCCTCTGGAGTTCTTCTGTCAATTGGATCTCCATGTTCCTGAAGTAAATAAATATTTAGTAAAATACGGTAAATTTTAATTTTTTCATATATAAATAAATATCAATTAAAAACTTACCCATTTCTTCCACATATCACATCCATAAGAATATTTAAGAATCCTTGAAGAAATAACTCTCCTATTATTTCCTATATTATTTAAATTTGAACTTATGGATAATCCATACATTGTAGCTCCACGTGAAATTGCTGCCGTGGGTAGAACTGGAACCGAAATAAGTTTTACTATATGTTGAAATTCCTGTTTAATTCTTTTTTGTAAATATTTTGATTCACTAAAACCTCCAACTAAGAACATTGCAGAACAAGGTTCTTGAGAATTACGTAATTGACCTTTTATCAATTTAAGGATTCTTTGGATAACAGGTTCAAATATTGATTTCACTGTTGCAAAATCAATATCAATTGTCCAATCATTCTCTTCTAAACCTTCTCTAACATGATTATTAGTGACATAATCTTTTAATATCGGAATCGTTTCATCAATATCCAAAGTATAACAATAATCCCGATCCTCTCCTGTAAAATGGAATTTACAATCTTTACAAAATTGTTGAATCAAATATTGTCGTTGTCCAACTATATTATTCTCTAATAAATCCATAGCTTCATTTCCAAGTATTTTTCGTAAATATTTAATAAATTCAACATCAACATAAGTACTTCCACAAAAATCACCAGCTCTTTCGGTTATTTCGCCCAATTGTCCTTCGTTTAATAATTTTCGGGTTGTTACATCTACTGTACCACCCCCACAATCAACTATCATAAAGTTTGCTACAATAACATATCATAGTTAATTCATTAATATTAAGTCAAAAATATATTCGATTTTAACGCTTACTTCCTGGTTGTGCAAGAGCTTGTTCGTTAAGATTCTTTTTCATACAATATATCGCAGCAGCTTCGGCTTAAAAAAAAAGAAGAGAGAAAATGAGAACCTCAAACAACTAGAAATTTTTTTAAGAAAATATATATATATATATATATATATATACAAATTGTTAAAGTTCTTACGTTCTGTGGTAAATTGTAAATTTGTTGAGTATTTTTTTTTAATCAATCCTGCATCAAACGCACATGTCCTCATAATTGCTTTTGCAGTTTCAGAAAATTCTGCAGGAATTGTAATAACTAAAAGAACATTCTCAAAGTAATCAACCATTGGCCAAGCTGTTGCAACAGTTTCTTTAATTATCTTAAAAATTTTGTATAGAAATAATATGTTAGATTTTTTTTTTTTTTTTCAAAAATGATTTTTAAACTTTTTAAAAAAATCATTAAAATTAAATATAAATCATATGAATGTTTTTTTTTTTAAGATTATACCTTGCAGATTTCTCTAAGATAATCTGTAATAGCCTTTTTATAACAAACTGGAAGTTTTGGTTTATGTTTTTCTGATAAATCGCCTAAATGTAATTTGAACAGTTCTACGGGCTTACTATCTTCTATAATAATACTTCTTCTTTTTTTACGACCTTGCTTTTTAGCTAGGGCTGGAGCTCCCCATAATTTTACTTCATTATAATCGTTATCATATTGGAGAACTGTGTTGGTTTTTACTTGACCTGCTTCTCCACACCACAAAACATTTGAGCATACATTGTCTTCGTCACTAACGTGACAATAAGCGAATCCAGAATAAGTTGTTCCAAAGTCTAATCCAATCACAACGCGGATATCACTCACCTTAAAAAAATGGAAAAAAAATTACAAAAATATACAGTTTAAGGTAATAACAAGTTGATTATCATCACATACTTCGTCTTGTTGAACGCTCATTTTACATTTTTTTTTTTTCCAATAGTTTAAGTTTAGAATGTATGCATGGTTCATTATTTATATTTAATAGAATTTCTATGTCGTGAAACCAAAAGAATATCAATGAAATGGCGGGATTGTCAACATAAATCATTGTTTAACTATGCATCACAATGTATTACGACTGAAAGGTCTTTATTTAACTTCCTATTTAATTATTTCATTTTAAATTCATGTGTATGTACAGCAAGTATAAATAACTAAACCTTTAAATCATGATATTAAAAAACATTATTCATGCTAAAATTATTTTATTTTTATTTTATTTTATTTTATTTTTTTTTTGAAAAATGAGTAGTCCTATTAACAGAAGTATGTATATTGTCTGTCTCTTATACACATCTAGATGTGTATAAGAGACAGGCATAATTGGATTAGACTTTGGAACAACTTACACTGGATTTGCATATTGCCATGTTAGTGATGAAGATAATATATGTTCAAATGATAGTTGGAACGGCGATGTAGGTCAATTAAAAACAAATACGGTACTTCAATATGACAATGAATATAATCTGTCTCTTATACACATCTAGATGTGTATAAGAGACAGGGATTTGCATATTGCCATGTTAGTGATGAAGATAATATATGTTCAAATGATAGTTGGAACGGCGATGTAGGTCAATTAAAAACAAATACGGTACTTCAATATGACAATGAATATAATAATGTAAAACTTTGGGGTGCACCAGCTTTAGCTAAAAAAAAAAGTCGTAGAACAAGAAAACAAAAAAATAGCGAAAATAATAAACCCATTGAATTGTTTAAATTACATTTGGGTGATTTATTAGATGAATTTAAACCAAAACTACCAGTTGATTACAAAAAAGCTATTACCGATTATCTTAGAGAAATCGGAAAGGTAATAATTTTTTTTACATAATTTTAGTAATCTTTTGAACTTTAAAAATGTTCAAACCCTTTTTTAAAAAATTCTACATAACCGATAATTCTTCTATTATTATGTTTGTATATGTTAAAAAAAAAAAAATATTCCAGGTAATTAAAGAAACTATCGACACACGTTGGCCAAACATTGATTACTTTGAAAATGTTCTTTTGGTTATTACTGTTCCTGCAGAATTTTCTGATAAGGCGAAAGCAATTATGAGAATATGTGCATTTGATGCAGAATTGATTAAAGAAAAATATTCAAAAAATTTACAATTTACTACAGAACGTAAGAATCTTTACAATTTATATATAAATTATGTATATATCTTTTAATAAATTTTTAATTTTAAATCATTTACATCTAGCCGAGGCGGCTGCGATATATTGTATGAGTAATCTTGAAGGACATGATCTTACACAAGCAGGAAGTATGTTTGTTGCTCTTTTTTTTTGACCGCCTTAAAAAATTATAATTAATTTTTCATATTTTTCATTATATAATTTATTTATTTGATAGCCAATTTTATGATAGTCGACTGTGGTGGGGGTACAGTAGATTTAACAACTCGTAAATTGGTAAAAAATGATCAATTGGCCGAAGTAACCGAAAGAACCGGAGATTTTTGTGGAAGTACTTTTATTGATGTCGAATTTCTTAAATATTTACGAAAAACAATTGGAGATGAACCTATGGATTTACTCAGAGATAATCATTATGAACAAATGCAATATTTAGTACAACAATTTTGTGAAAATGGTAAAATTCCTTTTACAGGAGATGATCCAGACTTTGTATATGAAGTGGATATTCGAGATGCGGCACCAATCTTAGAACAACATGTTATTGATGATGATATCAGGAAAACTTTAGATGATGATGAATGGGTAATTGAAATTGATTTTGAAACAATGAAATCAATATTTGAACCAGTTGTCCAAAAGATTCTTCACTTAATAAAAGTTCAACTGGATGGTAATGCTCAAGAAACTTGTTCTGCAATGTTCTTAGTTGGAGGATTTAGTGAATCAAAATATTTACAAAAAAGAATTAAACAAAAGTTTAGTAGTCAAGTTGATATTATTTCAGTACCTACTCGACCTATAGCAGCAATTTCACGTGGAGCAGCAATTTATGGATTGTCTATAAGATTAAATGATTTGAATAATGTAGAAAATGATGAATGTATTATTTCTTCAAGAGTTCTTAAATATACTTATGGAATTAGCTATTGTACTAAATGGGTAGGTTATTTTAAATATAATAATTTTTTGTCTGAAAATATTTCATTTAATAATCAAACATAACTTTATTTAGAAAGAAGGAGATCCAGAAAATAGAAAAAAGCATGGTGACCTTATTGAAAAATTTCATCGTTTAGCTGAACGTGGTACTAAAACAGATATTAATCGAGAAGTTACAAAATATTTTGCACCAGTTGATTGTTATCAAACACAAGCAAAACATAAATTATATTATACTCAAGCGTATGATGCGGAATACTGTGATGAACATGGAGTGAATCTTTTAGGAGAACTTTGTATTGAACTTCCCGGTTCAGGTCTTGATAGACGGCTAATATTTGGATTAACTTTCGGAAATATGGAAATTACTGCTACTTCAAAAAATGAACGTACTGGACAAAGATGCAATACTACTTTCAAATTTAATTTGGAAGATAAACTTGATTTGGTTCTTAGATGAGTATTACTAACCTTCCGGTACAATTATTTGTGAAATATCATCTTCTACTTGAACAGATTTTTTTAATTAAATTTTTGTTGTTAATTATTTACGCTTTCTTTGAAGACTATTATGTGTAATATGTTAAAAGTCATATATATTATGAGTACATTTCATTTCACACGTTATTTGTATTTATCTAATCGATGAAAGTTTTCATTGATTAAACTATATGTGATATTGTTATATCATCAAAATAAATTCAAACTCTTTATAGTAGAAAAGATTTTAATTAAGCACTGAATTTGAAAGTGTAAGAGAATCATGAAATTTAATAAAGTAGACCTTTTTAGTATTTTTATGATAAACATAGCTCCTTTTAGTCCGAGGCATAACGATAACGAAAGACTATACAGGTCTACGCTCGTTTACAGATGATCGCCCGGCGCCCGCTTGACAATTGAGTGATTTGATTGGTCGTAATTAATTATTAACCATATATTAGAACGTAATTACTTGCCCTCGATCAATCGCAAAAAATTTTTTGATTCAAGTAACTATTGCAGAAATAATATTAGCATTTTAATAAAGTTGAAACCAAAAAAGTTTAATGACAGCATTTCATCATATCAAAAATAAAACGAATCTTAGCGTAAACTCATACCCACACCAGAGCAAATAGTATATACAGGATATGATTGGCCAAAAAATGTGGAATAGCGGGTGCAAGTATTCAACCAGCAGATAATCCAAAATGATAGTACAAGATACTACTTGTATTTATCAAGTATAAGATACTACTGTTTCAGGTTCACCGCCTTAAGTTTACAATTCTAATTGGAATAACTATAATCATAATATTTTTTTGTTACTCTACAAAGCATAGGGTTTTATTTGAACGGTAAAAAATATTTCTAATGTAAAATAAAATTTTGAATAAATTAATTATATTTATTTAATTTATAGACAGATGATGAAAGAACCGGTACAATTTTTTGCTGTATATACAATATATATACACACATTATATAAAAGCTTTTGTGAATTGTTTTAACGAATTTCATAATTTATTAATATACAGTATGTACTGTACATGTATATACGATTAGTATATATATTATACACTAAAAAAAATAGAATATCAGAAAATTTCCGATTTAAAAATTTTATAATTTCGCGTTTCTACCACTTAAAGACGCGAATACTTAAAAAAAACCATTATAATTATACTAATTATACTACTTTTACTGCTTATATTATAGTATGAATAGATGATTTTTTAAATTATAAATAAAACCAATAAAACATATTCCAAAATTGTCAAAATTCAAATTAAAATTCATTTAGAAATAGACAAGTTACTTTTAATAAAAAAGGGTCATATCTTATTACCATAACCGGATTGGCAACTTTCAAATATTTCAATCCAAAGAATCTATTACAAGCGTACCTGCTGTTGCTCAAGAACTCGTCAAAACTTCAACTCACTTATTCGATCATGAATCAATTTGTTTCTTACCTAAAGAAGTCGAAAAAATATCAATCTCAAAAGAAACTTCCCCAAATACCATCTGCATTTCAATATCTAATATTCGTACTCGCATAAATAATTGCTTTAAATATAGCAAATATGGTCTCACTCATATCAAGTTGTTGGATTCAAGCCGAAATTAGTACCTTGCGAATTTTGATACTCTTGATAACTAGCTTCATAACAATCACAAGCGTAAACTATTTAAATGTTGTATTAAAAGATGTGTTTTATTCATTAAATTGCGTATCACTTGCTCGTGTATTTATTTACAACGATAATTCTTTTTGTTATTCACGTATTTATAAGATTTTATTATATATAAATATAATAAAAATTAAACGATATTACGGTTTCATGAATAGTTATCGTGATAGATATCACGTGAAGTACCATATATAGTTTTGTAATATAAAGCACCATAATATTTAATATACCATGCTGAACTTGAAGAGTTGTAAAATAATTTTAACAATATTTTTATAAGAAAAATAAGAAAGTCACTTGTTGGCCAAATTATTTTAAATCAAAATTAAAGAATAAAATAAATAATTCAAGAAAAGGATAAGAAAATACAATATGCAATTCAAGCCACATCTGATATACAATTATCAGATATAAATATACTTTAAAAGATTTACACCATATCAGATATGTAAAGGTAAAATTGAAATTAATACTTCTAACATATTAAATTACGTTAACAAAGCTGACTTTAATGATATGGTTGATGTTAATAAAAATTTATTTATCAACAATTTATTAGTAGTCTTAAGGATATTTTAATTAACGAAATTGGTAAATATCGCAAAATCAATGAAAGCCTATAATGATTGGACCGAGAATATAAAAATTATTGTAAACAAGAAATCGATTATTTCAACAAAAAATATGATTTACATAAATCAGAGGGAAAAATTCCAAACTTAGAGAAGAGGCCTCCAAATATCAATCAGCACTTGTCGCAGCAAATACTCGTCTCGACGATGATGATTAAAATCACTGTGATAAATTTACAGACATGTTGGAAAATTATGTAACTATTATAATTTAAAATCCAATATGAATGTATAAAACTCCTTATGGTTGTTTCGATGAAATTATCTTAAGAGATAAACGTTTTATTGATACAGTAAATGAGTATAATAAAGAGTTATATAAGTTTCAAAGTGAGAGATTTTACACTTGAGTTAGATATCGAATTAAAAACACAAGAACTATTAAAATTAATCGAGCAATTTTCGCGTTGTCATCAAATTTATGGAAATTCTTATACATAATTTTAAAGATTATGCTAGTGAAAAACTTGAATCAGTACAGTAGAATTTAGAATTGATGATTTTGTAAGAAAAATATGCTGAAACTTTAGCACTAAAACTTATTCTGAATCATGGGATGAAGATGATAAACTGATCAATTATGTATAGGCATTGTTTTATCATTATTTACGTAGTAAATAATCACGACTATTAATCTTTTAACTATACTTTTAAATCTGCAAGAGTAAAGATTTATGCGCTATTTATAAACTTTCAGAAATGATTTACTTGACCTGTCAATTTAAACCAGTAATATAAATAGTTATACTTATTTAATAATGTAATTATTATTTTGGTAATTATTCTTCAAGGTCATAATAAATTATACCACATTGTGACTTAAATATTTGAGATTAGTAGTATAATGTCTCTAAAACTTTAATCAACCGCATGTATGTATCCTACAATAAAATTTAATGATTTCCCACTATTTCTTTTTTCTTTTTAAACACAATCCTCTTCGACTGCGGTCGTTGATTGCATTGACATAAAAATATTCAATTTTATTAATTATTTTGTAAATATTTAAATTCGCTAAATCCATCAACCAAACGAATCTAAATATAAACCACCAAATATATAACTATGAATCTCCTTCTTAGTGGTTTTACATACAGTAAATCAAAATCAAAAAGGAATCCTCTAATCAAATGGATATTATGATATTTATAAAGAATGAACTTAATTACAAAATTTTCAAAGTTCGTTGAAAGATCTTTAAAATTACTAATATCTTTTTTTAATAAATATTTGTGTTTACATTGATTATAAATGCTCTAATTGTATAAACGCTAGTTTCAAAATTTACTATTATAATGTTAGTACACAAAAAATATCGTGATTTGCGTCACATTGTACATGATTAGATGATCTGATTTTTTGGTCCCCTTTTTTTTGGTACTTCTTACCCTATTTGTTTATATTTGCATCCCTTATAAATTTTGTAATAACCACAAAAAAATTTTTTTTTCGTTTTTTTTTTTTTTAAAAAAAAAACGTTTCGCTGTAGTTTCCATAAATCAAATTCGCAGAATCTTCCTCACGGAAAATACTTGAATTGATCACAAACCGAAATTATCGTCCAGCAAAAAAACATTATCATTTCAACCAAATTTTGATTCAATCCAACCAAACACACATCCAAATATAAAATATCAATCTCAAATTCATCCTTCCTAGAACGATTATTAAAGGGTATGAGAGAACATTAAATAAATAATCAATATTTACTTTTTTTTTTTTTGTTGATTTTAATAGTCCTTTTTTTCTTTCCCTTTTAATAGGGAAGTTTTAAAATCATCAATTCCTTAAGAGTAACTTTTTGAGTCAATCATAAATAAATCAATCCAACAATTTCTTCTCATCAAAAATCCCACCCATTTCTCTCATTCCTAAAGAATTATTAACAAAGGACACCTTTAATAAGGTTCAACTATACCATCAAAATCAATATCAACACCCATTTCTTCAGCTTCTTCAATAAATGCATCTAATATATCATAAGCTTCTCTTCCTAATTTTAAGAAACTCACATTAGCATAAAATTTAGGGAAATTCTCCAAAGTGATTAAATCTAACCAAGCATCATCATCATGATGATATAACCAATGTAAAATAGGTTCAAAAGCTTCAGGATAAGGTATTGGAATAGTTAAAATATTGGAATATTTAGAACGATTCCCTAAAATATTTATAGGACCTAAAAGTTGATTAAAAAATCCTGACTGAGTTGCTAATACTAATGTATGAGCCCAGAAATAATACGTTGATGTTGATGGTGATGATTGTAATTGTTTATTAAAAGTAGGAGATGTTGGAGGGGATGCTGGAGGCGTAACCTGTTGCAAATATTGTTGATTATAATGATGATTTTGTTGCTGTTGCTGTTGCTGCTGCTGCTGTTGTTGTTGTTGTTGTTGCTGCTGTTGCTGTTGCTGTTCTTGTAATAGTTGTTGTTGTTGTTGTTGTTGTTGTTGTTGTGATTGAGATTGATGAATTATATTATAAAGCTGCNATCCAAGCTATATGGAAGGAAAATGGGAAGATGATGAAATCGATAACTTAGTTGTAGATATTTGTTACTTTCCCTTGATAGCACAAGAATTCAGTGATGAGTCAAAACGTCAAATTTATACAAAAGCTATAATCTTTCAAAAACTCAAACCCGAACAACCACCATTGCAAGATGATAGTCAGTCAGCTCAGTCAAATAAATGTTCTAGTGTTTTTTAATAATTAACAAATCAAATTCAATTGATAATAATTCTTATTGAAGTAAAAAAAAAAAAAAAAATAGGTATTTTATTTAATATATAATATTCTTATAAATAAATACAGATATTTAATTAAAAAAAGAAATTAATTAATTAATATCTTTAAGGTTCATTTACATCGAATTTTGTATGAAAATTCTGTCCATTGGCTTCATTCTGTGCAAATGCTGTAATTTCCATTTGACCAAAAGAAAATCCAAATGTTATTGAATGATTAAACCCATTTGGAAGGAGAATTCGTAGTGTTCCTACTAACTCCATTCCATCTTCATCATGATATGTTGCATTATGTTTGGTAGTTTTATACAATTCGAATTTTAAGGCTTTTTGAGATGAATTAAGAGGCTTATAACCGGATTTTGGAAATTCTTTGTCAACTTCTACTTCTACCCCTCTTTTTACAAAGGGTTCAAAAAGATGAATTCTATCATCAAATACTCTACGGCTAAGTGGATGTAGATGACTTTTCCATTTACCTAAAATTTTTATACCGTACGTGAATTTTAAAGTACGTGAACGAATCACTGATCGTTTAAGTTTATCCATTCTATGTGCATTAGAGGAATTTTTTAAGCTTAGTCCATACATAGCTGCACCACGAACAATCGCTGCTATGGGTTGATTAGGAGGAATAATTTTGAATTTATTCTCTTCATTCTCTTTTTGAAATTCTTGTTTAATTCTTTTTTGTAAATATTTGCTTTCACTAAATCCTCCAACCAAAAACATTGCAGAGCAAGTTTCTCCATTATTTATACTATTTGAAAGTTGTATATGTATCATATTAATAATTCTGTCTATAGTATGATCAAACCAATATTTTACGTCATGATATGTAATTTCAATCAACCATTCTTCTTCTTCCATGATTTCTCTGACTTCTTTACTGACATATTGTAATAAAACTGGAGCATTTTCTTCGATATCCAGATCATAACGAAATAATACATTATCTCCTGTGAAAGGTTCTTTCACACGCCTACAAAATTCTTGAACCATATATTGTAATTGACCATAGTGATTTTCTATTAATAGATCTATGGCACTAGTTCCAAGTTTTTCCCGTAAAAACTCAACAAATAATCTATCGATAAATGTGCTTCCACAGAAATCTCCAATACGTTCGGTAACTTCACCTAATTGCAACGGTTCAATTCCATTTAACTTACGAGTAGTTAAGTCTACGGTACCACCACCGCAGTCCACAATCATAAATGTCGCTAGAAAAATTCAAATAAAAAAAAAATCGTATAAATAATTTTTTTAAAATATTCAGTTAAGTATTTTGACACTTACTTCCCGCCTTTAACAGATCATATTCCTTTAGTTTACTTTCCATACAATAAATTGCAGCAGCTTCGGCTGTTAAAAAGAAATGAATTAATATCCACGAATAATAGTTTTTGTTTCTAAATTTACATACGTTCTGTGGTAAATTGTAGCCTTGGCGAGTCTTTATCTTTAATGAGGTTCGCTTTATGTGCGCATTTTCTCATAATATCTTGGTCTATTTCTGAGTATTCTGCAGGAACGGTAAGAACAAAAAGAACATTTTCTGTAAAGTCAACTCCCTCCCATTTCTCAACCATTTCCTTGATTCTCTAAAGAATGAATTATGTAAAGATTAATCCACCTAGAATACTTCTTTTCTTTTCTTTTTGTTTTTTTTTTTAAAAAAAAAATTCTTTTACCACTCCAAGTTCACGCAGATAATCAGTGATCGCCTTCTTATAACCATCTGATCCAAGTTCAACCGGTAGTCTCGGTCTAAGATCTTGTTTCAATTTACCCAAATATAATTTAAATAATTCAACTGGTCTCGTTTCATTCCTAATCCTTTGATTCGGTCGTTTAGATAATGCCGCATTTCCCCATGCTACGACATTTCTAAAATTAGAATCGTATTGAAGTACAGTGTTTGTCTTCAAGTTCACTTCCCCTGGCCATTTATCGTTTGTGCGAATGTCCTTGCTGTTTTCAACATGACAATAAGTGAACCCCTATAATAATAATACATTATTTTTTCTTTCTTTTTTTTTAGATGATGTATAATTTATCTTTACCGAATAAGTAGTGCCAAAATCTAATAAAGATAAATTAAATATGTTAAAATCGTAAGAGATGATGACCAAATTTTATATTCTTATTTTACTCGCCTAAACCAACTACGACACGAATATTTCTTAGCCAGGACATGTTCGTCTTTTGTTTCTTTGTATTCTAGCATTTAAGCATATTTATATTTAAACTTTATTGCATACAATCAATCATGTTATCACGTTGTTCAAAAATCAAACATGTGTTGTTAAACATCACTCGAAGAAATCATTGGTTCGAACTAAGCATCTGCATATTTTGATCATAAAACAGGATTTATTTTGTGTGTTACGTTATAAGGGGCAAAGTTAATCTGAACTATTTTTGTAAAAAAAACATCTTTCCCTTTTCTTTAAAAAAAAAATGGCCTCGTCAAAACAAGATATTGAAGTTGTCGTCGCAATTGGTAATATTTAATTATTGTTTTGGGACAATTGATTTAACGATATTAAAAAATATAAACCGTTAATAAATTTCTGATGCTTTAATCACGTTATCTAATTTATGATAGACTTTGGCACAGTTTCTTCCGTAAGTATTTATTTAATTATTTCTTGATAATTCATAGTTTATTCTCAAATTTGTATAACAGTGTTCATAATATTTAGGGGTATGCTTATGCCAACAAATCTAATCCAGGCGAAATCACTGTAGAAAATAGATGGGATGGTTTTATAGGTTATAAAACTCCAACAATTATAAAATATGATGAATCATATTCATCCATAATATCTTGGGGATTTTCCGCCTTACCTGAAAGACCAAGGAGGAGGGGGAATGATAATCAAACTAAACCCATAGAATTATTTAAACTATTTCTATTCAAAGAAAAATCTTTCTTGCCAGATAATTTAGACTATAAAAGAGTTATTTCAGATTATCTGAGAAAGTTAGGTGAAATGATCAAAGGAAAAGTAAATAATATTTGGTCAAGTTTAAATTTTTATAGTCAAGTGTTAATTGTGCTTACGGTATGTACAAAGTTTATGTTTAAATTTTGTTTGATTATATATTTCTGATTTATTTTTTATTTTATATTTAAGGTACCGGTAGAATTTGACGATAACGCAATTGCAATAATGCGGGATTGCGCTTTTAATGCAAATTTAATTAAAGAGAGAGACAGTAGATATCTGTTATTTATTACGGAACGTAAGTAACACTAAGTATTTAAAAAATTTAAAAAAAAAATTGCAATCATTAATCATTAATTAATTAATTATTTATTTATTTTTGTAATCAAATTAGCTGCTGCAGCTGCGATACACTGTTTAAATTCTTCGGAAAAAAATAAATTGAAACCTGAAGGTTCGTAATTTTTTTTTTATATATATAAAAAATAAAAATTTTTATGCGTAAAATAATGTTAATCTTAATGAATCGATTCTGGATATTTAGATTCATTTATAGTCGTGGATTGCGGTGGTGGCGCTGTGAATTTGACAAGTCACAAGTTATTAGAAGATAATAAGATAAGCGAATTAACGGAATCTACTAGTGGAAATTGTGGATCAAGTCTTATTGATAAAAAATTCGTAGAATTTCTTGGTCGAAAATTAGGAAGTTCTACTATTGAATCGTTAGAAAAGAATCATTATAATATATTACAATATATAGTGCAAGAGTTCTGTAAAGAAGTAAAAATCCCTTTTACTGGACAAAAATCAGAATTTCAACGGTATGAAATAGTTTTAGAAAATTATCCATCAATTATTGAAGAAGCGAGAAAACAAGGATTTTTAAAAGAATCCGATTCAGTATGGGTTGAATTTAGTGATGTTAGGGGAATGTTTGATCCTTTGATAAACAAAATTATAGACTTGATAAAGGGACAATTGGCCCAACAACCAAACAAAAAAAGTTCAGTTATTATGTTGGTTGGTGGATTTAGCGAATCTAAATATTTACAAGATAGAATTATAAAAGAATTTAATAAGACTGTGTCGGATATTTCTGTACCATTGCAACCTATGATTGCAGCTGTAAAGGGTGGTGTTCAATATGGTCTTCGAACGGACATGAGGGTACATACCGTCTTGAGACGAACATATGGTATTTTAGTTCTTTTAATTTCATTCTAAGTGCGCGATTGTGTAATTAAATAAAGTTAAATTTAACTTTGTTTCATTTTATAGGAACAGACGCTATACGAAAATCTTTACCAGGTGATCCGCCATCACAAATACTTCCAAATGGATATACAATCATATTTGATCCACTTGCAGAACGTGGTAAACCAATATTAGTAAACGAGAAAGTAGTTAGAGAATTTAAACCACATTCAATGATGCAACGTAGTATTAGTTTTGATTTATATGTTACAAAAGCGTTAAATGCAAAATTCTGTAACGATCCTGGAGTTAGTTTATTACGTCCTTGGGAAATTGAATTACCAGAAAATGATAATTATGAAGATGTAACAATTTTATTCACTTTAACTTTTGGTGCGGTGGAAATTTTGGCTACCGCTGAAAATCAAAAAACTGGTGAAAAATATCAAGTTAAAGTTAAATATGATTGAATTTTTTTCATTTAATCTTTTAATGTTATTTATTGTCAATTTTCTTTTCATGTTAATCAAATGTAATAATATTTAAATTTTAAAATCAATAAAGTATATTTTTTTTTAAATCTCTCATTTAGTATTGAATAATTGTAACTATACATATGCAAAGAATTTGAGATATTTTAAATTGTGTTGACTTTTCAGATAATATTTCTATGTTCTTACTGTCTCTGCAGATATTTGAGAAAGTTCACGTTTATTAGAGAACATGAAATATGTAAGGATCTTAACTAGGTGTTCAGATCACAATTCTGCTTCTAACAAACTAATGCATACAAAAAAAACTTAATTGACATACATTCGGAAATTACAGAGTCATTCAAGGTTATTTGGAAAGGTCATTCACAAAACCATTGCAATTGATGATTTCTGTAGATGTATATTTATTGATAATATATTGATTTTTAAAAGAGATATTGCTGCAAACAAACCTTTAGGAATAATGATGCTATGAACTAATTCCTAAAGAAAATATCCCAATTTTATTATATTTAAAAAATTTATAAAAAATGCATAACTTTTAACTATATAGAAAAACTTGTATTGTTTAAAGGATTTAATAAAAAAAAATTATAAAAGTAAAAAAAAAATTAAGCAAATAATTCCAATATACTTATAAATTGATTGTATTAAATGAATAATAAAGTAGCAATTGTTTATAAACTTATAAACTAAAGTTTAAAAAATTCATTTTATTATAAAATAAACTTACCATTTACCAATTTGTTTAATTAGATTTTAATTTACAATTTACTTGGCTAATTAAAATAGTTATTATTATTATTATTATTTAAAAAAAAACTATTTTATTTTTTAAAATTATTTTTATTAAAAATTATATAAATTATTTTTTTTGGTATTATTTTTAATTCAAAAATATTTAATAAAAAAATTAAAAATTTTAATAATAATCTTAAATTTAAAAAAATAATATTATATAATATTAAATAAATAGTTCTATATTTCATATATTTTGTATTATATAGTTATTTTAATAAATTTATAAATGTGTTGCAATAATTGCAATAAAAAAAAAAAATTTAGAATACATTTTTTTATTTTGCTTAATTATAATTAAATTATGATTAATAATTTTAAACTATAAAAATATAAGTGATATACTTAAAAAAATTTACTAATGTAAAATAAATTTGATTAGTAAATCAAATATTTAGTATATTATTTATTATTTACATTTACTATAAAAGTTAAAAAATTTATGAATCTTTTAAAAAAAGTAATATGATAAGAAAATATAATATACAGAAAATATTTGAAATTCAAATTCTTATATAAAATATATTTAAATACTATTTGCAAAACTAAAAAAATATTATTGTTTTTAAAAGTTTTTTGATATTTAAAAAAGCTTTTTAAAATATTTTTAAAAATATTTATTTATATGATATATATAAGATTATTATAAATATTATAAAATTTTTGTTTTAGAATTTCCATTTTACTTTACTTTATAAATTAGTCTAAGCCAGCTTAGATAAAGTATTATTAAATAATATATTTTAGTATCAAATTAAAGACTGATTTGCTGTTCTTTTATAAAACTATCTGTTTCTTCATATTGAATATATAAAAGATTTTTTAATCTAAAAAAAAAAATATAATATGAAAACTATACAGGTTTTTCTTATTTTACTTATTTTACTGGTAAACCCATTTAGTATTTTTAAATAAACCATTTTTTAGAAAAAATAATCTGAAATTGCATTTTAATAAATACTTCACTACCTATATATATTACATACTAATTTTTACTTTTATTAAATTATCAGTTAAACATTATAGTTAGAATTTTTTGATAAATTTTCAGATATAGTCATTTATCCGTTTTTTAAAAATTAATCTTTATGAAATAATTTCAATTATAAGCAAGTTAATTTTCTTTAAAACACAAGTTGGAGAATATTAGTACTATTTGTGTAATATTTATTATTAGGAGATTATTTAGATGTAAATTAGCATAGTATAAATTTTTAGTAAAATACTTATACCACAAATATAATATTTCGTAATCTTATGCTTTGAAATTTAAGTAAAATTTTAAAAATTTATCAGTATTGCTTGATTTATCCCCATTCAAATCATCATCAAAGGTCATCATTCTAAGATTAATTTACAGTTCGTTTTCTGAACTACAAGCAACTTAACTCAGATAATATTAATTCATCAAATACCAATGATTCATTAATAAATGAAGAAAGTATGAAGAACCTCAAAGTATTGAGAATATACAGTATTAGAACTAAAACCAATTAATAGCAATTGAAAAATTATTTAAAGTTGTTATAAGTTATTTGAAAAATACGGTCCAAATTTCTGCGCAAAAAAACAATATGGATCACATAGTCAGATTGATTTCATGACATTATTCTTTTTTTTTAACTTATAAATTTATTCAGCTGATTACCGGTAATACATGTATGAAAAAAGAAAAAAAATTGAAAATTGCTCATATTCTAATTCTAACCCCAGGTTTTTGATTAATTCGATAGTTTTCACCAGTTTTTTTGTTTTTAGCAGTAGCTAAAATTTCTACGGTACCAAAGGTCAAAGTAAGTGAAATGATTACATCATCATAATCATCATCATCATAATCATCATCGTCGTCGTCGTCGTCGTCGTCGTCGTCATCAGGCAATTCAATTTCTAAACGACGTAGTAAACTAACTCCAGGATCATTACAAAATTTTGCTTCAGGATCTTTTGTCACGTATATATTAAAATTGACACTACGTTGCGTTGATGAAGATAGTCTAAATTCCTTAATTACTTTGTCATTTGCCAAGATTTCTTTACCACGACTTGCAATTGCCTCAAAAACAACAGTATATCCATTTGGAAGCATTTCTGATGGTGGATCGCCTAGTTTAGATTTTCTTACAACATTCGTTCCTGTAAATAAAGAAAAAATGTTAAAACATATTTAAATAAATTAAATAGAAATAGGTAATTAGTATACCGTATGTTCGCTTTAAGACACGTTTTACCACTGATTCCACATCAAGTCCAAATTTAACACCACCCTTTATGACAGCAATTACAGGTAACGAGGGAACGGAGATCTTCGGCACAATGCTGTTAAATTCGTTTTTAATCCTGTCCTGTAAATATTTAGATTCACTAAATCCACCAACCAACATCATGGCTGAACATTCTTTATTTTTGTTTCGTAATTGATTTAATTGATCTCCTATCAAGCTTATTATTTTGGTTATAAAAGGGTCAAACATTCCTTTAACATCTTCAAATACAAGTGTTATTATCCAATCAGCTTTTTCTAATAATTTTTTCTCGTTTCCTTCCTTGATAATATCTTTTAAAGTTAAGGGGTGCTTTAAACGATAATCTTCTAAATCTATCTCATAATTACGAAAATTCGTTTTTTGCCCTGTAAAAGGAAGTTTCACATGTTCACAAAATTCTTGTACCATATATTGTAAAGAATTGTGATACTCTTTATCTAACAATTCAATAGTAGGTTTTCCTAACTTACGACTAAGAAATTCTATAAATTTTTTATCCACAAAACTTGACCCATAATTTCCACCTTTAGATTCCGTTATTTCACCTATCCTATCATTTGCTAATATTTCATGACATGTTAAATCTACTGTACCACCACCACAATCCACAACCATAAATGATTCTGTAATATCCCGATTTATTAGAAATATAATTCAAATAATAAGAAAAAAAAATAAATTAATTAAAGTTAATAACAGATAAAAAATATATGCTTAAAGTACAAAAGGTTACGAACCTTCACGATTTAAATTTCGTACCTCATCCACAAAATTTAGACAATGTATTGCTGCAGCCTCAGCTATAATATTTTTTTTTTATGAGAATATACATCTTAAAGGAAACTTTGGAAAAAACTAATACTTACGTTCTGTAATGAATATCAGATTTTTACTGTCTTCGAATTGAATTAATTTTGCCTTATGGGCGCAATAACGCATTATTTCAATTTTTTCATCATCAAATTCCGTCGGTATCTAAAATAAAGTAATAAGAGAATCAGATAAACATAATTATACTGTAAATACTAAAATTTAATAGTGCTTACATACCGTAAGTACGATTAACACTTGACTATTAAAATCTACTTCCCAAGTACCATTTATGTCGTCTTTAATCTTTTCGCCTAATTCTTTCAGATAATCTATAATAATTCCTTTATAATTATTATTTGGTAAATTAGGTAATTCCATTGAAGGTTCTTCCAATAAATATAATTTAAATAATTGCATGGGTTTTCTTTGATCGGTATTCCTCATCCTAGGTAAGGCAAACGACCCCCAACACTGAACAATAGTGTTATCATCGTCTTCATATTTTATAATTGTTGGAGTTTTGTAACCTACATGACCTATCCATTTGTTTTCTACAGAAATATCATTAGGATTGATTCTGTGAGCATAACCGTATCCCTAAATGAATATTATTTATGAACAAAAAAAGGTTAAGAAATTACAAATTAAATTATCAATAGAGTTTCAATCTTTTTAATTAGAAGCTTACGGAATATGTTGTACCAAAGTCTATAAAAAAATCGGAGAAAACAATTTTGAAGCATTAAGAAGTAAATATCGATATTCAAATTTACTTTATTATTCTTATACCAATTTCTGACTCGAAAATAATTAACATACCAATTGAAACAACAACTCTGATATCTTCTCTCAAAAATGAAGTGGACAAAGACATCTTTTTTGAGCTTTCGAAATAAAATTAAAATGTGCATTTAAGATAAAACTATTGATAAGGTATGACACGCATAAATATTTACACAACCTTGTTCCTTGATAATCTTTGATTATAAATAAACTTGAAACCAATGAACAATACAAATTGAATTTATTCATGTTGTGAAACGATAAAAATGATATAAAACCGGCGAAGGTTTTAGATAAATTATCTTGGACATTATTAGTTCTTTTCGCACGAAAATGTCTTGGAGAAATGATATTCGTGTAGTAGTTGGATTAGGTAGTATTAATATAATCCAATAATCAAAATTCTATCCAAATTTAACATATCTACTTTTTTATTTTTTTATTAAGATTTTGGTACCACTTACTCGGTAAGGATCAAATCAACTATCAAAAACTCTTGGTCTATTAATTTGTCTTTAAATGAAAAAAACTTTTAGGGATTCGCTTACTGTCATGAATCAGGTGCTGAAAATATTTGTACAAATGACGAATGGCCAGGAAAATCCGGGATTTTAAAGACGAATACAGTACTTCAATATGACTCTGAGTTCAAAAATGTTGTAGAGTGGGGGTATCCAGCATTATCCAAACGAAAAAATAAAAATAAAGTGAGACCAGTTGAATTATTCAAATTACATTTGGGTAATTTACAAGAAAATCTTAAACCTATACTTCCAGATAATCTTAAATATATGAAGGCTATCACCGATTATCTTTGTGAAATCGGAAAGGTAAAAATTGAATATTTTGGTTACAGAATTAATAAACTTTTATAAGAAATTATTTAATATATTAATTATTTAGTTAGCCAAAGAAACAATTATGAAGTGGGACGGAATTGACTTTACAGAAAATGTACTTTTTGTTCTTACTGTCCCCGCAGAATTTTCAGAAAAAGATAAGACTATAATGAGAAAATGCGCACATAAGGCAAAACTCATTAAAAGTAAATCTTCAAAAAATCTAGAATTTACTACAGAACGTAAGTGAAAACTAAATTTAGAAAAAAAAAACCATTTAGTTGATGTAAATCTTATTTTATTTACAGCTGAAGCTGCGGCACTTTATTGTATGAATAAACTTCAGGAACATGGTCTTTCTATAGGGAGTAAGTTCATATATTTAATTAATCATTCATTCAATATCTTAACAATTGACTTTTCAATTAAAATATTTAGCTACTTTTATGATTGTTGATTGTGGCGGAGGTACTGTAGATTTAACTACTCGCATGTTAATTGAAAATAAACAATTGAGTGAAATTACCGAACGTATTGGAGATTTCTGTGGAAGCACATTTATCGATAGAGAATTTATTAATTTTTTACGGGAAAAACTTGGAACTCGTGCTATTGATAAACTAATAGAAAATCATTATGGTCAATACCAATATATGATTCAGGAATTTTGTGAATACGCAAAAAACCTTTTTACGGGAGAGAAGGGCTTTCTTTATGAACTAGATATCGAAGAAAATTCTTTATCGCAATATTTAAGTGAAGAAACGAAAGAAATCATGAAAAAAAATGAATGGTTGATATGTATCAAATATAATGATATAAAAAAAATGTTTGATCCTATTATCGATAGAATTATTCGTTTAATATATGTACAACTTTCAAATAATCGAAAAACTTGTGAAGCAATGTTTTTAGTTGGAGGATTCAGTGAAAGCAAATATCTACAAAAAAAAATTAGAGCCGAGTTTCGACATAAAGTGAAAATTATTTCAGTCCCTGGTCAGCCCGAAGCAGCAATTGTTCGTGGTGCAGCTATATACGGATTAAGCCTAATAAATTCCTCTAAAACGGATGAAATGAATAATTTTGTATTCGCAATTCATTCGCGTGTTTTGACATTTACTTATGGGATAAAAGTTTTGGGTGAATGGAAAAAAGACATACATCCGCCTCATCGTAAAATATATAATAATAAAATTTATCTTTTTGATCCCTTTGTGAAAAGAGGTACAGAAGTAGAAGTTGGCAAAGAATCTCCCCCAAAATCCGGTTATACTCCACTTAACCCATCTCAAACAGGTTTAAAATTTGAATTATATAAAACTTCTAAGTATGAAGTAAAATATTTTGAGGAGGATGAGGATGTAGATAATGAGGATGAAATTGAGGAGGATAAAGAGAATAAAATGGAATTAGTAGGAACACTTCGAATTGATCTTCCTGATATTCACTTAGCCTGTGATAGGCGTGTTACCTTTGGGTTTTATTTTGGTGACATGGAAATTACGGCATTTGCAAGGAATGAAGTCAATGGACAAAATTTCCAAACAAAGTTCGAAATAGAAGAATTTTAAGAAATTTAAGAATACACTTTTTTTAATATATATATATATATTCATTTATTTTTTTTTTTAATAATTAATGTATTTAATTATACAGATAAAAATTCCTTCTATTATTTTTCAGATGACTCCGTTTTTTTGATTAATCTCTTCGTTATGTATATGGAAGACTTTAGCGGGTGTATAAATTTGACCAGTTGACTTATTTGCAATTAAAGGAAAATGACAAATATCTACAACTATATCATCAATGTCTTCATCATCCCATATTCCTTCCATACGACTAGGATCTATCTTATCCTTATAATCAAACCAAATACATTCAGCGATTGGCTCTTGAACTTTGAATCGAAACATAAATAAAGTGACAACTTTTCGAATAATGTCACCAGCCATATCTTCAGTTTCTTGTTTTTTCTCCGGATCTTTAATATTGCGATATTTATCAATTTCTTTGTTCAAAATGCTTTGATAATGTTTAATAAAGAAATGAAGAAAGTTTTGGTTATTTTTATTAATAACAACATTGTTAAACCCTCTGTTTCCAAGAGCTGCAAAAATTTGTTGACGTAATTTAGTAGGAAATACTTTAGTTGTATCATCAACCCCATCGCGTTCCTTTGTGAAAACTTCTGCTGCCTCTATTAACTCATTAGCTTTTCTATACATAAAAGACTCCAATCCTCTCTTATGTCTAGGACCAGTAGAATCCTTTAAATATTCCATAGCATACTCGATAATTTGTTCGATAACATGACGTTGTATTGCTACTCTGATTAAAGGTTTCTTTTGATCTTTTGTAATATCTGTTTGGCTACCATATGTTTTTAATAAATTTTGTACTTCGGGAATATTAACTTCTACGCCACCTTTACATTTGGTAATGTAATTTTCCAGAGAATGTCGTAAATTTATTATGTCTTCTTTAAGTTTAACTGAATTATTTTTATCATCATCTGATAATCGAAAATTAGTTGCAGCTCCAAGATGATACTGGTATTCAGAAGCTTCTTTTTTGAATTTATCATTATCTAGTTCTAAATCTCGAATCTCTTTATCTTTTTCTTGAATTGTTTTATCTTTCTCCTCAATTGTTTTATCCTTTTCTTGAATCTTCTTAATAAGTCCTTGAATTTTGTTATCCTTTTGTTGAATCATTCTATCCTTTTCTTGAATTATGCTATCTTTTCTTTGAATTATGCTGTCCTCAACTTGAATTACGCTATCATTTTCTTGAATTGTGCTATCCTTTTTTTGAATCATCTGAATTTCTTTATTCTGCTCTTTAAGTTTCTTAACAACTACTTGGATTTCGTTATATTTTTCTTGCATATTCTGAATTTCTTTATCCTTCATCTTAATGAGATCATCCTTTTGTTGAATTAAGCTATCCTTTCTTTGAATTAAGTTATCCTTTCCTTGAATTATTTCATCCTTTTCCAAAACTATTTTATCCTTTTCTTGAATTTTTTCTTGGATTAATTTATTCTTTTCTTGAATTTCTTTATCTTTTTCTTGGATTGCGTTCTCCTTATCTTTTAATGATTGGATGTTATTATTCAATTCAGGAAAACATGTTTCGGATTTTTCGGTTTCGTCCATAATACTTTTGTTTTTTCTTAATAAATAAAAAAAAACTACTAAACAGGCATCTAAAGATAACATAGAAATGTGAAAACCACAGAATGATTTAATTTGGCCTCAACCAGACAATAACCGGTTATATAATTAATTTAGAAGTGTTACGTTACTTATTTCCTTATTTTATGCTGTGGTAACACTTCAGTATGACTGTATGAGGTTACATACATTCCAGATATAAATCATTTAGATCGGTAATTCCCGATCGTAGACCGGATAGGAACGACTAGTTCGAATCAGTTCCAAAAGTAGTCAATCCGAATAGAAAACGCCAAAACAACCCCTATTTGACATTATAAGCCGATCTGATCTCTAACTTGCATAGAAACATCTAGAATAAAATCGAATTATTGAAAAATTTTTAAACATGAACAAATTCAAAACCACTCATTTTTTCATGCCATTTGGAACAAATTATCAATTAGAAATGGTTATAGTTATTAAAAAATTGTGTGAATTTTTGGCACGATCATTTATGTTTGTAAGCTCTCCAAAATCAGAGATATTTACGTAAGTACAGGTACAGATTCTTTTATTCTTATAATTCAATTGGTTACAGGTAGAGTACGAAACAATTATCACTGATTTGTTATATAATTAATCCTTAAAAAAGTTTTATGTTAGCAGTCAGCTGCTGCAGTGAGTCGCCTGAGATCTCTTAAGTAATGATTCATTTGCAATATCAGTTATTTATTTTTAGCATAATGAAATCGAATTTATTTTATTATCATATAAACACGAAGAATAAATTTGCCATTTAGAATTTGTTCATCACATGTAATAAATTTTTTCCACTTCTCATAGTAATAAATCTATCATTATTCATTTCCATTCCAAACTTGACAAACCTGAGTATTTTCATGATTCCTATAAGTGTTTCTTGATATCTTGAAATCTCTTCAGTTAAACAAATAAATTCTTTTCTTCGTCGCAAATAATTTTTGAAACTTCAACGAATGAAACATCTTACTTAGATGATTGTTTGAGAACTATGGAATACAAAATTTTTTAATTCTAAATTATAATATTTATAATCATATAATAAACTATTTACTAAACCAATTATTAAGTAATGCCAATATAACTTCATTTGATTGTCGCATTAGATTACTAATAACATCAAATGAAAATGAAGGGTTTATAATAACTATTGTAACGGTTACGGTTATTATATAGTCGTCGTAGTCGTTGGCGTGAATTTCTTCTAATGAACAACTTACAATTTTTCAAACTATCAACTTTTGATTCTATATATAAAAAGTTCAAAGTGCAGAAAATATTACTTTTTTCCTAAAAATGAGATCGTTATTTAAAGCATTGATGTTTGTGAAGTAATAAGATTCATATTATTTTTCAGTTTTTTACTCGAAGTCTCAAACACGAATTAGCTAAAAAGGAATAATCATGTGTTTATGCAGAACACTTTCATTTTGGCACGATCTCAGGTTGTTATTATTAGTTTTACTTACTACATACGCTGCCGGTACCATTTAAATGTGTAAGCGAAACAATTGTTTAAAATCGAAATGCTAATAATATAACTATATAAAATAATCAAAATTTATATAGATCGAAAATTTTATTTGTTAAATCTAATTTTTTTTTTTATCTTATTATTATTTAGAAATAAAAAAAAAATTTTTCCGGAAGTGATTGCTGCGTCATTTCTTGTGAAACCTACTTTTACTAATAAAATATCTAGAGTTGTAGAGTTGTACAACTTTTTTTTATTTATATCATGCATGCTTAAATTTTTTTTTCCTTCATTATTTCAGATTTTACCCTCTTAAAATTAATAAAACAAATTATGGAACCTATTCACCAAAATGATATCACGATAACCGATGGTAATCCAAACCCTAATTTAGAAAATTCTGGTCTTGAGTCTTATGAAAAATTATTGAATGAACATGAAAAGCTAAAAAAACAACTTGAAGAACAAATTAATATAATTCAGGAATTAGAACGAAAAAATACTGTATTAAAAGATGAAGCTTCTAAATATCAATCTGCTCTTGGAGCAGCAACTAATTTACAATTATCAGACAGTGATACAAATAATCCAGTTGCGCTTAAAAATGATATGTTAAAATTGCAAGATTTGTTAGAAGATTACATAACTACATGTAAAGGAAATGTAGAAATTAATATTAATGAAATACAAAAACTCTTGAAAAGATATAAAAGCAATTCAGTTATTACAAAAGATCAAAAGGACCAAAAACCTTTAATTAAAGCAGTATTACAACGTCACGTTATAGAAGAAATTTTTGACTATGGAGAAAAATATTTTAATTTTGACAATTTACAAAATTACAAAGAATATGGATGTGGAGCCGAAACTTATTTATATAATAGAATCTATGATTTAATACAATTAGCAGAAGTAATCGCAGAGAAACGCGATGGGGTTGACGATATAACTAGGGTACTGCCTATTAAATTACGTCAAGAAGTATTTGCAGCTCTTGGAAATAGAGGATTTAATAAAGTTATCGCTAATAAGAAAGGAACATTCCCTCATGAATTTATTAGTCGTTATCAAGATATTTTAAATAGGGAAATTAATAAATATCGCAAACTTAAAGATCCTGGAAAAAAACAAGAAATTGAAGATATGGCTGGTGAAATTATTCGTAAAGTTATCACTTTATTTTGGTTTCGACTTGAAGTTCAAGAGCCAATCGCTGAATATATTTGGTTTGATTATAATGATAATATAAATCATAGTTATATGGAAGGAACATGGGAAGATGATGAAATTGAAAATATAGTTGTAGATATTTGTTACTTTCCTTTAATAGCACAAAAATTCGACGATAAGTCAAAGCGTCAAATTTATACGCCTGCTAGAATCTTTCATAAAACTAAACAAAACATGCCTCAGAATTCTGAAAATACAAAAAACTAATTATTTATTTATTTATTTTTAATTATAGTTTGATATTTATTGTATTGATTTTAAAACAAATTACATGAATTTTGTTAAAGATCTTTGTGTAAATAAAATTTAGTTTGAAAATTTTGTCCATTAAGCTCATTCTTAGCAAATGCAGTAATTTCCATATCACCAAAATAAAATCCAAAGGCAACGGGCCTTTTACGGGCTAAGTGAATATCAGGAAGATCAATTCGTAGTGTTCCTACTAATTCCATCCCGGGTTCATCATGATACTTTGCACTATATTCGAGAGTTTTATATAATTCAAATCTTAAGCCTGTTTGAGATGGGTTAAGGGGCGTATAACCGCGTTTTGGAGAAGATTCTTTGCCAACTTCTACTTGTGTACCTCTTTTTACAAAGGTGTCGAAAAGATAAATTCTATTGCCGTATATTTTACGATGAGGCGGATGTTCACCTTCTTTCCATATACCTAATACTCTTATCCCATAAGTAAATTTCAAAACACGTGTATGAATCATGGTTGCATCTGCTTTGGAGGGGTTTTTCAAACTCAATCCATACATAGCTGCACCGTAAACAACTGCTGATACAGGATTAGTAGGAACCGAAATAGTTTTCACTATATGTTGAAATTCTTGTTTAATTCTTTTTTGTAAATATATGTTTTCACTAAACCCCCCAACTAAAAAAATTGCTGAGCAAGTTTCTCCATTATTTCGACTATTTAAAAGTTGCACATGTATCATACGAATGATTCTTTCAATAATAGGATCAAACATTTTTTTAATATCATCATATTTAATATCAATAACCCAATCATTATCTTCCATGATTTTTCTAGTTTCATTACTGACATATTCCAATAAATCTGGAGCATATTCATCGATTTCAAGTTCATAAGAAAATCTAGTATTATTCCCCGTAAAAGGTAATTTTACGCGTCGACAGAATTTTCGGACCAAACGTTGAAATTGACTGTAACGATTTTCTATTAATAGGTTTATAGCGCGAGTTCCCAGCCTTTCACGTAAAAAATTACCGAATTCATTATCAATAAATGTGCTTCCACAGAAATCCCCGATACGTTCAGTGATTTCACCCAATCGTTTATTATCGATCAACTTGCGGGTAGTTAAGTCTACAGTGCCACCGCCACAGTCAACGATCATAAAAGTCGCTAAAAATGCATTTTAAAATCAATTAAATAATCGGTAAGGTATTAAATTAATAATCAAGCTTACTTCCTATAGTTAACAGATCATATTCCCGCAGTTTATCCATACAATAAATTGCCGCAGCTTCAGCTGTAAATTAAATGATTAATTTTAAAATAATAAGGAATCTTTTTTCTGATTTTTTTTTTCTTACGTTCTGTGGTAAATTGTAGCTGTAGTGAGTCGCCTTCGTTAATGAGCCCCGCGTTATGTGCGCACTCTCTCATAATAGCCTTTTCTTTTTCTGAGTATTCCGCAGGAACGGTAAGAACCAAAAGAACATTCTCTGTGAAGTTAATTCCGACCCAGTTTTTCTTAACTGCTTCTTTAATTAGCTAAAGAGTTATTCGTCAAAAATATGTTGGGAATATTTTTATATCTCTTACATATCGCAAAAAATTAATAATTCTTCTACCTTTCCAAGCTTATAAAGATAATCGGTAATCGCCTTCTTATATGCAACTGGAAGCCTAGGTTTAAGGTTTTCTTGTAAGTTGCCCAAATGTAATTTAAATAATTCTACTGGTCTCGTTTCATCTTGTTCGGGATATCCCCATTGTTCAATATTAACGATATTTACAAAATTGCGATCATATTGAAGTATCGTATTTATTTTCGGGTATACTTCTCTTGGCGGCCATTTTGTGTTTATAAAAATTTTGCTGTCCGAAATATGACAACAAGTGAATCCCTGTAAAACAAAAATAAAAAATTTTAGCCAAAAAATCATAATTCCACAAAATCTTAATATTTACTACTTACCGAGTATGTGGTACCAAAATCTAAGTGGAAAAAAAAACAAAAAAAAAATTTCAAAGACATGAAATAAATGAATTTCTCGGCTGAATAAATCGCAACACAATACCTAAACCAACTATTACACGAATATCGGACGGTTTTCCACGATTTACCATCGTTTCTGCTCGGAGACCAAATTGAACACCACCTTTTACAACTGCAATCATAGGTTGCGTTGGCACAGAAATATTTAGTACAATTTTATTAAACTCCTTCTTAATTCTAGCTTGTAAATATTCAGATTCGCTAAATCCACCAACCAACATAATGGCTGAACATCTTTTATTTTGTAATTGAGCTAATTGTTCTCTTATTAAATGTATAATTTTTGTTATACAGTGATCGAACATTCCTTTAACATCATCATATTCAACATATATTGACCAATCAGCTTCTTCTAATAGCCGTTTTTCTTTTCCCCCTTTGATAATATCTTTTAACCAAGAATAATCATCCAAGTCTATTTCATAAGGTTGAAAATTTGATCTCTCCCCCGTAAAAGGAATTTTTACGCGTCTACAAAATTTTTGGACCATATATTGCAATACGTTGTAATGCTCTTTTTCTAATAATTCAATAGTAGAACTTCCTAATTTACGACGGAGAAACCCTACAAATTCTTTATCTACAAAGCTTGATCCATAACTTCCACCTGTAGGTCTTGTTATTTCACGTATCTTATTATTTGCCAATAATTCATGACATGATAAATCCACTGTACCGCCACCACAATCTACAATCATGAATGAATCTGTAATAACAGCATATTATCAGAAATATTTTATTAGAATAACAATAAATATACATAATTTAAATTACAACGATGACAACGTGCGTACAAACCTCCGGGTTTCAAATTATGTAACTTTTCCAAAGGATTCAAACAAGATATGGCAGCGGCTTCAGCTAATTGATATAAAAATTAATATTTATGACAGACTTTTCTTCTACAAAAATCTTGCCACTTACGTTCCGTTATAAATATTAGATTTCTACTGTTCTTTTCTCTCGTTAATCCCGCACTAAAAGCACAACCACGCATTATTGCAATTGCATGATCATCATATCCTGCTGGTATCTTAAACAAAATAAATTAGACAAGTCAAAATATCAACACCATAATTATGATATAAATTCTACATACCATAAGAACAATTAATACTTTATTATAAAAATCCAAATCATGCCAATGAATATCTACTTTTTCTTTAATCATTTCACCTAATTTTCTCAAATAATCCGAAATAACCTTTCTATAATCCAATGTATCTGGAAAAGTAGGTTTTTCATTTAATAAAAATAATTTAAATAATTCTACAGGCCTAGATTTATCAACATTCTTCCTTCTTTTCGATGGTTTTTCAGGTAAGGCATCAAATCCCCAAGACTTTATAGTAGAGTATGATTCGTCCTCATATTTTATAATTGTTGGAGTTTTAAAACCTAAAGAACCTCCCCATTTATTTTCTACAGTAATTTCTTTTGGATTGGATTTATGAGCATAAGCATATCCCTAGATATTAATTAAGTACACAAAAAGCTGAACTACGTGAACTTTTAATTAGTTATTAAGAATTTAATTAGAATACTTACGGAAAATGTTGTACCGAAATCTATTAAAAAATTTGTTCGAACAAAAATAAAGTATATTAATAGAAATGAATATAATCAATAAGACGACTTGAACATACCAATTGCGACAACTACTCTAGTGTCAACTTTTGACGAAGACATTAATGAAATTAATAATAAACCAAAGAAAACAAGATTGCGAAAATGAAATCCTGCAGATCCACTCTATTTTTCAATGCAAACACGTGAGGTTGAGAATTTCCATGTTTTGAAACCATAACGTGCAAAAGACGAAAACTTGATTTTGTCCGTTAATTTATTATACTGCTTATCAGTTAACAATTATGCCAATTTGGGAAGTTAACAATATCGCATTCATTTTATTATAATGATTGTCATTTCTTAAGCCTTTGTGAAATTTGTGGAAAAAGAGCAAGAAAGAATATGTATGATTGTTCAAATTCACTTCTAATTTTTCTAATTTCGATACAATTTTATTAAAATAATGTTTACTTATGTTATTATTACTGACAAATTTTCTCTAGAATTTCAATATAGAAAATAATATACAAATTCGGTACAAGATCTTAAAGATTAATTGAATTATGTCGCGTCATGTACATAATTATACGATATACGCCATAATTTTGTTCTATTATATGAATTTAAGTGAGCATTATGAATTAACCATCCTCACTTCTGATTTTCTAATAGCTGGTAAATTGGAAATTAATCTTTTTTTCATTTTTTTAATAATTTAAATGTATTTAATTATAGATAAAATTATATGTATTATTTTTCAGATGACTCCGTTTTTTTGATTAATCTCTTCGTTATGTATATGGAAGACTTTAGCGGGTGTATAAATTTGACCAGTTGACTTATTTGCAATTAAAGGAAAATGACAAATATCTACAACTATATCATCAATGTCTTCATCATCCCATATTCCTTCCATACGACTAGGATCTATCTTATCCTTATAATCAAACCAAATACATTCAGCGATTGGCTCTTGAACTTTGAATCGAAACATAAATAAAGTGACAACTTTTCGAATAATGTCACCAGCCATATCTTCAGTTTCTTGTTTTTTCTCAGGATCTTTAATTTTGCGATATTTACCAATTTCATTGTTCAAAATGCTTTGATATTTTTTAATAAAGAAATGAAGAAAGGTTTGGTTATTTCTATTAACAACATTGTTAAACCCTCTGTTTCCAAGAGCTGCAAAAATTTGTTGACGTAATTTAGTAGGAAATACTTTAGTTGTATCATCAGTCCCATCGCGTTCCTTTGTGAAAACTTCTGCTGCCTCTATTAACTCATTAGCTTTTCTATACATAAAAGACTCCAATCCTCTCTTATATCTAGGACTAGTAGAATCCATTAAATATTCCACAGCATACTCGATAATTTGTTCGATAACATGACGTTGTATTGCTACTCTGATTAAAGGTTTCTTTTGATCTTTTGTAATATCTGTTTGACTTCCATATTGTTTTAGTAAATTTTGTACTTCAGGAATATTAATTTCTACGTTACCTTTACATTTTGTAATGTAATTTTCCAGAGAATGTCGTAAATTTATTATATCTTCTTTGAGTTTAACTGAATTATTTTTATCATCATCTGATAATCGAAAATTAGTTGCAGCCTCAAGAGCATACTGGTATTCAAAAGCTTCTTTTTTCAATTTATAATTACCTTGTTCTGATTCTTGAATCTCTTTATCTTTTTCTTGAATTTTTCTATCTTTTTCCTCAATTGTTTTATCCTTTTCTTGAATCTTCTTAACAAGTTCTTGAATTTTGTTATCTTTTTGTTGAATCGTGTAATCCTTTTGTTGAATCACGTTATCCTTTTCTTGAATTATACTATCTATTTCTTGAATTAAGCTATTCTCTTCCTGAATCTTCCGAATTTCTTTATTCTGCTCTTTAAGATATTCTTGCAAATTCTGAATTTCTTTCTCCTGTTCTTGAATAATGTTATCCTTCACTTTTATCGTATTATCCTTCTGTTGAATTAAGTTATCCTTTCCTTGAGTTAAGTCGTCCTTTTCTTGGATTATTTTATTATTTTCTTGAATTTCTTTATCATTTTCTTGAATTTTTTCATCTTTTTTCTGGATTACATTATTTTTTTCTTCTAAAGTATCAACTAATAGATTAATTAACTTAGAATTATGATCATTTAAGTCTCCAATTTTTTTTTTCAGTTCTTGCTTTTCACCTAAAATATTATTTATATTAATAAAATTATTTTGTAAATTTTCACAATATTTTCCCAAACTTTCGTATTTATCTTTTAATTGATTACAAAGCGTTTCAGAAAATTTCAATTCCTCACTAAGTTTTTTGTTAAGTTTTATTTCTTCATATATGGGATCATTTATGATTTTATCATAGTTTGATTGATAATCTGTATATGATTCTTGTGCCATAATAATTCGTCCTTTTTTAAGGAGAAAAAAACCGAAGAAAAAAAAATAAAATTTATCCCTTAAATATTTATTTTTGTCCTACATAATGAATTCCATGATTAGAAATTTGTACTCCAAAATGATCCCGTAATGCGGATCAGCAGCGCTCGCGAAAAACAATCTTTACAAAACAAAAGATCAACTAATGATTCACGAGACTAGAATCTAAAATAAGAATTTAAACACAAAAAAAATTTGATACAGCCAATATACGTATAAAGCCTTTCTTAGCTTCAGTAAAATAATATGATTTGAACGTGTTCAGTTTGTTTTACAACAGTCAAATTACCGACAGAGAGTTCACCTAAAATCATTTCACTGACAAGATCGTTTCACCGACAGGGTTATTTCATCTAAAATAACTTATAACTTATAAGCACTAATAATCCATTTATGAGTATTTAATACTATTTATTGTGAAAATAACATGAACACAACAATATGAGTTATTATTTATTGTGCAATAATCAAAGTATAAAAAATTATTTTTTTTTTTATTCGTATCCTTATTCCATCTTTCTTAAATTTTTTTCTAGTGGTTATTTGTGAAACATATCAAGCATTTAGTGTTTATAAGATTTGAAATTATACATTATTTATTGAATACATCAAATTTTTGTATTTAATAATTATTATTTATGAAATAATATACTGAGTAGTGATAAAATTGAATCATTTTAGCATTTGTCGGTCAAATAACCCTATCGGTGAAATGAAACTGTTGGTGAAATGAAACGATTGTAGGTGAAACGATCCTGTCACTGTCAGTAAGTTGATTGAAATAAGCGCGTCCCAATTTTGAACAATGGTGAATTTTGGCACTACGGGTAAATCCTAAACAATTAAGGATAATTTCTGATAACCCACGTCATTAACCACTATTGTAAAATAGCAAGGTACTTTATTTTTATTTACATAGTGAGCCGCGAAGTTATGTCATGTAAATTGCAATTATAATTAAAAAACTAATATTTTGTAACATACTAATGATTTCACGGATACAAAATGATTTATGCTTTAAAAATTTATCACCATTGACATAATAATCCTGTATAAAAATGGGAATCTTATGTCATATTTGAAAATGATGATATCATTATCACCAATTTATTCAATTGGAAGAAAGATTAATAAATTTATTGCAATCGGTAATAAAAATGATCGGAGCGTGTCTTTATTAACAAATAGAAAGGGTTACAACAATATTATTGTCTCACTTTGGCGCTCTGTAATATTCGTACTATCCTTATAACTAAAAAAAGCCACACAAAACTAAACCGCCGATATCCACAGTTCTTCATTCTTCTTTTATAATATCCAGTTTTAGTACATATTCGTCCTTGTCGAATGGCCAATTTAATTCAGCACACCTAACTAAGCCACCCTTAAGTAATCTTCCGACTATATGCTAAACAAATATACTAATCCAATGCTATTTAATAAATATTAATGAAATTTATATCGTATAAATTAGCCTATATCTGGCTCGCGTAATAATAATTTCTAATAATAATGAGGTAATTATGTCGGTTTAATTTCAGCCCGAATTTGGGTTTCGTATCACGTGATGACCAGATCTTGTTCGTAAATCGTAATTACCAATGCGGAAACAATTAATTCAATATTATCACGTTCCACACTTCTTTCAATACTAAAATTAAGTCTTATGCTGTACGCTATAAACAACATAACAATAAACCAAGTTCTTAGTATTGTTTTCTTAGATTTTATTGATCATGAAAGATAAATATCAAAAAATAGCGTATTTTGTGCTCCAAATGTTAAACTTTGATTTAACGGATAGCAATTCTTTAACACGTGATTCAACCATTTTATAAATATAAAATATATAAGATGACGTTTACTGTATACATTTACCTGAATGGATTTATCAAATTCTTTTTTTTAATTTTACGGGTAAAAAAAATTAAATAATTCAAAATGACAAATAGCGTAACTGCAACTATGCAGTGGGGAAATAATATTCGAGTGGTGGTTGGTATAGGTGATTATTAATTTTTTATATTCAAGATCGTTTACAAATTCCTTAAGAAATAGTTTTCTTATACAAATAATTTATTTTGAAATTTTTGTGTTAAAGATTTTGGAACCACTTTTTCGGTAATATACCCCTTTTTTTAATTTTAATTTGATTTTAAATTATAATAATTTAAGGATATTAAGAATTACCAAATTATTATAGGGATTTTCTTATTGCCATGTAGCATCTAGAGATAACATTGTTACAAATGATCAATGGCCTGAAAATCTTGGTCAATTTAAAACAAATACTGTTCTTCAATACGATCAAAATTTCAATGAAGTATTAAAATGGGGAGCTCCAGCTTTAGCTAGACGACAAAGTCGAAGGGATGAACGCAGAGAGACAAAACCTGTTGAATTGTTTAAATTATGTTTAGGTAATTTAGAAGAAGATTTAAAACCTAAACTTCCAGTTGAATATAAAAGAGCTATTACAGATTATCTTACAGAAATAGGAAAGGTATAATTAAAGTATTTAGCAAATTTTTTATAAATATAAATTTAATAGATTATTTTAAAAGTTAATTAGGTCAAAAGTTGAAATCGCTTGGGGTAATTTAGATTTTCTTAAAGACATTCTTTTCGTACTTACGGTCCCTGCAGAATATTCTGAAAAAGAAAAGGCGGTAATGAGAGAATGTGCATATAATGCTAATTTAATAAGGGAAAAAGGCTCTGACTTGTTACAATTCACTACTGAACGTATGTTGATTAGTTTTGAATAAATTTGTTCAAATATAAGAGTATCTAATCATTAACTTTATTTCCTACATTGTAGCTGAAGCTGCTGCAGTTTATTGTATGGAAAATTGCTTAAGAGAACACGATTTATCCGATACAGAAAGTGAAGAAAATGAAGAAAGTGAGTTTTTTTAAAAAGTTCAAATGTATTTTACGCTTACTGTGTAAGCAGTAATATTAATCGATTTTATAACTATGAACCGGTACACTTAGCAACTTTCATGATTGTTGACTGTGGAGGTGGCACAGTAGATTTAACAACTCGTGAGATTGTAGGTAATGATGTTGGTGAAGTTACTGAACGATCAGGTGATTACTGCGGAAGCACATTTGTTGACCGAGCATATCTCGATCACCTAAAAAGAATATTGGGTCATTCGGCAATTGATAATTTGAGGAAAAATCATTATAAACAATTGCAATATATGGTTCAAAAATTTTGTCGGCAAGCTAAATTTCTTTTCACAGGCGAAGACAGAAATTTTAATTACGAGTTAGATATTTTGGACACTGCACGTGACCTGCAGCAATATGTTACCGGAGATGCCGAACAATTGATGGAGGAAAAGGAATGGTTGATTCAATTTAATTTTAATGATATTAAATCAATGTTCGATCCAACTGTTGAAAGAATTCTGAAGTTGATAGAATTACAACTTGAAAATTGCAGCAAAAAATGTTCAATAATGTTCCTAGTTGGAGGATTCAGTCAATCAGTTTACTTACAAAAAAGAATTAAGGAAAAATTCAATGATTTAGTTAGAAATATTTCTGTTCCTACACATCCTATTGCAACAGTAGTTCGTGGTGCTACATTATATGGTTTAATAGTGTACGACAGGGTTAATAATAATTCGGGAAGTGAAGTACGACTTAAATTAACAACTCGCGTATTAAAATTTACTTACGGTATTAAAATTGTTGATACTTGGAAAAAAAATGATCCGACAGATCGAAAGACTCCTAAAGGAGAAATAATCAGATTTCTTCCTATAGGTAAAGCAAAAAGAGGAGAATCCGTAAAAATTGATGAGTATATTTTTTCGGATAAAGAACTTGGCCCTAATAACCCCTTTCAAACAATGGCAACATTTCACATATATTACACGCGAGAACGTGATGCTAAATTTTGTAATGATCCTGGAATGGAATATTTGGGGAAACTTAAAATTAGTCTACCGGGTAATTAATAAGTATTATTTATTTTATTTTGGATTTTGATTGACATTAATTTTTTTTATCATTAGATGTACATCTTGGTCTTAACAGACCTCTTAAATTTGGATTGTCGTTTGGTGAAATGGAAATAAAAGCTACTGCAAGAAATGCAACAAACGGGCAATGTTATTTAACTACTTTTGAAATAAATGAAGCAGAAAATGAAGAAAATAAATAATTTAATTTCATGCATATTTTCAAAATATTTATTCTGTTTCATTCGAATATATGTATTTATATTTATTTTTATTTAAATAAATTATTTAAACATTAATGTTAAAGACAAATTTATGACACGAATTAAAAGATACCAAATATTTTATTTTTTTTTTTTCCTTCAGCTTGCGGATCAACTTCCGAACCAGAATGTGATTGCGAGGTGGTTTGCGGACTAGACTGAGGTTGAGATTGCGAAGTCTGTGGAGGTTGCAGAGTGGTTTGTGGGCTAGTTTGAGGTTGTGGAGTTTGCGGAATAGTTTGTGAACTAGTTTGAGATTGTGGGGTTTGCGGAGTAGTTTGTGGACTAGTTTGAGGTTGTGGAGTTTGCGGAATAGTTTGTGGACTAGTTTGAGATTGTGGAGTTTGCGGAGTAGTTTGTGGGCTATTTTGAGTTTGCGGAGTAGTTTGTGGACTAGTTTGAGATTGTGGAGTTTGCGGAGTAGTTAGTGAACTAGTTTGATATTGTGGAGTTTGCGGAGTAGTTAGTGAACTAGTTTGAGGTTGTGGAGTTTGCGGAGTAGTTAGTGAACTAGTTTGAGGTTGTGGAGTTTGTAGAGTAGTTTGTGGACTAGTTTGAGATTGTGGAGTTTGCGGAGTAGTTTGTGGGCTATTTTGAGTTTGCGGATTAGTTTGAGGTTGAGGTTGCGGGTTAATATTGACTTCATGTTCAAGTTCTGGTCTGGGTTGTGTGTCGACATCCGGTTTAAATTCTGGTTTGGATTGTGTTTCTACCTCTGCTTTAAATTCTGATTTAGATGGCGCTTTTACATCCGATTGTGGTTGGTATTGCGAGTTGACGTTAAAGTTAGATTCCGAATTTGATTGATTGTCGGCCTTATGTTTAGATTCCTGTTTAACATGTTTAGACTCTGATTTGGTTCGTTGCACTTTTTGAGGTAGTATAATTGCATGCGTGTAAATTTTGCGTTTTATGTCATCATTCAATTCAATTCCTACTAGCGGAAATTTACAAATATCAACCTCGAAATCATCAAATTTATCATCATCCCACATTCCATTCATTAAACCTGGATCTATTTTATCCTTATTCTGAAACCAATAAAACTGGCCTATAGGTTCCTGAGTTTGAATCCTAAAAAAAAAGATTCTAATGACATCTAAAATTATATTAGCTGCTTTTTCTTCAATTTCTTTTTTCTTTATAGGATTTAAAATCTTGCGATATTGTTCCATTTCCTCATTAAGTTTAGTTTTGAACTTACTAACGAAGAAATGTTCATATGTTCCTTGTTCAATCATAATATTAGAAAATCCACGATTACCAAGTGCTGAGTAAATTTGTTGCCGCATCTTTGTTGGTACAGCAAGGGTAATACTATCATTACCTTCACGAGTTTTACCAAATTCTTGTGTTAATATAATCAATTCTTCTGCTTTGTTTGCGATTAATGCTTCAAGAGAATAAGGTTCATTAAAGTTTTTGGTATTGGCATATACAGAAAAATAACCGAAAATTGTTTCAAGAACGTGTCGTTGTATAGTTGCTTTAATGATAGGTATATCAGAGGACGTTGAGGATAATCTAGTTTTACTTTTATATTTACTAAGAAGATTTTTTACGTTTTTGTAATTGATTTCTATATTTGGTCTTAGGTTTGTGACGTAAATTTCTAAATCATCTTGTAGACGTAAAATATCTTCCGTAAGTTGAACAGAATTATTTTTGTCATTGTCATTCAACCTAAAATTCGTTACATTTCCAAGTGCAGATTGATAATTGGAATTAATCCTTTCTAATTCTACACATCTTTCTTTTAATTTATTGTAATCAGTTAATAAAGAATTATAATTTTCATTTAGTTTATTATAATTTTTATCTAGTGTACTATAAGAATCTTTTATCCTTTGTTCATTTTCTATATATCGTTGAAGATAAATTACAGCTTCTAACGCTGTTTTGTCGTTTAATTCTGTATCGACATTATTATTGTTATTCATATTTTCAACAATAATATGATGTTTTTTATATAAAAAAAATTTAAAAATAAAATTTGTTAGACATTTTATATTTCAATTTAGATAAAGTAGTAACACATAATTTATATTTTCATGTAATGCAAAATATATCAATGAAATTTATTAAATAGCAATTATAAAGATTAGATACAAATCAAATTAACCCGTTTTGAGAAATCGATTTTATACAACGAACGTAATGTTTATCACAGAAATCCGGCAAAATAACTTTCCGACAAAATAAAGTTGAACCATTGTAACAGGTAATAAAAAAAAAAGTTCTAAATGTAATTATGTGATAAGATCGAGTTCAAGTGTATTACACTATTACTGTTATAAAATAAGCTTCATATATATATAACATATATAAATGTGTTGGTCGCTGTTTAATTTTTAATCATAGTAAACGTCTTCTAAAATGTCATGGACAAATGATATTCGTGTCGTGGTTGGTTTAGGTAAATAATAATATGGAATTTTTCTCCTTATTAGCAAAGTAAATACGTTATTGTAATAATTTTTTTTTTTTATATTCATGATAATTTTCTAGATTTTGGAACCACTTATTCGGTAAATTGATTAATCAACTACGATTACTTTATTTTATCCAGACATTTTATTAATACTGGATTCAACATAGGGATTTACATATTGCCACACTTCTAACAAAAATTTGCGCACTCATGATGTTTGGCCTGGAAATATGGTACACTTTTTTTTTTAATTCTTCGTCTTATTAAATTTATTTTTTTATAATTTTCTAATATTTCTTAAAATCCATTAAAAGGCTGATTTAAAAACTAATACAGTATTATTATACGATGATGAACTTGAAAATGTCGAAAAATGGGGACAGCCCGCATTATCCAAACGTCCGAATAGGAGAAGGGCCGAAAATAAACCAGTGAAATTATTTAAATTGCATTTAGGTAATTTACAAGAAAATCTTAAACCTAAACTCCTAGTTGAATATAAGAAAGCAATTACTGATTATCTTCGCGAAATTGGAAAGGTAAGCTTTAAAACATCAAGTTTCGAAAATTTTGATATATGATTAAAAATTTTTTCTTATGACGCTTAAAAAGGTGATTAAAGAAACGGTTACGAACACTTGGACTGGACTAGATTTTATGGAAAATGTTCTCTTGGTTCTTACTGTTCCCGCAGAATATTCTGAAAAATCAAAAGCAACGATGAGGGAATGTATATTCAATGCCGGTTTAATTGGCAATAAATCTTCGGAAAAATTGCAATTTACTACGGAACGTGAGTAGAAAAAAGGTTATTAATAAAACTGAATGACTATAATTTCATTTTTTTTTTTTTAATTTTATTAGCCGAAGCCGCAGCGATTTATTGCATGGAAAATATTTTGAGAGAACACGACCTAGATATTAGTGGAAGTATGTACACGTGAAAATAAACGATATTGTTCTAATTTTTACTCATTTAAAATCTTATTTTTTTTCCGAAATTGTTAGCAAATTTTATGATCGTCGATTGTGGAGGTGGCACAGTAGATTTAACAACACGACAAGTAGATGGAAATCAATTAGGTGAAATTACGGAAAGGGCAGGGGATTATTGTGGAAGCACTTTTATTGAAGGTGAATTTATAAAATTTCTACGACGTAAAGTTGGAGAGAATGCCATCAAATTATTAGAAGAAAACCATTATGGACAGATGCAATTTATGATTCAGAAATTTTGTGAATATGCAAAAATACCATTCACAGATGATCCAAGATTTTCTTATATTATGGATCTTGAAGAAGTTTCACCTGCTTTATTACAATACGTAACAGATGATGTTCGTGATTCCTTGGAAGAGAACGAATTGTCAATTAAACTTGATTATGAGGCAATGAAATCAATGTTTAATCCTGTTGTCGAAAAAATTATACGTTTGATTCGTAAACAACTTGAAAATTCTCGTAAAAAATGTTCAGCAATGTTTTTAGTTGGGGGTTTTAGTCAATCAAGATATTTACAAAAAATGATCAAGAAAGAATTCGAAGAGGAAGTTGATAATATTTCTGTTCCTTCAAATCCAATTGCTGCTATTTCGCGTGGTGCAGCAATTTATGGATTAAGTTTTAATGATAATGCTGAAAATTATAACAACATGGATGGAATAAGATGCATTATAAGTTCTCGTATGTTGAAATTCACTTATGGTATTAAGACTATGTCAATATGGAGGGAAAATGATCCAGAAGAAAGAAAAATTTATGGTGGACTTATACACCGTTTTAGACCTGTTGCAAAACGTGGAACTACTCTTTCAGTTAATGAAGAAGTCACTGTTGATCATCTTCATCCTCTTATTCCTATCCAAATTGGTGCTACTATTCCAGTTTATTATACAAAAGAATATGACGCAAAGTTCTGTGATGAACCTGGAATGGAATTGTTAGGGACACTCAAAGTTGACCTTCCGGGTATGTTTTTATTTTAAGATAGTAGTCAGATTACTCAGATGATCATTTTCTTACAAGTTTTTATAAATTTATTCTTTATAGATCCGCATCTTGGTTATGAGAGATCTGTAACTTTTGGATTAAAATTTGGCAGAATGGAAATCACTGCAACCGCAAAGAATAATTTAAATGGCCAAAATTTTCAAATTTCTTTTGATATAGAAACCGAAAATTAGTTTTTATATAAATAAATATTTTTACTAAAATAAAATATAATTATGAAGATAAAGATAATAAATTTCGAAAAGTACAATAATTAAAAAATAAAAAAAATTTTTTATTGTTAAGGTTGATTTCGGTAAACCCTAGCATGTGTGATTCACATATTTCGTCAAGATCATCTTCCTCCCATCTACCAGTCATTTAAGTTTGGGTTTATTTTAATATTTTAATAATATTCTCAAAAAATTTAATATCAGGTACTGGTTCTACGAAACCAAAACATTCTTAATACATCTCTATTTGGTAATATAATCCTCCAGAGAATTTTGTAAACTTATATCATTTTTGAGTGTAACTGAATTATTTTTGATAATCGAAAATTAGTTGCAGCTGCAAGAGCATTATAAAATATAGCATTTTCTTCTCTTAATATAATATTATAATGCATCCTTTCTTTGAATCTCTCTAGCAAATCCTTGAATTATATTATCCTTTTCTTTAATTATGCTATCATTTCCCTAAATTATTTTTAATTTTCTTAATTTCTTTATACTTTTGAATCCTTTAATTATGATGTCTTTTTCTTGAATTTCCTTATCCTTTCTTTGAATTCTTTCTTTCCTTGAGTCATTTCTTTCAGTCTTTAATTATACTGTCCTTTATTCGAATTATTTTTTCCTTTCTTGAATTTCTTTGTTTTTTCTTGAAATAAGTTATCTTCACCTTGAATTAAATTATCCGTTTATACTTAAATCTTTTTCTTGAATTACAATATTTTTTTTCTCTAAAGTTTTTACTAATAACAAATAATTTAGAGTTATGGTCATTTAAGTCACAAATTTTTTCAGTTCCTACTTACATTATATTATTGTATTTTGTAAATCTTCACAATACTTGATCACAAAGCGTTTCAGAAAATTTTAATTCCTCGTTAAGTTTAAAAGGATTATATCATAATTTGACTGATAGTTTGTAACTTCGGATGAATCTTGAAGAGAAAAAAACCAATCCTTAAATAACTGATTGCCCTACATAAATGAACTAACTCCAATGTGATGCGAATCACAATGATTCGTCATGTTTTTTTTACACGTCCTAATCAAATTTGATCTAATTATAAACTGAGTTTATATTTTATTCAATTTTTAAAATATTTTGCTGATAAAAATTGACTAAATTTCAATTTACAGTTATTGATTATGTAAGTGGAATTTCGATATTATAGAAATCATCTCATTGAATACTGTAGAGTAGGATCGATTGCTGATTAAGATTTAGCGCGCAAATTTCTCGGCTTAATCTCGGTCCGAGTTGAGACCATATAGAAACATCGTAAAAACCAAAATGGAAACAATCAATTCAATTTTATCACGTTTCACACACTTCATATCAAAGATAAAACTATGCTGTACGCTATAAATAACACACAATAAATTAGTTTCTTAGTATTGTTTATTGAAGTTGGATTTGTCGTGTTCCCAAACTTTAAAATAAAGTTTTTTGCTTTACGCATTTTATACTGATTAACGGATAAAAAATTCCATTTAACACGTGATTCAATTATCTTATATATAAGATGTATAAGATGACGTTTACTGTGACAGTACGCTTACCTTAAATTAACGGTACGAAATAAGAAATATTTAATTTTTTTTGTTAGATAACGTACTGCAATTATGTCGTTGGAAAATGTTCAAGTAATTGTTGGTATAGGTGATTATTTATCCAAATAACAACGCAAGCGATATAAATTCTTTAAAACAAATTTTTAACGCAAATAATTTAATTTTTTTTATACTAAAGATTTTGGGACCACATTTTCTGTAATACATACTTCCTTATTACTGGTTGCTATATCAGTTTTAAATAAACGTTAACGCATGTTCAATTTGTAAATTTATAGGGATTTTCTTATTGCCACGTAGTATCGAGAGATAATATTGTTACGAATGATAGATGGGATGAAATTACTGGTCAATTTAAAACAAATACAGTTCTTCAATATGACAATGAATTTGATAAAGTAATTAAATGGGGGATTCCAGCTTTAGCTAAACGACAAGGTCGAAGGAATGACAACATTGGGACAAACCCAGTTGAATTGTTTAAATTATGTTTAGGTAACTTAGAAGAAAATTTAAAACCTAAACTTCCAGTAAATTATAAAAAGGCTATTACGGATTATCTTAGAGAAATGGTGAAGGTAATAACAAAAAGTAGTTTTAGATTTTTTTTTTATAAAATATAATATTTATATATCAAATTTTTTTTTTTTGAAGTTAATTAAAGAAAAAATTGAATCCCATTGGGAAGATCTGAACATATTCGAAGAAGTTCTTTTCGTACTTACAGTTCCTGCAGAATATTCTGAAAAAGAAAAAGCAGTAATGAGAGATTGTGCATATAAAGCTGGTTTAATTAATGTAAAAAGCACAGACTTATTACAATTCACTACTGAACGTATGTTGATTCATTAGCTAAATTTATTCAAATTAGAGTTGCCAAATCATTTATTTTTTTTTTTTTTGTATTGTAGCCGAAGCTGCTGCGGTTTATTGTATGGAACATTGTTTAAAAGAACACGATCTAAGCGATACAGATAGTGCAGAAAGTGAGTATTTGCAAGCTCGAAATTAATTAATTTGCACTTAGGCAGTGATATTAACCGCTATACAATTGTAAAATGTTACGATTAGCAACTTTCATGATTGTAGACTGTGGAGGGGGGACCGTAGATTTAACAACTCGGAATATTGTTGGTAAAGATGTTGGAGAAATTACTGAACGATCAGGTGATTATTGCGGAAGCTCATTTGTCGATCAAGCATTTCTCGAGCATCTAAAAACTATATTAGGTCACTTTGCAATTGATAAATTAAAAGAAAATCATTACAAACAATTGCAATATATGGTTCAAAAATTTTGTCGACAGGCTAAATTTCTTTTCACAGGCGAAGACAGAAATTTTAAATATGAATTAGATATTTTGGACACAGCACGTGAATTGCAGCAATATGTAACTGGAGATGCTAAAGAATTGATGGAATCAAAGCAATGGTTAATTAATATTAATTATAACGAAATTAAGTCAATGTTCGATCTAGTTGTTAAAAGAATTCTAAAATTGATAGAAGTGCAACTTGAAAATTGCAATAAAGAATGTTCGATAATGTTCTTGGTTGGAGGATTCAGTCAGTCAATTTATTTGCAAAAAAAAATTAGAGAAAAGTTTAAGGATGTAGTGAAAATTATTACACTTCCTACACATCCTATTGCATCAGTAGTTCGTGGTGCTACATTATACGGCTTAGGATTGTATGATAATGTTAATAATATAGATAGCGATGTACGACTTAAATTAACGACTCGCATATTAAAATTTACTTATGGTATTAAAATATTTGATAAATGGAAAAAAAGTGATCCTATAGAAAGAAAAACTCCTAAAGGAGAAATAATTAAATTCCTTCCTATTGAAGGCGCTACGAAAGGAAAAGAAGTCAAAATTGACGAAGATGTTATTGTAGATAATCTTCTTGGTCCTAATAATCCTTTTCAAACAGCGGCAACATTTCACGTATATTACACACGAGAAGCTAATGCTAAATATTGTGACGAACCCGGAATGGAATATTTGGGAAAACTTAAAATCAATCTTCCAGGTAATCAGCATTATTTAAACAATGCTAGTAACAAACTAACAATTAATACATTCTCGCTGTAAAATACGAACGCAATTAACCATATTATTTGTCTTGCATTAAAATATTTTTTCGTCATCAGATGTACATCTTGGTTATAACAGACCTCTTAAATTTGGATTATCATTTGGTAGAATGGAAATAAAAGCTACCGCAAGATATACAATAAACGGGCAAAGTCGTCTAACTACTTTTGAGATAGATATAGAAGATGATTGATTTATAACTATACAAGTATTTTCAGAGTATTTACAGTATATATTTAAATTTCATTTGAATACACGAGTATATGTATGTATTTATTCTTATTATTAAAATAAAATTATATTAATAAATTACGAGACAAGTTTAGAAAAGAACTTTTTTAGTTTTTTTTTTTTCCCTCATTTTTCATCAACTTGCGTGGTCTCTAGATTAGGTTGCAACTGAGGGTTTTCTTCATTTTCCTCCGGACCAGATTGCGATTGCGATTGAGAGCTTTCCTCATTTTTCTCCGGACCGGGTGGTGATTGCGATTGTGAGTTGATGTCAGATTGTTTTGATGGAGATCGATAATATACATCGTATTTAGGCTGCTCTGATTGAGATTGCGAGTAGACCGTTTTAGTCAGATTACTCGGCAATGAATCAACTTCCCGAGGATATATAATAGCATGCGTGTAAACTTTGTGTTTTAAATGATTATTTAATTCAGTTCCTATCAATGGGAATATACAGATGTCAACTTCAAGATCATCAAACCTATCATCATCCCACGTACAATTCATTAAACTTGAATCTATTTTATCCTTATTCTGAAACCAATGAATCTGGCCTATAGGTTCCTGAGTTTGAATCCTAAAACAAAAGATTCTAATGACATCTAAAATTATATTAGCCGCTTTTTCTTCAATTTCTCTTTTCCTTGTAGTATTTAAAATCTTACGATATTGCTCCATTTCTTCGTTGAGTTTAGTTTTGAAATTATAAATGAAGGCATGTTCATGTGTTTCTTGTCCAATTGTAACATTAGAAAGTCCTCGATTTCCAAGTGACGAATAAATTTGTTGTCTTATTTTTACGGGCACAGTAGGGGTAATGCTATCATTACCTTCACGAGTCAATCCAAATTCTTGTGTTAATAAAATCAATTCTTTTGCTTTGTCCGAAATTAGTGCTTCAAGAGAATAAGGTTTATCGAAGCTTTTGTGAGTGGTATACACAGAAACATACCCGAAAATTATTTCAAGAACGTGACGTTGTAAAACTGCTTTAATGAGGGGTATATCGGAGGGATTTGAGGTTATCCTTGTTTCGCTTCCATATTTACTAAGGAGATTATTTACGTTTTTGTAATTGATTTCTATATCCGGTCTTAGGTTTGTAACATAAAATTCTAAAGCATCTTGTAAACTTAAAATGTCGTCTTTAAGTTGAACTGAATTATTTTTATCATTGTCATCAAACCGAAAATTTTTTGTTTCTCCAAGTGCAGATTGATACTTTGATACTCGTTGTTTCAAGTTAGAATTAATTTTTTCTAATTCCTTATATTTTGCTTCAAGATTTTGTTTTTCAACTAATAAAGAATTAAAGCTTTCCATTAGTTTATTATGAGAAACTTGATCATTCAAACTCTTTACATTATCTTCTTCAGGCTTTTTTTCATTGTTTTCTTCTGTGATATATTTATAAAGATAATTTATAATTTTTAAGGCTGATTTCTTATCTAACTTATCTAAATTTACAAAGCAATCATCGACATTATTGTTGGTAAAAGTAATTGGTAGATTAGGATTCATACTTTATTTATTATGTAGGTTCGAAAATTAAAGTCTAAAAAAAAAAATACGGAAACATGGACTTTTTATAGATAGGCTAGTAACACAACGAGTCAAATTTATCGCCGATCTTAATTGTTTAATTTCTACATTATGGATTAAAGTAAACTGATCTTTGAACGTTAAGTAAATTTAATTAGTAGTATGAAAGTATGTAGTAACTTCGCTCTAAGTAATGTAGGCAATGTTTTAATGTTTACGTATATGCGAAAAATTTATCGGTCGAATAGAGAGATACACGCTGTATATATATATACTGTTTATATGTATGAATATAATCTAGTTCACGATCGATTACTTTGAATTCATTTTAGTCCAATCATGCTTAAAAGAAACATAGCATTTATCACAGAGTTTACATTATCTAATTCATAGATATCAAAATTCATTTTTATAATAATCTTTAGAAGTTTAACGTTCTACATGTTTATATTTTTCGATGAAAATCAAATTAATCCGTTTCGAGAAATCGATTTCTATGGATGCACGCAATGTCGTGTCACAAAAATTCGGCAAAATTAAAGTAACATTGAATGCTTAGTTGCAAAACTTCTAAATATAATTATGTGATAAGATCGAATTTAGCTGTATTACAATTTACCTATTATAAATAAATCCACTTTAATTGCTCTATATATATGTGTGTGCAGCTTTTTTAAATTATTTCATGGTATAAGTAACTGTTTAAATTTACACAATTTAACGATAATAAACTTCTTTTAATATGTCATGGACAAATGATATACGTGTCGTGGTTGGTTTAGGTAAGTGTTTAATGATAAAAAAAAAGTGTGAGTAGCATAATGAACATATTATCATGATACTTTTATACTGTAAATTATTTTTTTTTAGATTTTGGAACCACTTATTCGGTAAATAAACAATCAATTGCAAATACTTTTCTATCCAGACATATTTTAATAATGATGGACTTAAAAATAGGGATTTACATATTGTCATGTTTCTAATAAAAATTTGCGTACTCATGACATTTGGCCTGGAGACATGGTACTTTTATTTTGACTTAATTCATAATTTATTTACTTTATAACTTCCTGACATTTATAAATCTGTTTGGAAAGTCTGAATTAAAAGCTAATACAGTGCTACTCTATGACGATGAACTGAAAAAAGTTGAACAATGGGGAAAACCCGCATTATCCAAACGTCCAAATCGAAGGAGAGCCGAAAATAAGCCAGTAAAATTATTTAAGTTGCATTTAGGTAATTTACAAGAACATCTTAAACCCAAACTTTCAGTAGATTATAAAAAAGCAATTACTGATTATCTTCGTGAGATTGGAAAGGTAGGCTTTGAAACATAAAGATTCGAAAATTAGACATAAATTTTAACTTTTTAAACATTTGAAGTTGATCAAAGGAACAGTTACGAAAAGTTGGCCCGGAATTGATTTTTTGGAAAATGTTCTCTTGGTTCTTACTGTCCCCGCGGAATATTCCGATAAATCAAAAGCGACGTTGAGAGAATGTGCATTTGATGCCAATTTAATTGGCAGCAAATTTTCGGAAAAATTGCAATTTACTACTGAACGTAAGTAAAAAAAAAAAAAAAAATTATATGTTTGAATGTAAGTGATTTCTTATTTCTTTCACTTAATTAGCCGAAGCTGCAGCAGCTTATTGCATGGAAACCATTTTGAAAGAACACGATCTGGATATAAGTGGAAGTACGTACTACATTAAATGTAAGATATTATCTATATCTTAAACTAAAATAATATATTTTTTAGCAAAATTTATGATCGTCGATTGTGGAGGTGGCACAGTAGATTTAACAACACGACAAGTGGAAGGGAAACAACTGGGCGAAATTACGGAAAGGGCGGGGGATTATTGTGGAAGCACTTTTATAGATAATGAATTTATAGAATACTTACGACGCGAACTTGGAAATAATGCTATAGAATTGTTAGAAAAAAATCATTATGGACAAATGCAATATATGATTCAGAAATTTTGTTCAGATGCAAAATTACCATTCACAGATGATCCAAAATTTAATTACACTTTAGATCTTGATGAAGTTTCACCCGCTTTAGCACAATACGTAACAGGTGATGTTAGAGAATCTTTGGAAGAGGCAGCGTGGTTGATTAAACTTGATTATGAAACTATGAAATCAATGTTTGATCCTGTTATCGATAGAATTATAGGTTTGATTCGTGCACAACTTGAGAATGCTCGTGAAAAATGTTCAGCAATGTTTTTAGTTGGAGGTTTTAGTGAATCAAAATATTTACAAAAAAGGATCAAGAAAGAATTCCAAAAGGATGTTGATAGGATTTCTGTTCCTTCAAATCCGATTGCTGCTATTTCGCGTGGTGCAGCAATCTATGGGGTTAGTTTTAATGATAATGCTGAAAATTCTAATAACACGGATGAAATAAGGTGCATTATAAGTTCTCGTGTGTTGAAATTCACTTATGGTATTAAAACTATATCATTATGGAGGGAAGATGATCCCGAAGAAAAAAGAATTCTTGATGGACATATATATCGTTTTACTCCTGTTGCAAAACGTGGGACTACCCTTTCAGTTAATGAAGAAGTTACTATTGATCAACTTACTCCTTTTTATCCTTCCCAAATGGATGGTACTTTTGAAGTTTATTATACAAGAGAATATGACGGGAATTTCTGTGATGAACCTGGAATGGAATTGTTAGGGACACTCGAAATTGACCTTCCAGGTATGTTATTATTTTAAGATAATCAGATAATCATTTTTTCTTACAAGTTTTTACAAAATTTATTCCTTATAGATCCGCATCTTGGGTGTAATAGATTTGTTACTTTTGGATTAAAATTCGGCGGAATGGAAATTACTGCAACCGCAAAGAATGATTTAAATGGTCAAAATTTTCAAATTTCTTTTGATATAGAAACCGAAAATTAGTTTTTATTTATATGTATATTTATGTGTATATAAATAAATGTTTTTACTAAAATAAAATAATAAATAAATAAATTATGAGGATAAAGATATAGTATATCAATAAATTTCGAAAGTTACATTAATTAAATTAAAATTTTTTATTGTAGGTTTCCAGACTTAAAATTTAAATTTGATTTTGAATTGGATGCGGTAAAACCTTAGCATGTGTGATTACTTTATAATCTGAATCTGAATCTAAATCCCTTCCTATTAGAGGAAAATAACAAAGATTAACACATATTTCATCAAGATCATCATCCTCCCATCTACCAGTCATTAAGTTTGGGTTTATTTTAATATTATTCTCAAAAAACTTAATATCAGGTACTGGTTCTTGAACCATTAAGCGAAACCAAAATATTTTTAACACATCTCTAATAAGTGTTGGCGCCAGCTGTTCTACTTCATTTTTTCTTTCAACATCATTGATTCGACGATATTGATTCATAATTTCATTCAAAGTTTGACTGGAATAATAAATGAAATTATGAATATGGGTGCCTTGGGAAGAAATAATATCTGAGAAACCTCGATTGCCAAGAATCTCGTAAATTTGTTGACGAATTTTTATTGCTGCAACCTTAGATACTTCATCAGTTCCAACGCGAGTTTCCGAGAATTTCTTTATTAAACTTAATAATTCACGTGCTTTTGAATCAATATCTGATTCTAGTGAAAACTCTTCCTCTCTATACTTTTTATAATTACCTAAAAATTCGAAAATTTGATGTAATACCTTACGTTGTAAAACTCCTTTAATAAAAGGTCTGTCTAGGTTTTCCGGTATTATTTCCTTTTCACAACTATATTGTTTTATAAGAATACCTACTTCTTTAAGATTGATATCAATTTTAGGTTTCAAACTTGTAACATAAGTTTCCAAGTTGCGTTGTAACTCTAAAATATCTTTTTTCAATTGAACAGAATGATTTTGATCATCATTACTCAAATGTACATTCATTGACTCTCCAAGTGCCGATTGATATTTCGATGCTTCATCCTTGAGTTTTACATTTCTTTGCACAAGATCACGAATATTATTTTCTTTATCGCTTAATTGGTTTTGTAAAGACATAATAATTTCTGTTTGTTCATGTATTTTTTGAGGATTAGCTTCGTTAATTTGTTGTAATTTTAATTTAGCTTCGGCGGAATTTTGTTTTAAAATTTGATTTTCTCTTAATAAGTTCTCATTATCTTCTTTCAATTTATTATTTTCATCTAATAATTTTTTTATTTGGTCATTTAATTCCAAGTCCTTAATTTTTGATTCGTAGTAATCTTTAGCTCTTGAGAAATTCCGCTCTATACTCAGCTTCTCCCTATATAAATTGTCACAATCTTCTTTCAGTTTATTATTCTCATCTTGTAAATTTCTATTTTGATCATTTATTTCATTAATTTCTTTACTCATAGTTTTTAAAGTTATCGATGTTTGTTCCATAATTTCTGTAAGAGAAGAATTTTCAGGTCTTTTCATATCGTAAAATTTTTTCGTTGTTTGAGGAAAACACTCATTGTAAACATTTTTGTCCGTTTCAGGATCATACATCATTTTATTATTATCAGAATCAGAATCATCCATTTTATCAGATAGTGTCTCAGCGAATGTATAATGTGAAGAATTCATTTAACGAGATTTTACCCTTATAAAAAGGAATATGAAATAAAAAGAAAAAAGAAGTAATTTTTTTTTTGGTGCGCTTTTATACTAATTTAAGTTGTATTACGTAAATGTGCCGTTAATCATTCCTGAAACAGGTAAGGTACTTGACTGTGCTTTTGTTGTTAATTGAGGGCTGTCGATCGATACTAATCAATGAATCAATAACAAAAATATTTAAATGCTCAGCATTTAGTCGACATTTTATTGGATGTGTTATACCGATCAAAGACCAATATATTTCCGTTTAATGATTATAAAGAAAATTATTTAAATTCAATTTTAGTAATTGGAAAATGAGGCTGAATAAATCCGGAAAATTCCAACAAAGCTAGGATTATCATTATACCACGGTATTTATATAATAGAAATTTTTTTTTTTTTACAAACATAAAAACATAATTTGTTTGTTTATTTATTTGTTTATTACGTAGAGAAATATAAGCAAAATAAGAAAATTTTTTCGTTAAAGAATACAACACTAGGAAAATAATGCTAAAACTGATTATCTAAATTCAATGCTAAGGCACATCCTGCCCCTCTGCAATCTCCACACGGGGCTGTGCGAAGGCTCTGTTATCTTAAAAATGTAATTTACCGTTGCAAACTTGCAAACGAAATTATTTTTCTTGACACATGATATTGTGATCATAATCAGATCGGTCCAAATACTGGCGGTTTGAACAACAAACCGAACCGATCGCAGTTTAGAAATTCCTGCGGATTAACCCGCAGTTTGAACGGGTTCAATTTATTACCCATTGTTTTGAATGTAGAATCAGCGGGCCTTCAGAATACTATTTTTAATCAATTTATCTTTTCATTGCGGCGGATTTATGAAATTTAGCAAAAACCCTACTGCGCCCTCGGGAATTAAAATTGACTTACAGAAACATTAAGCTTTTTTCCTAAAAAATTTCATAAATCCGCCATGATGTAAAGTGTTACATTATAAATTTAACAAAAATGGCGCTTTTGGGCAAAATGATTACTTAATTTTTTTTTTTTATATTAATTTATCGCTGAGAAATAGTGTGTAACAAAAAAACCCGGAATAACATGTAATAAAAATGCGTATTATAACGCTCAAAATAAACTGATTTCTTTGCGAAATTGAATAATAAACCTATGACCAAGATCTATATTATGATATCTTTTAAAGTTATAGTTACTTCATTATTTTTTGAAAAATTTCGCCGTAAATATTTGAACAGAAAAATATAACAAAAAAAATAAATTAAGATCACGTATATTGAATTTAAATTAAAAACATTCAAATATTGTTAAGAATAATGTAAAAAGTCGATACCAAAAAATCAGCAGTTTAGAAACATTTATGGCAGAATGATGAGAAATTTACTCTTCAAAATTCCTCAATTTTGGTATATAGTAAAAAGCTAAAAAATTGTTCAAATTACAAAAATGCGGTAGTTCGCTCAAAATAAGTGCATAATAAATTTGTATATCAGGGCTACATTTTGACATCTTTCATGATCATAATGCTTTTTTACTTCTTGAAAAAATACAAGTGTTGATTTTTGAAGAAAAAATATAATGTGAAATTTGTGAATTTAGAATGGATACAAAGTCATTGAAAATTTCTCAAATGTTATCAAGACCAATAGAAAAAGTATAAATTAAAAAATTTTTTTGACTATCTACTGCACTTTATGCAAAGAAATATATATTAATTCTAAATTAGTTATAAAAAGTTTTAATATAAAAAGATTATTATTATAAGCTTAATTATAAAAAATTAAACACCATTTTAATTTATCATTGATAAAATCTACAGGTTTTCAGCTTTCGAATAAGAATAATTTGGTGCGATCATCGACCATTTTTTAATTCCGTTTTTTTTTTGTTACACTCTGTATGAGCAACAACAATTTTTACGTTCAAGATGAGATTCTGCATATACTTAATTTTAGCCTTCATTATCTTTACCATTGCTAGATTGTTAACTCTTATGTAACAAGAATTTGATTTTAATTTTATTATTAATTAATTTTATCGCGATCTCGTTACTCAGACATCAGCATGAGGAATCTAATGTTTAATAATTTTGCCTATACCTTCACATATCACATGACTGCTGCTCAGTCTTAAAATTTTTATTATGGAGAAAAATGACATCAAATATTTTTATATTTTTTTAAGATATAGACACCTAACGTTACATAAGGACAAACATAAACTACTAGTCTAATAAATCCTAAATTAATGATAGAGCTCAACCTCTCTGGTGAAGCCAGAAGAAGTCGCCCTGCCCGTTATTCAAAGAGAACAACTATAGGCATAGCCTATGTCGTGAGAGGACCACGTAAAGAGAAAGAAGTAGAAAAAAAATTAAAATTAAAATTACAAGAAAAATTATAAAAATCTAACTCTAAACTACTAGGTTGCCGGATAAAAGATGACCATCCACAATGTAAAAGTTACAAGTGCACGAGATCAACCACATCGGCGGATGTAGGATGAGAAGGTGGGGGCGCAATGACATCAAATATGACGTAGCAAAAGTATAATGTAACATAAGTATAATGTAACATGACCTAACTGCTAACGTGTTACGGCATAACTGCATATATAGGCCAATCATTCAGTTATTTTAAAAGGTTTTCCCCTTCAGTTAGTGTTAATTTTTTTCTAAAAAAAGGCAAAACTATTATGGAACGAGAAGAAGTTCGCACCACTACCGATACAACAAACTATGATAAAGTCATAAATGACCCTTTATATAAAGATATAAAACTTAATGAAAAACTAACTGAGGAATTAAAATTATCCGAAACGCTTTGTAATCAATTTAAGAATAGTTTGGGAAAATATTATCAAGATTTACAAAACAATTTTAATATTATTAATAATATTTTAGGTGAAAAAGAAGAATTAAAAAAAAATATTGGTGATTTAGATGATCATAATTCTAAATTGGTTAGACTATTAGTAGAAAATTTAGAAGAAAGAAATAATGTAGTCCAAAGAAAGGACACTGAAATCCAAGAAAAAAATAATGTAGTCCAAAGAAAGGACACTGAAATCCAAGAAAAAGATAATGTAATCCAAGAGAAGAATAAAATAATTCAAGAAATGGTAGATTTACTTCAAGTAAGGGATAACTTAATTCAAGAACAGAAGAATGAAATTCAGACTATTGTTAAGAAACTTAAACAACAGGATAAAGAAATTCAGAAGATTCAAGAGAAGGATAGAATAATCAAAGAGAAGAATGGCCTAATTCAAGAAAAGTGTAACAATATTCAAGATCTTGTTAAGAAGATTCATGAACAGGATATAACAATTCAAGCGAAAGATTACAATATTCAAGTAATTGCTCAGGAATATAACAGATTTCAAAAATTTGTTGAAGAGAAGGGTAAAAATATTCAAAAAATTTCTGAGGAGAAGGATAAAAAAATTCAAAAAACTGTTGAGGAGAAGGATAAAGAAATTCAAGAAAAAGATAAAGCGATTCAAGAAAAAGATAAAAAGATTCAAGAAAAAGATAAAAAGATTCAAGAAAAAGATAAAAAGATTCAAGAAAAAGATAAAAAGATTCAAGAAAAAGATAAAACGATTCAAGCGATTCAAGAAAAAGATAAAGCGATTCAAGAATTAAAACAAGAAAATCATAAATTGAAAGAAGCAGCTTCTGAATACCAGTATGCCCCAACTAGTTATCGATTTTCAGATGATGATAAATATAATCCAATTAAACTTAGAGAAGACATAATAAATTTACAACATTCACTAGAAAATTACATTACCAAATGTAAAGGTAACGTGGAAATCAATATTTCTGAAGTGCAGAATCTCTTGAGAAAATATGGAAGTCAAACAACTATTACAATAGATCAAAAACCTTTAATTAAAGCAGTATTACAACGTCACGTTATTGAACAAATTATTAAATATGGAGAAGAATATTTTGAATTTGATAATTTACATAATCACTGGAAATATGGTGATGGAGCCGAAACTAATTTATATAATAAAACCTATGAAATAGCACAATTAGCAGAAATTTTAGCATCAGAACGAGACGGTATTGATGAAACAACTAGAACATTGTCTATTAAATTACGTCAAGAAGTATTTGCAGCTCTTGGAAATAGAGGGTTTAAAAAAAATATTAATAAAAAAAAACATGATTTTATTAAAAAAAATAAATCTAATCTAAACAAAGAAATTAACAAATATCGTAAACTTAAAGATCCCGAGCAAAACCAAGAAGTTGAAGTTATGGCTGGTGAAATTATTAGAAAAGTTGTTGCTTTATTTTGGTTTCTAATTGAAATTCAAGAGCCAGTTGCCGAATACCGTTGGTTTAATTGTAATAGTCATATTCAACCTAAATATATGGAAGGAACATGGGAAGGTGATGAAATCAATAATATAGCTGTAGATATTTGTTATTTTCCTTTAATAGAATGCAAGCCAAAACATCAAATTTACACACCTGCTAAAGTCCTTCATAAACGGAGATACTGAACCACGGTTTCTGAAACCGTAGAAAACTAGCCTTTACTTTTAATTATAGATGATATTCTTTATTAACAAATTTTGTAATATGAATTATTTAAATCTTACGAATTTTTGCGTTAAATAATTTTGAAAATTTCAAAACTGTAATTTCCATACCAACAAATAAAATCAAAAGTGAAAATTAATTCCATCCTAAGATTGTCCATGATGATATCTTGCATTATATCATATAATTCAAATTTTTAAGCTTATTTGAGATAGGTTAAGCCGTTAAAGGGCGTATATTTAACTTCTATTTCATCCATTACAACCATTATGATGTTCCATAAGTAAATTTCAATATATATCATGATCGCATCTGTTTTTGAGAAATCTTTACCTTAATCTACACATACCATAAACAATTGCTGATAAAGGAATTCTTTTTTTAATTATTTTTTTTCTGCAAATATTTACTTTCATTGAATCCTCTAACTAAATAATTGCTGAACGGGTTTCTCCATTATTTCAATTTTTTAAAAATTATATATTCACCATATGAATAACAATAGTAAGTATCAAGCACTATTTTTTCTTATTTAATCCTTATATTTCTTAACTGACATTTTCTAATGAAATTCATTAATATCTAGTTCATAACAAATTTGGTACACTTTTTTACAGAATTTTCGAACTATAACGTTTAAATGACCATGATGATTGGAATTTCTGATACAATCAGTGATTTCGCTCAATCGTTATTCTTGCGAGCGGTTAGGTCTTTACCAATCAACTTGTGGGCGGTAAAGTCTATAGTATTTCCACCACAGCCAACGATTATAAAAGGTATCAAAAAATCAATTAAATAATTATCAAATAATATATATCAAATAAATAAATATTCAGACTTACTTCCTATAGGTAAGTTAACCTATAGGAACTAAGGTAATAGATCATATTGTTTAGATTTATTTCCATGGCATTAGCTCCTGAAATAAAATAATAATTAATTAATTAATTATAAAAACTTTTCCTTTCCATTATTTTACTTACGTCCTGTAATAAATTCTGAGTCTTTTTGGTAAGAACCAAGAAAACATTTCTACTCCGGCTTCTTTAGTGCTAAAAAAATGAATAGTTTCAATAAATTTGGGATTACATGCATAACTCATAATAAAAGATTATAAAAGATTAATAATCATTTTACCTCCTATATTTAAGATTTTCTTGCGAAATCTGAATGTAATTTAAAATATACTGTACCTAATCTCGTTACATTTATAGTTCCAAATCTGAGATTACGATCATATTGAAGTACCGTACTCATTTCCGGACTCTCTTCTCTCGGTGACCGCTTTGTGTTCATGATTATGTTGTTGTCTAATATATGACAACAAGTGAATTTTTGTAAAAAAAAAAATTCATCTTAAGAATCTTAAAAATACTCACCGAGCAAGTGGTACCAAAATCTAAGTGAAAAAAAAATAAAATAAAATAAGTGAATAAATGAGTAAATGTTAAATTTATCAGCTGAAAAATTTAATTGTTGATTACCTTATCTAAACAAACTACAAGATTATTGAGCGTTATTCAACAAAGACCAAATCCTTTACAACTGTAGTAGTTGATACAATTTTGTTAAATTCATTTTTAGTTCTAGATCGAATTAATTAATCCACCGACATTAAAACTAACCTATTTTTTTATTTTTGCGATTGACCTAATTGCTCTTCATAAAATGTAAAATAAATCTTTGGTATCAACATTACAATCTACAATTACGAATTAATCTGTAATAACAACATATTATTAGAAATATCTTTGACATATTATATTTAAATGACAACATGAATACGAACCTCCGGACTTTAACTTTTCCAAAGGATTCAGAAAAAGCAGCATCAGCTAATTTGACACGAAAAATTAATAATCATGACAGCCCTTTATCCATTCGAAGAAAACCTTGCTACTTACGTTCTGTTATAAATAATAAATTATTTTTTTCCAAAGCACAATCACGCATCATTGCAATTGCATATCATCAAATTTCAAGTTGCCTCCCCCTGTTTGTTCAGCTGTAAGAGCTGCCTTCAGGGCCCCGGTGATACCTGACAGACCTAGTCCGACGGGCAGGTAAGCCTTGGATATACTTACAGATCATTTAACTTACAGACCATATCATCAAATTTCTGCTGGTATCATAAAATAAAATAAACAATAAATCAGACAGGAATCACATTATCAATACCAAATTTTAATAAAATTACAAACATAAATACAATGAACGCGCTATAAATTTGCGCATATGAAAATTGCCTAATTTTTTTTGTATAATCTTAAATGTAAAACGACAAAATCCTCGGAATAAAAAAATATAGTTTTGTCATCAAAATGAATCTACTAGGATTCTAATAAACAAAAAACGATATCTTTGATGAATCGTTATAATCGAAAATAAATTAATGAACAAAACAGTTCTATAAACAATACAGGTTAAAAACAAGATTGACTGTAAAATGTATTAATATATAAATATATTTTGTATTTCAGATGTCAGATCTCTATTTTTCAACACATAACACGTGCGTTCATTTTTTTTTACATAATAGATTTTCATTACTTTCCAAATATATTATTAAACTTACAAATGTTTTTATTAAATATTTTTTATTAACAATTTTTATTAATCTTCTTCAAACTTACAGTATTTTCCATTTATTGATTTGGATTAATTAAAATTGTCTCTATTTTAATAGACATAATTATAGTCTAACTACTTTTTTTAATTAAATATCTGTATTAACAAAAACAAATGAAAAAGAATAATTCGAAATTTTTTAAATATTGTCAGTTCATATTTGGTGTAATTAAAATTCACAAGAAAAAAAAAAAAATTTTTTATTAAATAAAAATTATTTTTTTCTTACTTCAATAAGAATTATTATCGGTTGAATTTGATTTGTTAATTATTGAACACTAGAACATTTATTTGACTGAGCTGACTGAATATCATCTTGCAATGGTGGTTGTTCGGGTTTGGGTTTTTGTAAGATTATAGCTTTTGTATAAATTTGACGTTTTGACTCATTACTGAATTCTTGTGCTATCAAGGGAAAGTAACAAATATCTACAACTAAGTTATCGATTTCATCATCTTCCCATTTTCCTTCCATATAGCTTGGATCTATTATGTCATCACTTTTAGGCCAAATATATTCAACAACTGGTTCTTGAACTTTAAGTCGAAACCAAAATAAAGCAACAGCTCTTTTAATAATGTCACCAGCCATGTCTTCGATTTCTTTTTTTTTTTCAGAATCATTTATCCTACGATAGTAACTAATTTCATTGTTTAATATATTTTGATAACGACTAACAAAGTCATGTGTAAATGTTTTTTTTTTATTATCAATCATATCATTAAATCCCCTATTTCCAAGAGCTGCACAAATTTGTTGTCGTAATTTAATAGGTAACACTTTAGTTGATTCATCAATTCCAGCGCGTCTTTTTTCGAAATTTCTTGTTAATTCTACTATTTCTTTAGTTTTATTAAATAGATGAGTTTCCATTCCACACGGATATTTTTGATATTTGTCTGGGTTATCAAAATATTCCTTCGCATATTCACAAATTTGTTCGATAACATGACGTTGTAATACGGCTTTAACTAAAAGTTTGTTTTGATCTTTTTCCGTAATTATTTTATTGCTTTCATATTTTTTCAAGAGATTTTGTATTCTAGGAGTATTAATGTCTATTTTACCTTTAACAATGGTATAATCTTTTAAAGAATCCTGTAAAGATAAAATATCTTTTTTTAGATTAATTTGATTATTATCATTATTGGAATCAATTGCAGAAGCTTCTTTTTTGAAATTATTAATATCTTGTTCTAACAATCTTATATCGGTTGCTGTTCCAAGGGCATATTGATATTTAGAAACTTCATTTTCTAATTCAATAGTTTTTTGTTTTAACGTTTCCGTCTCCTCACCAATTTTTTGAATTTCGTTATTTTTCGCTTGAATTGTTTTATTCTTCCTTTGAATTGTTTTACTCTTCTCTTGAATTGTTTTATCTTTTTCTTGAATAATAATATCATTTTCTTGAATTATTCTATCCTTTTCTTGAATTATTCTACCCTTTTCTTGAATTAAATTTTCTTTTTCTTGAATTATATTATCCTTTTCTTTAAGTTCTTTATTTTTTTCTTTAATTAAGTTATCCGTTACTTGAATCTTCTTATCTTTCTCCTGAATTGCATTATCCTTTTCTTGAATTATATTATTTTTTTCTTCTAAAGTTTCTACTAATAGTTTAACTAATTTAGAATTATGATCATCTAAATCAACAATCTTTTTTTTCAGTTCTTGCTTTTCTCTTAGAATATTATTGACATTATTAAAATTATCTTGTAAGTCTTTACAATATTTTTCCAAATTTTCATATTTATTCTTTAATTGATTACAGAGCGTCTCAGAAAATTTTAATTCCTCGTTAAGTTTTTTGTTAAGTTTTATTTCTTCATATATAGGATCATTTATGATTTTATCATAATTTGTTTGATAATTTGTAACTTCAGATACACTTTGGTCCATAATAATTTTAAAGGAGAAGAAAGACTAAAATATAAAATATATCATATTAAAAGGCTTTAAATAATGATTATCCTTACACAAATTTCATAATTAGAAGTTTGTGCTCTCGGATCAGTGAAGTAAATTATGTATGATCTAACCATCTTTTACAAAATCGTCAATTAACACTGAACTTATGATATTTATCATAAAAGTCACTGAAAAAAATTTATGAAATTTATAATTTAAATAAATTTCAACTGTTCAAATTAATTTATTAAATTGTTATTATTATTGAAATTCTGCCAATAATTTGTGCTTCGTTTCATAAAATTGGATGAGAAATTTATTTTTAATTCTTCATATAACTTAATTATTCCTTTATTTTAAGATATACAGCGTAAAATTTCTCTAAATAAAATTCTTTGAACGATATTTTAAATAAAAAAATATAATTTATTAAATTTGGATCTTTTTTACTCGTTCTGTAAAAAATCGGAAATTATTGATATTAGTGGAATACTGTACTCTTATCTAGAGCTTGGAAACGGATAATCTTAAGATTAAAATGTTTTGAAAAAAATTGTATCCGAGTATCTTATGTAAGTTTGTAACGAGTAACTCGAATAGAAATTTAGAGTTACTCGAATTATCTGATTATCTGCGCAGCAATTATCTGTTATGTTTTATTTTAATAATAATCAATTAAAAATGATGACATAAATCTTTAAATCAGTTGAAGCCTCCACAGGATAATAATTATTTAACGGAAAGCCGTAGATATCATTGATCATCCCGGCGAAGCCATGAGATTAAGGCTTGTTCCGTCACTTCCGTGAAATAACTGGTTTATATAATGTTATGTATACAATTTTTAACTTTTTAACTATTGATAGATTTTTAGCTTTTCCTTTTAAATAAACATCATTCATAAAAGTATCAATAAGGAAAATTACGGATGACTATGAGGAAACGTACTAGTTATTGGTACTTTTGCCGTAACATTTATTTCTTTACATAATTTGATTTTGATTTTGATACTCTATTTTCTTCCATATTCTTAAATGCAAAAGAGAATACTAGGAAGATGAGAAAATTTTAAAATGATAAATGATCTATATAGATAACGAGAGTGTGTGTTTCCTGTTCATCGTTGTGGCTGATTTGGTTAATTTAGAGTTCGTATCCGTTAATCCGTTAAAAAACGGAAATCTACAAAGGCGCTGCAAAATAGTTAGTTAAATTTCGTGTTTTATAAGTTAAGGAAGTTAAGGAATCACAAATTGCCTTATTGAAAATTATTTTTTTTATCATTTTTTTTACACGATTTATATCATGTGACTATGAACCTTATACCCAAGTAGTATGTTTGTGCGACAATGTTTTATATATATATGCCACTTCCATCAAAAAATCAAAAAAAAATTTCTCGCTTATATGTTTCATACAATTTATGCAATAATAAATATCTTAAGAGATGCTAATTTTTTACGAATTAAAACAATTGTTAATATTGTAAATACTTAGAAAGGGCTAATACACAAGATGAACAATTATTTTTTTAATTGAAAAATTTTATTTGAAACTTTGATTAAATCATCAACAAAGTAATATCTTTGTAGGTAAAATTTTATTTAAGTTTAAATTTTAGTTGTAAAAGCACCTGATCTGAAATCTCAAAAAAAATTTTTTTTTTTTTCTTAAAAGGTTGGTACAATAGACGTCCTATGTTATTACGTTACCGCCCGATTGGGATGGTACCTGATTGGAGTGAATATTTTTAAATTAGTAAAAAAAAAAATATAAAAAAGATGATTAGAAATATGGCTATACCTGGGAGTTAATTTTGAAGACTTTTTTTAAGCGGATTAAGTTGTTTAAATGAGAATATCTACGGTACAACAACCAAATAGAATTCAGAGAATAAAAATGGTTCCTGAAATTGGATTAATAATTAGGATCATTATATTGATACGGTACTTGTTTGAAGTGGAATATTTTAAATTATTAAATTAGTAAAAAATAGAAGATAATTAGAAAATATGACTTCATGGATGTGGTTAATTTGAAGACTTTGAATGGATTAATTTGTTTAATTACATCCATCTAATTTAAGAAAAATCAAAAACCTTGGACACCCCGCAATTACATTATAAGAAAGCAATAGAAGATTATTTAACTCGAATACAAATATTAATTACATTAGAAAGAAGGAGGACGACAAATAATATCAATTGAACTCATTCCCATTATACAATAGTCATGCGCGAATGTGTATATAATGCTGGCCTCTTAACTACATTAAACTCTGCCAACCTCGAGTTTATTACTGAACGTATGTATAATAATCTATTATTTTAACGTCATCGAATTAGCGTTGGAACTAAATTTCACTTTGTTACAGCGGAAACAGTTGTTTTACGTTGTTGTAATGTTGTTAAGGATCATAATCTTCGTTCTGGAGGTAATAAATTTTTTTTTTTATAAAAAAAAAGGTATTTCCTATAGGTTACTTATCGGTATGTACTTTTTTTTTCAAGAAAGTTGCTTTCCTATTTGCAGGCGATGACGCAGTCAATATTATATCGCGATAACTTCTTCAGCACAACAAATTAAGTGAGATTACTAAACGTATCGGCGATCTATGTGAGTAGCACGTTGATAAGGAACCTTACGTTGGCTTGGACGTAGAGTCGGATTTCAAGTATTAGGAAAATTAAAATGATGTAATTATGGACAAATACAGAAATTGATTCAACGAATTTTTTATCTTTGGGTTAAATTTAAATTTAATGGAGATTCGAAAGAATTTAAAGCAAAAGATGAAAGAAGCTGGATGTATCTTAATCAATTTCTATATCACTTGATAATGATGTTTCAAATGAGCTAAAACAATTAATTTCTTTAAAATAATTTAAAAGTTTTAGAGATCTATGATAATATTTGGACAAATATTTATACCTGTTTTGACAATACTCCAATATGTTAACAAAATTGCATTTTTGTAATGTAAGTGACGAAGACAATGATATACCATTATCATTTATAGGATTATTTAAAAATTTACAAAAAATTATATTTTCATGGAACGATGTTCTGCAATATTTTTAGTAAGCGAATTTAGTTATCTTTTGAGTAGAGTAAGAGGAGTCTTTATAGATCAAGTTTCGATTACTGTTGTACCAGCTTTGTCAACGGCAGTAGCTGCTAGAGGTGCTATAACATATGGATCAAACGTTGAGAGAACGTTCTTAAATGGACTTATGGGGAAGTTTTTCAAAGTTTGGTACGTGTAATTTGTTCGGTTTTATTCTTTACGCAAAATAGATTTTATTCTATTTCGATTAACATTATGTAACATATATTTTTTTAGGTTGCGTGTAAAGAAAAGAAAAATGGAAAATCGATTACTCTATAGTTAGATTTTGTTAAAGAATTTTTTCCAGTATTATAAAAAAGATGATTTTGGAAATATTGTGATGAGGAGCTGGCTTTACGTATTAACATGTATCATCTGGTAGAATTCTCATTGATTTTACTAAAATAGAAATTTAAAGCAAGGAATAAGAAAATGGAAAAAATTTATGATGAAGCAGCTTTCGAATTAGACATTTAATTAAATAAAGAGTATATTTATTTATTTAAAACCGAAAATAATTAATATTAAAAACAAAGTGTAAGATTAAGACGGATGCTGTCGCAAGCGAATGAATGAAAAAAAGACTTTCCGGATGATAAAGTTTAAGATTCATGGGCTGATTGATTCAAAAGTAGAATCGTGTGATCTTTTTGGTTTTCTTTGATCAAATAGAGAAAGAATAAGATCCTTTGAAGAGGATGAAAATTGGTTTTTAACGAATAATGAAATAAGGCTTTGTAGGACTGATTTTAGATGATATAATTAAAATTTATTCTAAAACTAGTCTTTATTTTAAAGATATAAGAAGGAATTTAATGGTACAGACTTTTACTTATAGCTTTGAGATACGTTACGTTAGATGTCATTTATTGTGTCAATAAAGTAGATTATTTTCATATTATCCTTTGACCACGTTAATTTTTATCGTAATTATTGTACTGTAATAATAATTTAAACTTAGCACGTAATGAAAACCGTCTTGACCGTTAAACATCGTAATACGCTCGTGCTGTTCATCATCTCCTTTATCTACAAGTAAGAATTGAACGCGCAGTTCAATCCGAGTTGTAAACCCTGTTCCAGATGAACATCGTGATGCCAACTATAATTTAAGTTATAACATAATGTTGAATGGAATTATCTAAAAAGGAGTGTCTATCTGTACGATTTTATAGTAAGTCTGAAGAGTCCGGAACGAAAAAAATATTTTAGCAATCATAAGAACCTATGAAACATAAGGATACATAATAAGTCCTGTAAGACAATTAAATAATTTTTTATGTTCTTTTTAGAAAATTTAGCAAGTGAAAATTTATCTTAAATGTGAAAACTAACGCGAATCGTTATTTTTCACATTAATTTAACATATAATTGGGAAATTTACAAGTAGTATAATTAGATTTTAATATTAATTTTCATTATGCTAATAAATGGTAATGTTTTTTTTTAATAATTGCCGTATACAAAATATAAAAATAATAATAATAATAATAGTAATAGTAATAGTAAAAGTAATAGTAGTAAATTATTTCATTTAAAAAAAAATCAAAAAATCCCTGCTTACAAAATTTCAAAAGTACACTTCGCCCTACTTATTCTATTCATAGTCACTATTGCCAGATTCCGGTCCTGAATTAGTAGTGTTTGACAAGTTGCTTATTCTTTTTGCAACTTTACTGCTCATTGATATAACATAGGATTTGTATGATTTGCTTTTTGTAAATACCTGAGCAGGAGTATATACTTTACGATTCTCCACATCATCCAAATCTTGGCCAATCACTGGAAAAGAACAAACTTCCACTACTAAGTTATCAATATCATCTTTATCCCAATTTCCTTCCATAATACTTGAGTCAACATCAGAATTTATCGGAATCCATTTTATTTGAGCACTAGGTTCTTGAATCTTTAAACGAAATTGAATTAATCTAACGAATTCCCGAATTATATCAGGCGCCAACTTTTCGACAGATTTCCGTTTTTTATCATCTTTAATTATACGATATTTATTCATTTCACTATTTAATTTGTTTTTATGAAGATTAATGAAAACATGTTCTTGTGATATATCTTTTCCATCCGATATGATATCTGAAAAACCTCGATTACTAAGAGCGATATTAACCTTTTGTCGTATTTTTATTGAGGTAGCATGGGTTGTTTGGTCCGATCCACATCGAGTTTTAGAAAATTCAGCTAGTTTATCTTCTAAATCTTTTGATTTGGAAATAATTTCCGCTTCCAAGTGCAATGCTGATTCTGTCTCTGAATTTTGATTGAAATACTTATTCATATCCTTTATTATCTTTTTTAAAATGTGGTGTTGTAAAACTGCTCTAATTAATGATTTTTTAGGATTTTCAGGAGTAACAGAGGTTTTAATATCATACTTTTTTATAAGATTATTAATCGCATCGAACTTGATCTCAAAATCTCCTTTTAATGTTGTAACATAATTTCTTAATTTATTTTGTAATTCTGAAATATCATTTTTAAGTTGAACATGATGATTCCTATCATCGTCATTTATTCGAAAATTTGTTGCACTACCAAGTGCGGATTGATATTGAGATGCTTCCTTTTTAAGTTCTATATTTTTTTCTATGAGACGATATTTTTCTTTTTCCATTTTTTGTAATAAATTATTAAGATCACTTATCTCTCTGGAATATTCTTCATTCTTTATCTGAAGATGCCGAAGTTCAGAATCCTTAGAATCCTTCATCTCATTATTTGTACTACTTTGAGCTAAATTTTGTTCTAATTCGTCATACTTAATTCTAGAAGATAGTTGATCATATTTTTGGCTAAGTGTTTCCAAACTTTTTTTGAGCTCATTGTTTTCATCACGTATTGTTTCATAATCATCTGAATTCTTGGAAGATTTGGACACCTCATCTTTAAGTGTTTCGTTTTCAGCAAGAATTTTATCTAGATTGTCTTTAAATTCTTTGAGCGGATTATTTCCATAATCTTTTTCAGCACGAAGTGTTAACAAACTTTCTTCGGATTGTTTATATTTTTCAGAAATTTCTTCGAGCTGAGTTTTGAGTTTATCTATCTCTAAACTGGAATTTTTCAGTTCATCTTTAAGTTGTTTATTTTCTTCACGGCCATCAATTTCCCAATTTTTATATTCAACACTCCAATTATTGTCATTATTATTTAATGTAGTATTTTTTGATTCATCCATATACTGTATTTAGTACAATTTTCAATATTTGTTAGATTGATTTTTATTTTAATTTTGTTTATCTTTTTTTTGGCAATAAAGCAAAAAAAAAAGAAAAATATATTACAGATTAGTTATCACAACCCTTATCTGCATTATTGTGAAACAAATTATGTATGCGTTATGTATGATTAAGGACCATTGTTTCCATTTTGGATATGATATTCCATATAAGAATCATGAGAAAAAACTTAATTTTATTGATGAGAACAATAAAATATTCATTCATTTGGCGCAAAAAAAGTAACCAAAAAAGTAACATAAAAAGAAAATTGTGATTAAATCGAAAACAAAGTTCATTTAACTCTTTTAACCATAATTATTCGATACCGAGATAAAAAAAACTTTTGTTTTTTTTTCATTATAATAATAAATAGAAAGATTATCGGATTATATCACCAATGAATTTCATATAAAAATTAATGAGTAAATGAGTTTATTATTTTTTTTTTTTTTTTTTTTTTTTTCGTTCCGATTGAACATCAATAATAATGTCATGGGTAAACGATATTCGAGTTATAGTTGGTTTAGGTAAGCAACTATTTTAAGAAATGTCGGATTTTTTATTTTGTGATAAATTAATTTAAACTATTTTTAAACTATTAATTATATTAAATATTTGTTTAAATTCATAGACTTCGGGTCCACCTATTCGGTAAATTATATATTTTCATTATATTATAAACAATATATATGTATATAATATATTCTTAAAGAAATGTTTTTTTTTCTTTCTTTATGATAGGGATTTTCGTTATATCATGTCGACTCTGATGATATTAAGACAAACAATGAATGGCCTGGGCCTGGAGGAATTGGAAAATTCAAAACAAATACGGTACTTCAATATGATGATGATTATAAAAACGTTATATTATGGGGTCAACAAGCCTTATATAGGAAAGCTCCTAAGAAAAGTAAAGATAAAGAAATGAAACCTGTAGAATTATTTAAATTATATTTAGGTAATTGTTTAGAAAAGCATAGACCAAAATTACCCGTAGATTATAAAAAAGCGATTTCCGATTATCTTCATAAAATTGGAGAGGTAAAATTTTAAATAATTAAATAATTATCAATTTAATTTTAATTAATCTCGAAAAAATTTTTTTTTTTATAAAAAGTTAATTAAAGAAACTATTCCTAAATATTGGATGGGAATTGATTTCATGGAAAACGTTCTATTAATTCTTCCTGTACCAGCTGAATATTCAGAATTGGATAAAGCTATAATGAGAGAATGTGCATTCAATGCTGGATTGATTAATAATAGATCTTCGGAAAAATTACAATTTACAACAGAACGTATGTTTATAATTATTATTTACTGGTTTTCTTTACTACGAAGAAATATATTAACGTTAATATTAAAAAATGAATGTTAGCCGAAGCTGCAGCAGTTTATTGTATGAGTAAAACCTTGAAGCAACATTATCTTAAAGAACCCGGAAGTAAGTCTAAAAGTATGCTTGAAAATTAAATTATTTGATTTTATTGTTTATTAATTATTATTTATTCATTCTTTGATCAAGCAACTTTTATGATCGTTGATTGCGGCGGTGGCACGGTAGATTTAACAACACGTAAATTATTAGAAGATAATACATTAGGTGAAATTACTGAACGATCCGGAGACTTCTGCGGGAGTACTTTCATTGATAAAGAATTTATCAAATTGCTTAAACATAAAGTTGGAAATGAAGCTATAGATTTGTTAAGTGAGAGACATTACGGTCAATTACAACATTTAATTCAAGAATTTTGTCAAACTGCAAAGATACCATTCGACGGTGATGAACCAAGTTTTAGAAGTTATGATTTGGATCTTGAAGATTCGGTGTTATTACAATATGTCACTGGTTCAGAAAAAGATTGGTTGAAAGATAAAGAATGGGTGATCGAAATTGATTTCAACACTACTAAATCCTTATTTGATCCTATTGTTAATAGAATTATTAAAATGATTCGGATTCAGCTCGATAATTCTAAATCTGAAAAATGTTCTGCAATATTCTTAGTTGGAGGTTTCAGTCAATCCAAATATTTACAGAAAAGAATCAAAGAAGAATTTATCGACTTGGTAAGAAATATCTCAACTCTGAGTCAACCTGACGCGGCTGTTGTACGTGGTGCAGCAATCTACGGGAAAAGTTTACAACAGTCAAAAAGCTTGATGAATATGAATAGATACAAATGTATTATCGCAACTCGCGTATTAACACATACATATGGAACTAAAGTATCTCCGAAGTGGAAGGAAGGTGATCCACCAGAACGACGCACTTCTCATGGGTTAATTCATAAATTTCGTCGTATTGTAAAACGTAAAACTGAAGTCGAAATCGATCAGGAAATTGATGTTGGACAATACGCTCCTATTGTTCCGAATCAAACAAAACTGAGCTTTGATTTATACTATACAAAAGAACAAGATGCTGTTTATTGTGATGAACCTGGTGTGGAATTTCTTGGAGAATTTCTTATTGATCTTCCTGATGTAAAATTAGGAACTAAAAGAATCTGTAAACTTAGCATATTATTTGGTGATATGGAAATTAAAGCTAATGCCATTAACGAAACAAGCGGCCAAAATTATCAAACAAAGTTCAAATTTAACGATTTTTAGATATTATATTTTATATATGCTTTTAAGTAAGTAAGTAAAAGTCATAGTTGGACTTTGTAAAAAAACTAAATCTCTTTAGAAAGCTTTGATTTAATAGTTTTTTACATATTTACCGAACCACTATATTTATATTTAATTAATAAATAAGCAAAATGTTGGAAAATATTTTTAATCTACTTTTGGTTCTTCTTAAATTCTATTTCATGAATAAATTTGGATCAATTAAATTTCTACTACAAATTATACGAAACAAAGAGAAAAAAAAAATCTATTCTATAATATTTTTTAAAGTCCTGAACGGGTTTAAAAAACATTATGTACATTTATACCCATTACCGAATCGAAACGCTTCTAGAAATAAAATTCGGGTCAACTTTGGGACTAAGCATTAGACTCTACAAGCAAATGAATTTTTCTAACAAATTTAACAAATTTTCGAATTAGTTCTGGCGCTATTTTCTATCTACACGATATTTAACCGTTTGATTATTTTCATGAATAGGTGTTGAAAACATATTCTTGTAGTCTTCCAAAGATTTTTTGAGAAATAATTTAAGATATTTCTAATTCTTTTTAGGTGCAATTCTTCTAGTTGCAGTACTAACTTTTGGATTTATAATATTGTTCGAAATATTTATTCATATCAGTAATAATCACCTTATTAGAATGAACTGAATGGTTCCTAGAGACTGGCCAAATGCGGTATGGGCGTTTTTCTGGCGAGACACTTCTTTACTAGTAAGTATTGATCTCGTTATTTATTTAGTAAGTTTAATATATTCTTTCTTAACTCAAGTCAGATCATACTTTTGATTTTTTTTTTTTTGGCTAAGCCAGAACTTGGACTCGAGTCAACTCGGCGACTATTAACTCGAGTGAATAAATCACGTGATCAAATTCTGACTCGATTCAAAAGATCTGGCGAGTGCTGAGTTGGTGTAATTTTATATTATCCGTTACAATATATCTAATAAAATATATACAGGCGCTACAACAGTTTTAACTAAATTTCAATCGTTGCATAAGATACTTCAATTTCTCAAATTTCCAAAGTATATAATGTATTTTCACGTGTAATCGATTATAATAGTAATCTCTCAGCTTTGAAGACGTTGAAATCATTACTTATTTTGCATGATAATGATACATGATAATTATATTTATATACTACTAGATTAGTAAATAACTAATACTTATAATCATGGAGATTTCGCCGTAATAATTTTTTCAAATGAGGAGTGAAAGGCTTGATACGGAATGTAAAAACTTTTGAACGCTTAGCTCACCTTGAACAAATTTTCATTAAATTGGAAAAAATCTAGTCTTAAGTTAATCCCAGAAAATTGCTATTTCTTTAAAAAGAATTACCTCTTCTTCGGGCATGTAATTAGCCGGTATCCAAATTGATATGACAAACTGTGTAAGTCACGTGAGGGCTACGTTATCTGCACGCGTCATGTTATCAACGTTATCAACTGGCAAAAATAAAAAAAAGAGCTTATTAAGCATATTCATCGGAATTTATAATTATAAAAAAACCAGAAAGAGTATAATTAGCTAAACCAGTTGTGGTTATACTAAAGTTGTACGGAATATATTATAAAAAGACTCCGGGTTAAGTGTTCAATGAGTTTCCAATTCCTTCATATTCAGGGGCTATGTGTAAATAGCAAAATCCCATTACTTAATAATAATTACTTAATCTCTGCTTATCATTATTGTTATCATTCATTCCATTTGGAGGTATCTCCTTATTCATATATATAGTAGAATATACGTGAATATACTTATTTAATTTTTAAAATGACGTAAAATTTTTTCTTTATTGTATAACCAAAAAAAGAAAAGGGACAAAGAAATGAAAGTAATAAAATAAAATTGGGTATAAACCATAAATCGATAGTCCATATGATCAAATATTACTAAGAATAAAAATAAAGTTTTTTAAATATATTAAATATATTATAGTTTAAAATAAATAAATTATTATCTGAATAATATTTCCTCATGAATTTATATTTAAACATAATCGGATAGCAAATATTTATTTTTTTTTTCTTTCAATTTCGTTAATAATAATTATTATTTTGTACATTCTATCATTTTTTTGATTTATTGAAGATGAGTAAGATGAGTAAAAAGTTAGATATTCGTGTAATAGTTGGTCTAGGTATAATAATAAAAGAAATTTTTGGTTGAATTTATTTATTTATGTTTTTTTTAATCAAATTAATTTAAATTATATTATCATATCAAATATAAGATTTCGGAACTACATATTCGGTAAATATTATATTATCATCATGTTAGATGAAAATTGATACGATTAAAAATAATAATTTTTTTTTTTCTCTTTTATTGATAGGGATTTACTTTATGTCATGTTGATGATGACCTCGCAAATATTAAGACAAATAGTGAGTGGCCCGAAGAATTGGGAAGATTAAAGACTAATACGGTATTACAATATGATAATGACTTTACAGAGGTTGAATTATGGGGTAAACCAGCCTTGTGTAAGAAACCTAATAGGAAAGGAAAAGATACTGAAACGAAACCTGTAGAATTATTTAAATTACATTTGGGTAATTGTTTGGAAAAATATAAACCAAAATTACCAGTAAATTTTAAAAAAGCAATTACTAATTATCTTGGCGAAATTGGAAAGGTAAACAATTTTAAGCTAACTAAAATGAATTGAATTTCAATGTTATTAATAAATAATGAATTTTATTTTTAATTAATATAATAGTTGATTAAAGAAACTATTCCTAAATATTGGGAAGGAATTGACTTTATGGAACATGTTCTTTTAGTTGTTTCTATACCAGCTGAATTTTCAGAGAGTGATAAGGCTATAATGAGAGAATGTACATTCAATGCTGGATTGATCGGTGAGAAAAATTCGGAAAAATTGCAATTTACAACTGAACGTACGTTTATTTATTTTTGATTATGATAGTGGTTTATTATGATGATTATGATAAAATTATTAACAGAAAAATTTTTTTTTTATAAAAATATAGCCGAAGCTGCTGCAGTCTATTGTATGCATAGTAGTTTAAGAGAATACAAACTTACAGAACCTGGAAGTAAGTTTATATATTTTATAAAGTATGCTTATTATTAAATTATTTATCGTAATAAATACTAATTATTTATTTATTCATTCTTGATCAAGCAACTTTTATGATTGTTGACTGCGGTGGTGGCACAGTAGATTTAACAACACGTAAATTATTAGAAGGAAACCAATTAGGTGAAATTACTGAGCGAGCAGGAGATTTCTGTGGGAGCACTTTCATTGATAAAGAATTTATTAAATTACTTAGAAATGAAGTTGGAGAATCAGCTATGGATTTGTTTAGTGATAAACATTATGGTCAATTACAATATTTAGTTCAAGAATTTTGTCAAAATGTTAAGTTACCATTTAATGGAAATGATCCAAATTTTAATTATGAAATTGATCTTGAAGAAGCTGCTCCTGCATTATTACAATGTGTCACTGGTTCAGAAAAAGATTTAATAGAAGAGAAAGAATGGATGATTATACTTGATTTTAATACTATTAAATCCTTGTTTGATCCTATTGTTGATAGAATTATCAAAATGATTCGGACTCAACTCGATAATTCTAAAAATTGTTCAGCAATATTCTTAGTTGGAGGTTTCGGTCAATCCAAATATTTACAGAAAAGAGTCGAGGAAGAATTTAGTCGATCAGTAGATAATATCTCGATCCCAAATCAACCTATTGCAGCAGTAGTACGTGGTGCAGCAATTTACGGAAAAAGTTTAAATGAATCAAGAAACTTGGGTAAATTAAATAATTCAAAATGTGTTATCGCAACTCGCGTATTGAAACATACGTTTGGAACTAAAGTATCTCCTTTATGGGATAGAGGAGATTCATTGGAACGAATGTCATTTGATGGAAGAGTAGATAAATTTTATCGTATTGTAGAACGTAAAACTGAAGTTGCAATGGATCAAGAATTTAAAATTGAAGATTTGGTTCCTGTTTATTCAGATCAAACTGGATTAAATTTTGAAATATATTACACCAAAGAACAGGATGCTGTTTATTGCGATGAACTTGGCACGAAATTGCTTGGGAACTTACGTATTGACCTTCCTGACGTGCATTTAGGAACCGATAGACCCTGTACGCTTAGCATATCATTTGGTGATATGGAAATTAAAGCTACAGCATTTAATCAAACAAATGGACAAATTTATCAAACCAACTTTGAATTAAATGATTATTAGATTATTATTTCATGTGTTTTAAACAAATTTTAAGTAAAATATTAGAATTTTTTTTATTCCACAACCAATTCATTCTTAACTGCTGTATGATGTATTATTCTGACTATATTGGATAACACTAATATTGAATTATAAGTAACAACAAAGAATTATCAATATTATAATGTCTCAAACGAATTAATAGAACAAACAAAATAGAAAATGATTCACCTACCGAAATGAGATGCTTCTGAGAGTTAGAAAATATCTTAGGTATTGAAACATTTTATTAGTACACTAGGCTCATGGACAACTGAATTATTCTAGCAGATTTTTAATTAATTTATATATTTTTAATCTGAGAGTTAATTCGAGTATGTTGACGGTAAAAAATAGTACAAGAATTATCGATCGATAACGTCAGTTGAATTATGGAAGTGTTTGACAAGATGATGTTAACATAAGCTCGTTCTAATAACACATAACCTGGCATGAATAATCACTTAAAAAATGAGTTGAAAAATTTTTTTAATCCGAATCAGAGTTCGTCGAGTAAAAAAACCGGCGATATTAATGATTCTGAATAAAACCTTTGACTCCAGTTCATAATTTATTATATAACATATTTCTTTTCATTTCTATTTCATACTTTATAAATAATACAAACAATAAAAATTAAATATTTCTAAATTTAATAATTTGAATATTTTGCTAAACATTTTATAAGATGCTTCAATTTCTTAAACCCGTGACTTCATTCTTTAATACTTTAGTGCCGGCCGGGATAAAATATACTTTGGTCCACGTGATTTTTGGCCGGCATTATGGAACGGAGGAGATCGATCGAATTTCACCATGTTTTACAAGTCTTAGCAATTAAATTTAAAATTTTAATACATTCACTCCGGACTTACCTTGTAAAACAATTTCCGTGATTCGATTAAGTGTTTTTCCCATAAATGTACTGTACACGGAATTTGTGATTTTAAAGAATGAAAAAAAAGGATTGTTAACTAAATCGGTTATGATTACACTAAAACACTTACGGAGGTAAAAACATAATCACGGAATTATAACAATAATACTCCGGATCACCTTTCACAGTGGTCTCATTTCCTATTTTATCAAATATTCCTAGATTTATTTTGGTAAGTGATTACAATCCCAATGAGTTTAAGGTTGGTGTTAGGGTCTAGGGTCTTAGTAGATAAGGGAACTAATTAGCAAAATTTAAATTTAAACTATCTGCAATGGACATTTATTTATAACAATTAATTGTAGTTTTGTAACTTGTGAAACATTATGATACAATATAACTTTTTGGTACTCCCTAATAATTGAGATTTATATATCGAAGTTCAATGAATAAGCTTATTTTTAATGTGCAAAAAAAAAAAAAATTTTGGCGTAAAATTTTCTTTATCTTTATTCATATGACCAAATAAGGAATAAAAAAATGAAAGGAGTAAAATATCATAACCTGTTTTGTATGATATATTGGATTCCAAAGATTTCTACGGATAAATTTTCATTTTTAAATGAAGCATATAAAAAAAAAAAATTAATCGTCATGAATTTACATATAAATAAGATTAATTATTTTTCCTTTTTTTTTTCCTCAAACTTATTAACATACAAGCCGTTAAACGATGAGCGCAATATCGGATATTCGAGTTGTGGTTGGTTTAGGTATATATACAACGATAATAAATAATAAAATTAAATTTTCGGGTTAAATGTTTTCCAAACTAATTTAATTACTATATATTACATAGATTTTGGAACCACATATTCGGTAAATAACATACATTATAGAAACTTGTTTCCTCAATACTTGTATGTAGTAGCTGCATTGTAATTGCATTGTAACTATATAATAGCTGTGTAGTATAATAACTGAATAGTTAAAATATGGTAAATATGGTAAATAAGCAGTTACTACATATTAAGGAAAATAATGTTTATATTGGTTTCATCATGTTATACTTCAAAATTGGTACGATAAATAAAAAAAAATTCTTTTCTTTTTGATAGGGATTTACCCTATGTCATGTTGATGATGATGATGATCTCTCGAAAATTAAGACAAATACTGAATGGCCCGGAGAGATGGGGAAATTCAAAACAAATACAGTACTTCAATATGATAACGACTTTAGAGAAGTTGAATTATGGGGTTATCCGGCCTTGTGTAAGAGACCTAATAGAAGAAGCAGAGATAGTGAAACTAAACCCGTAGAATTATTTAAATTATTTTTGGGTAGTTGTTTGGAAAAATACAAACCAAAATTACCTGGATCATTAACTTATAAACAAGCAATTACTGATTATCTTAAAAAAATTGGAGAGGTAAATAATTAATTGACTATTTAAATATTAAGTGATTTTTTCATGTTGTAAAAACACTCTAATTTTGTTTATTTAATTAATAAAGTTAATAAAAGAAACCATTCCTAAATTTTGGGATGGAATTGACTTTATGGAACATATTCTCATAGTTATTACTGTACCAGCTGAATATTCAGAAAATGATAAAGCTATAATGAGAGAATGTACATTCAATGCTGGATTGATCGGCGAGAAAAATTCGGAAAAATTGCAATTTACAACTGAACGTATGTTTATTCATTTTTGAATATAATAATGATTTTATTATGATTGATTATGATAAAATTATTAACAGAAATATTTTTAATAAAAATATAGCCGAAGCTGCTGCAATCTATTGTATGTATAGTAGCTTAAGAGAATACAGACTTACAGAACCTGGAAGTATGTTTATATATTTATAAAATATGCTTAACAATTTAAATTAATGATTATATTGTTTACTAAATACTTTCTTTGTCTGATCAAGCAACTTTTATGATTGTTGACTGTGGCGGCGGTACAGTAGATTTAACAACACGTAAATTATTAGAAGAAAATCAACTAGGTGAAATTACTGAACGAACAGGAGACTTTTGTGGAAGTACTTTCATTGATAAAGAGTTTATTAAATTACTTAGACGTGAAGTTGGAGATTCCGCCGTAGATTTATTAAGTGATAATCATTATGGTCAATTACAATATTTAGTTCATGAATTCTGCCAAAATGTTAAGTTACCATTTTGTGGAAATAATCAAGATTTTAAATATGAAATTGATCTTGAAGAATCTGCTCCTGCATTATTACAATATGTCACTGGCTCAGAAAAAGATTTAATGGAAGAGAAAGAATGGATGATTACACTTGATTTTAATACTATTAAATCCATGTTTGATCCTATTGTTGATAGAATTATTAAAATGATTCGGATTCAGCTCGATAATTCTAAAAAATGTTCAGCAATATTCTTAGTTGGAGGTTTCGGTCAATCCAAATATTTACAGAAAAGAGTCGAGGAAGAATTTAGTCGATCGGTAGAAAATATCTCGATTCCGAATCAACCTATTGCAGCGGTAGTACGTGGCGCTGCGATTTACGGAAAAAGCTTACAAAAGTCAAGACATTTGGGTAAATTAAATAATTCAAAATGTGTTATCGCAACTCGCGTATTGAAATATACGTTTGGAACTAAAATATCTCCTTCGTGGAAACCTGGGGACCCACCGGAACGACTCACATTTGGTGGGAGAATTCAAAAATTTCACCGCATTGCGGAACGTAGAACTGAAGTTACAATTGATCAAGAATTCAAAATTGAAGATTTGGTTCCTGTTTTTGTATTTGCAACAAAAATGACTTTTGATATATACTATACACATGAGCAGGATGCTGTTTATTGTGATGATCCTGGTATGAAATTTCTTGGAGAATTTACTATTAATCTTCCTGATAAGCACTTAGGAGCTGATAGACCCTGTACACTTAGCTTATTTTTTGGTGATATGGAAATTAAAGCTAAAGCAATTAACCAAACAAATGGCCAAAATTATCAAACTAGTTTCGATTTTAATACTTTCTAGGTTATTATTTTATGTGTTTCGATCATTATTTAATTAATAAACAAGTAAAATATTGGAATCAACATCCGATTCATTCTTAAATGCTATTTTATGAAAATCTCCATTATATTTTTAGAGTTCCGAAGGAATTAATAAAATAAAATAAAATCCACCTACCGAAACAGACGCTTCTGAAGTCCTAGTAAATAAAAGTTTGATCAATCATGGGTAGTATTGAAATCCATTTTATTAGTGCACTAGGTTCAAATCGTTTCACAAATTTTGAAAACCCGGAATTTTCCTGAACTTATGTGATTTCCAGAGGAAATTTTGGGAAATTTCAGTTATTTGAGTAGTTCCTCTTAAAAATGGTATTATTACACAAAGTTTAAAATTCATGAAAATTACTTAAATAATTGAAATTCTTGCAATAATTCCTTCGGAAATCGCTAATATTTGGCCTTTTCCTACCTAATAATGCAAGAAAATTTCCGAGGATCGCAAATTTTGAAATATATATTTCTCTTTTGGGGTTGCATGCAGAGGTCGCACTATTTTGAAATAGCGATAATAATATAATTGAAGTTTTCGGCTCAGTTCCTAACACCACTCGATTTTAAGCACTATCCCGACTTTTAGCAGAAAAAAAAACAAAATAAAAGCTAAGATAATATTAAAAGACTTCCGAATTTAAGCACTATCCAGTTTTTTGGATAAAAATAGTGCTTAAATTCGGTAGTTAAATTAATAGAAAGTTGCATGAAAGAGCGAGATATATGAAAAAATAGTTTAAAAAAATCCTCCGATTAAGCTACGTGTTGACGACTTCGAACTCTGGATCCACTCTACATGTTTAGTCATAGGTATTCGTAAAACATTGGCTCCACTTGAATTTCCATGATTATTCTATGTAAATTTCTTAAAAGGTATGATCTAACCATCAGGAAGTTTTTTGCCGCTTAAGATCTTTTCATTAAGTCTATTCGGATAATTTATATTTCTTGAGGCTGGGTGAGCCAAGCTAATTAACTCGCTTTTTTTTTTCTGACCCGAATCAGAGTTTGTTGAGTCAAGACTCGAGTTAAAGTTGAAGTGCAAAACAAAAGACCGGCACTATTAATTACGTTTGATCCAGATTCTGACTAAAATCTTTGAGGTAGATTTTTTTGTCTTGAGATCATAATTTTATCATATAATAATAATAGTATGATGCGTTATTAGTTTCATATCTTCATTCCGTTTCTACTTTATAAAGATTAACGAGCAAACTTAAAACGTTTGTTTAAAAAAATATTCCAGTCCGATTTCCAGTTTGAATTTTTTGTTAATTTTATGGATAGTATATTTTCACCTATGGAACCTATGGAACATTTACCGTGACGCATACATTATATGAGATGCTTCTATTTCTAAACGAAGGATTGCTTTACGTGCCATCGCTTCTACAGCTTTAATAAGTAAATTTTCACCCATGTGAGCTAGATTTTTCATCTCCCACGTGATTTGAATTCTTAATGCCGTTCATCCCATGTGACAACAAAATACCCGCTGTCGCGTAATTTGATTAGAAAGAATAAAAATGATCGTTTATTTAAAAAAAAACCAAAATACATGTACTCTAAGACGACCAAACTGTTCGTGATTACACTAAAACATTTACGGTAATCACAGGATTCATGATAAACACATTGTAAATAAAGGGTTCACAATGGTTCCATTTTCTTATTTTACCAAATATTTCCAATTGATTGAAATGTTGTAACTTTATTGTTTCCATTTTGGAAAATAAAATTTTGGTACTCCCTATTAATGAGATTTATATATCGAAGATCAATGAATAAAAAAAAATTTTCTTGGCGTAAATTTTATCTCATATGACCAAAAAAAGAAATAAATGAAAGAGTGAAATAAAATTGTGTTGATTCAATGATTTTTACGGATAAAATAAAGTTTTTATATATGGTACTTTCATTTTAAATGAAAATGAAAAAAAATAAATAAAAAAAAAATTCCATTTTGATCAGTTCCTTACTTAAATAGTAGATAAGTGGGTTGGTTAGTAGTAATCTGTCTCTTATACACATCTAGATGTGTATAAGAGACAGCTGTACTACTTATCGTTAAACGATGAGCGCACCGGATATTCGACTCGTGATTGGTTTAGGTATAGTACAACGATAATAAGATAATAAAGTAGTTTTAGGTTAAAAATTTTTTTTCAAAGTTTCAAATTAATTTAAATTATATCACGTAGATTTCGGAACCACATATTCGGTATATAACGTACAAGTTTTGTCATTTATATTAAAATTCATGAGATAAATAAAAAATTTTCTTTTCTTTGGATAGGGATTTACTTTATATCATGTTGATGATGGTGATGATGATCTCTCGAAAATTAAAATAAATATTGAATGGCCTGGGGAGGTGGGAAAATTCAAAACAAATACAGTACTTCAATATAAAGAAGATTTTGAAGAGGTTGAATTATGGGGTTATCCAGCCTTGTATAAGAAACCTAATAGGAGAAGCGGAGGGGATGAAACAAAACCTGTAGAATTATTTAAATTACATTTGGGTAATTGTTTAGAAGAGTTTAAACCAAAATTGCCTGAACCATTAACTTATAAACAAGCAATTACTGATTATCTTAGTAAAATTGGGGAGGTAAATAAATAACTTACTCTTTAAATATTATAAATTATATTATAAGATTCTCTAATCTTATTTATTTTAATTAATAAAGTTGATTAAGGAAACCATTCCTAAATATTGGGAAGGAATTGATTTTATGGAACATGTTTTTTTGGTTCTTACTATACCAGCTGAATATTCAGAAAATGATAAGGCTATAATGAGAGAATGTACATTCAATGCTGGATTAATTAGCGACAAACGTTCGGAAAAACTGCAATTTACAACTGAACGTATGTTTATTCATTTTTGATTATGCAAGGTGATTTTATGATAATTATGATAAAAATATTAACAGAAATATTTTATAAAATATAGCTGAAGCTGCAGCAATCTACTGTATGTATAGTAGCTTAAGAGAACACAGACTTGCAGAACCCGGAAGTAAGTTTATATATTTATAAAGTATACTTGAGAATTAAATAAATGATTATGTCGTTTACTAATACTTTGTCTGATCAAAAAGCAACTTTTATGATTGTTGACTGCGGCGGTGGCACAGTAGATTTAACAACACGTAAACTATTAGAAGGAGACCAATTAAGTGAAATCACTGAACGAGCAGGAGACTTTTGTGGGAGTACTTTCATTGATAAAGAATTTATTAAATTACTTAAAAGTGAAGTTGGAAAATCAGCTATGGATTTGTTTAGTAATAAACATTATGGTCAATTGCAATATTTAGTTCATGAATTCTGCCAACATGTTAAGTTACCATTCAGTGGAAATAATCAAGATTTTAGTTATGAAATTGATCTTGAAGAACTTGCTCCTGCATTATTACAATATGTCACTGGCTCAGAAAAAGATTTGATGGAAGAGAAAGAGTGGATGATTACACTTGATTTTAATACCATTAAATCCATGTTTGATCCTATTGTTGATAGAATTATTAAAATGATTCGGAGTCAGCTCGATAATTCTAAAAATTGTTCAGCAATATTCTTAGTTGGAGGTTTCGGTCAATCCAAATATTTACAGAAAAAAATTGAGGAAAACTTTGGCAAATCGGTAGAAAATATCTCAATTCCGAATAAACCTATTGCAGCAGTTGTATGTGGTGCAGCAATCTACGGAAAAAGTTTACAAGGATCAAAAAATTTGAGTAAATTAAATAATTCAAAACGTGTTATTGCAACTCGCGTATTGAAATATACGTTTGGAATTAAAGTAACTCCTTCGTGGAAACCTGGGGACCCACCGGAACGACGCATATCTGCCGGGAGAATTCAAAAATTTCACCGCATTGCGGAACGTAAAACTGAAGTTACAGTTGACCAAGAATTTAAAATTGAAGATTTGCTTCCTGTTCTTCCATTTGCAACAAAAATGACTTTTGAAGTATATTATACTAAAGCACAGAATGCTGTTTATTGTGATGAACCTGGTATGGAACCGCTTGGAGAATTAATTATAAATCTTCCTGATAAGCACTTAGGACTTGATAGACCCTGTACACTTAGCTTATTATTTGGTGATATGGAAATTAAAGCTAAAGCATTTAATCAAAAAAATGGTCAAAATTATCAGACTACTTTCGAACTTAAAGCTTTCTAGGTCATTATTTTTTACATATGTATACCAGATACATACAATCATGAGTATCTTTTTATCTTTATTTAATAAACGAATAAATAGTGGAAATTATTTTTTTTATTTGTATTGAATGTCGAGTATCTTCTTTCTAATATTTTATTAACACAGTATATATTATTATGTTATCTTTGCAACTTTCCATTTGCCGATATCGTTGCCCGCTAGATCCCTGTAAAAAACTTTATCCGTAATTTCTGTGAATATGATACAGTTACGAAAAATAACAAAATCCAAGCAACTTGTGTTTTGAGTCTATAAATTCCGTGAATGTGATATAAAAAAATACGGAATAAATTTTTTATATGGGATAAGATAATCTTGACTTCTCTCCTCTGCATATTCATTTAATTATTTAAGTTCAAATATTATTGGAGACTTGTGGTTTATGAATTATAGTCTAGTCTCGAAATAGCGAATTCACGTAAAAATATATAAGATGACAGCAATAATTATTTAGGAGGTTCTAATTTAGTATGATTTCAGGATAAGAAATTATAAATCACGTGACTAAGAATTGGAACATCAAATGTTGAAATTTTTGTTTATTTATTTATTGAAAATACTTAAGAGCTTAAATAAACATGGTAAATTTTTGATGGGATAAAATCTCTAACCAATTCCTAAAGCAAATTACAATTTTGCCCAGTACTATCTGGTAATTTCAGGTAATTGCCCGATAATTGTTTTGCGATCGTTCTCTGTTCTATAATCATCTTGTGACTTTGTAATCCGGTAATTTGTTTTTACGTGCGTAAATAGTTAACCCAATTCTGAAAAATAGCGATAATGTACTATTACCAACAACCACTAGAATATTATAGAATATTAGTTACTATGAACATCAATATCTCCTTAGTAGAAGCTCGCAATTTTAAGTAGTATATTGTGTCCATTTTAAGATGGTACTCCCACATGAATATTATGAATGAGATTTAATAGTTCAATGAACAACTGGAACTTATTTTTAATGAGAACAATAATAAAATCTTGTTACAAGTTTTAAATTATCCTTGTTGATACAACAAAGGAATGTGATTATATCGAAAGAAAGTAATTTTTTATTTTAAAAGATAATGTTATCGGATACTATGAATTTTACATAAATATGATTGTTTTGTATTTAATAGTTTCATTCCTTTAATTATTTTAATTATTTGTAATATACATATCATTTGAACATAAATGTCGTGGTTAAAAGAAGTTCGAGTTGTAGTTGGTTTTGGTATAGTTATAATAATTAAAAAAGTTGTCTTTTTGATTTTTTTTTTTTTGTTTTTTTAGCGCTAAATTAATTAATCATGTAAATTATATTGTAATATTAATTCATAGATTTCGGAACAACCTATTCGGTAATTATAAATTTAGTTTCGAGACTTTTAGAATTGATATAATAAAAAAAAATTTTTTTTTTTATTTTATAGGGATTTACTTTATACCATGTCGATGATGATGATATCGGAGATATCAAAACTAATAGCGAATGGCCAGGAGAGTTAGGAAAATTTAAGACTAATACAGTACTTCAATATAAAGAAGATTTTGAAGAGGTTGAATTATGGGGTTATCCGGCCTTGTATAAGAAACCTAATAGGAGAAGCGGAGGTGATGAAACAAAACCTGTAGAATTATTTAAATTACATCTGGGTAATTGTTTAGAAAAGTTTAAACCAAAATTGCCTGAACCATTAACTTACAAACAAGCAATTACCGATTATCTTTTTAAGATTGGAGAGGTAAATACATAACTGGCTCTTTACATATTAATTGAATCATGTTATAAAATTCTCTAATTTTATTTATTTTAATTAATAAAGTTGATTAAAGAAACCATTCCTAAATACTGGACTGGTATTGACTTCATGGAACATATTCTTTTAGTTCTTACTGTACCAGCTGGATATTCAGAAAATGATAAAGCTATAATGAGAGAATGTATATTCAATGCTGGATTAATTAGCGACAAGCGTTCGGAAAGATTGCAATTTACAACTGAACGTATGTTTAATTTTGATTATTTTGATTATTATGAACTTATGAAAATATTAATATATTTTTAAACCAAATATGATAGCTGAAGCTGCAGCAATCTATTGTATGTATAGTAGTTTAAAGGAACACAAACTTACAGAGCCTGGAAGTACGTATAAGAAATATTCTTGATATTTAAATTATTAATTGTGTAGTAATACTAAATATTATTCATTCTTTTTTATTTGATCAAAAAAGCAACTTTCATGATCGTCGATTGTGGCGGCGGTACAGTAGATTTAACAACACGTAAATTATTAGAAGAAAACCAATTAGGTGAAGTCACGAGACGAGCAGGAGACTTTTGTGGGAGTACTTTCATCGATAATGAGTTTATCGAACTACTTAAATGTAAAGTTGGAAATTCAGCTGTAGATCTCCTAAGAGAAAAACATTATGGTCAATTGCAATATTTAGTTCAAGAATTTTGTCAAAATGTTAAACTACCATTTACTGGAAATAATCCAGATTTTAGTTACGAAATAGATCTTGAAGAGATTGCTCCTGCATTATTACAGTATGTCACTGGTTTAGAAAAAATTTTCATGGAAGAAAAAGAATGGATGATTCAACTTGACTTTAACACCATTAAATCCATGTTTGATTCAATTATTGATAGAATTATAGGAATGATTCGGGTTCAACTAGATAATTCTTCAGAAAAATGTTCAGCAATATTCTTAGTTGGAGGTTTCAGCCAATCTAAATATTTACAGAAAAGAATCGAGAAAGAATTCGGTCGATTGGTAGAAAATATCTCGGTTCCGAATCAACCCATTGCGGCAGTTGTGCGTGGCGCAGCAATTTACGGAAAAAGTTTACAAGAATCAAAAAATTTGAAGAGTATGAACAATGTAAAATGTGTTATCGCAACTCGTGTAATGGATTATACGTTTGGAGTCGAAATAAGCTGTTTATGGAAGGATGGAGATCCTTTAGATCGACACACAAGTGATGGAAGAATTTATAAATTTCTTAAGATCGTAGAATGTGATGATATAGTTACAATTGACCAAGAATTTACAACTGAAAATTTGGTTCCTATTTATCCGGACCAAACAACAATAACTTTTGATATATACTATACACGAGAGCAGGATGCTGATTATTGTAATGAACCTGGTATGAAATTGCTTGGGAGCTTACTTATCGACCTTCCCGAAGTGCATTTAGGAACTAATAGGCCTTGTACATTCTGCTTATCATTTGGTGATATGGAAATTAAAGCTAGGGCTTTTAACCAAACCAATGGGCAACATTATCAAACCAAATTCGAATTTAATACTTTCAAGGTAATATGGTTATGTTTCAAAGCACGATAATATTGATAATATTTTAAATATTTTTTAACTTGATTCCCAGTAACTGACTTTCTAAAACTTTATTATGTTTTCTTTTCAAATTTCTACTAAATTATCAATATGATTAACTTTATTTCCACAATATTGATCTTACTGTAGGATGAGGAATCGAGGAATTGAGGATCTTGGAATGAACGATAGGTTAATGAAACTTAGAGCGAAATGAAACTATCATAACAAATTCTCAAATTGGTCCAGCGCTGATTTCTCGACGGATCTATCGTTTTTAATTATGCGATCCTTTACTTATCCGTTAAATTTTTCGTAAATATGTTCTTTGATCATGCATCTTTCAATCTGAAATTTTTGAAAACCTTCGTAATAATACCTTTTTTATTTATCTATCTATCTGTTTATTTATTGATGATACGTACCTGTGTTATTATTAGTTTATCTTTATAATATTTTTAAATTACTTTTGATCTAGGTGCAATTTCCACTTCTATTTGATATAATCACTTATATTTCCTGATTTTTCTTACTTTACAAATTAATTTTCTAAGCCATTTGGTTTATTAAAAAAAATAATAGTGATCATAAAATCGTTCTACTTCGTTTCCTATATTGAATTTATTCAATTGGTATTTAGTTTAGATGAAAAATAATCGTATGATATAATTAATGATAAATTGTTTAACTAATTTTAACTTATTCGTAAATAGTTAGATTGGCATAACTGATAAACTTGATAAACTACAAATTAGACATGAGGACATGACTTTTATTAATTGGAATTAGATAATGCCCCTGAAAAAGTGTAGATCTTATACGTAGAATACACGTATCCCTAGAAATTTATGACGTACAATTTGGTAAATATTATTCTATAGCTGTTTCAGTTATATCCGGAAATTGACTTGATTTATTTATCAGGTGATTTGCGTTAAGTAACACAATTCTGAAAACAGCGATAATAATACCGAATTATTATAATTAGATCATTGTTTCCACTTTAAAAAGATTTTTGGCACACCCAACCTAATAAGAACAATAATAAAATAATGTTACAATTTTGCTAATTATTCTTATTAAAATAACCAAAAATGTAACAAAATAAAGTGATTAAATCAAAAATGATTATTTTTGTTTATAAAAATTTTAGTTTAAAAATATAATAAGAAATATTATCGGATATCATGAATTTAATATAAATATGATCATTCATATTTTTTACTATTTTCAATGTTAATAATTTTGTAATATATATTATCTTTTTGATTGAATATAATGTCGTGGTTAGACGAAATTCGAGTTATAGTTGGTTTAGGTATATATTTATAACTACTAGAAATTTTCATTTGAATTCTTTTAATACAAAATTAGTTAACTAATATTTTATTAATTTATAGATTTCGGAACCACCTATTCGGTAAATTATATATTTTAAAATTCGTTATGTAATATTAGAATTGTTAAAAGTAAAAATATATCTTTTTTTGATAGGGATTTTCTTTATACCATGTCGATGGTGAAATCGGAGATGTAAAGACGAATAGTGAGTGGCCAGGAGAGATGGGAAAATTAAAGACAAATACAGTACTTCAGTACAAAGCTGGCTTTAAAGAGGTTGAATTATGGGGTTATCCTGCCTTGTATAAGAAACCTAATAAAAAAAGCAAAAATAATGAAACGAAACCCGTAGAATTATTTAAATTACATTTAGGTAATTGTTTGGAAAAACTTAAGCCAAAGTTGCCTGAATCATTAACCTATAAGCAAGCAATTACCGATTATATTGGTAAAGTTGGAGAGGTAAATAAATAACTGACTCTTTAAATATTAAAAAATTATATTATAAAATATTCTAATTTTATTTAATTAATAAAGTTAATTAAAGAAACCATTCCTAAATATTGGGAAGGGATTGACTTTATGGAACATATTCTTTTGGTTCTTACTGTACCAGCTGAATATTCAGAAAATGATAAAGCTATAATGAGAGAATGTACATTCAATGCTGGATTGATCGGTGAGAAAAATTCGGAAAAGCTGCAATTTACAACTGAACGTATGTTTATTCATTTTTGATTATGCTAGTAATTTTATTATAAAATATTAACAGGTTATTTTTAAAATAAATATAGCTGAAGCTGCTGCAATATATTGTATGTATAGTAGCTTAAAGGAACACAAACTTACAGAGCCTGGAAGTATGTTTATATATTTATAAAAGTATGCTTGCCAATTTAAGTAATTGATTGGATTGCTTACTAAATATTATTCATTCCTGTCTGGTCGAAAGCAACTTTCATGATCGTCGATTGCGGTGGTGGTACAGTAGATTTAACAACACGTAAATTATTGGGAGAAAATCAGTTAGGTGAAATCACTGAACGAGCTGGAGACTTTTGTGGGAGTACTTTCATCGATAATGAATTTATTGAACTACTTAAATATGAAGTTGGAAATAAAGCTGTAGATTTGTTAAGAGAAAGACATTATGGTCAATTGCAATATTTAGTTCAAGAATTTTGTCAAAATGTTAAATTACCATTTACTGGAAATAATCCACGTTTTAGTTACGAAATGGATCTTGAAGAGATTGCTCCTGCATTATTACAATATGTTACTGGTTCAGAGAGGGAATCGATGGAAGAGAAAGAATGGATGATTGAGATTTGTTTTAACACTATTAAATTCATGTTTGATAATATTATTAATAGAATTATTGAAATGATTCGAGTTCAATTGGATAATTCTTTAGGACAATGTTCTGCAATATTTTTAGTTGGAGGTTTCGGTCAATCCCAATATTTACAGAAAAGAATCGAAGAAGAATTCAGTCAATCAGTAGAAAATATTTCAGTTCCAAATCAACCTATTGCAGCAATTGTACGTGGTGCAGCGATCTACGGAAAAAGCTTACAAAGATCAAGAAATTTGAAGAGTATGAATAATTCAAAATGTGTTATTGCGACTCGCATATTAAATAATACGTTTGGAATTAAGTTATATGATAAATGGGAAGATGGAGATCCACCAGATCGACTCTTATCTGGTGAAATGATTATTAAATTTTATCGTATTGTAGAACGTAAAACTGAAGTTCCATTTGATCAAGAATTTATAGTTGAAAATTTGTTTCCTATTTATCCAGATCAAACTAGATTATATTTTGAAATATTTTACACCAAAGAACAGGATGCTGTTTATTGTGATGAACCTGGCATGAAATTGCTTGGGAACTTACGTATTGACCTTCCCGACGTTCATTTAGGAAATAATAGGCCTTGTACATTTTGTATATCATTTGGTGATATGGAAATTAAAGCTAGAGCATTTAATCAAACAAATGGACAAAATTATCATACAAAGTTTGAATTAAGCGATTTTTAGATTATATTACTAATGAATTAGTTAAATTATTAATAATATGTATGCAAGCTTTAATTGTTTTAATAAATGAAATTTTTAATTGGAAAAACCATAGTTTTTCATAATAATCATTAATTGTTAAAGCGTAAGTGTATATTTTACGTTTCTACATATCACCAATCGTCATTGGAACGTAAAAAAATTCTTATTACTAAATATCACAGTTCATTCACGTGATCAATTTATTCGAGTATTCAGTTACGATCTGGATGATTAACGGATCGTCACATTTTAATAATTATATGCGCAATCAATCAATAAAGGAATAATTTTTTTCGATATTTTGTAAGTATATCAATATATACAATTTAATAAACTTAAATATCTCCTTCAGAAATAAAAAAAAAGAGATAAATTACTCATCAAAAATCGGAAATTTTCATCCGTATACTAGATAATAAAATTCAATCCGTCTGAATTATATTTCATTTTTAACATTTAGTCAATAGAATAATTCATTTTTTTGGGTCGTCCTATAATGTTAAATGTAAACCCTAATAGCCAATACATAATTTAGAATATGTAGGCATCTCTTTCCAAAAATAGATGGGAAACATTTGAACAAATTGGCTATCCGTTAATCATCCGGATCGTAACACTACATTGAACACAGTTTTATTAAAAATAAATAGAGGGCATTCATTTAATTTATATTATTATGTTATTAGACTTTTATTTCGATATTATTTAAATATTTTGATTAATATTTGAGTCCGATCCTAGGATCTATTTGAATGAATTAAATCCAGCGCTAAACTTTCATCGATGGACGCCCTCTTGTATGGTCTTTAATTATCCAATTCTTTACTTATTCACATGTGAATATTTGACACATCTTTCCATTCAAAATCTGAAGAAACTCGTAATAATTTTTGCATTTTTTTTTGAGAAGACTGTTTTGTCTTTGATTTGGATTCAATTTCTACTTCGATAATATAAACTCTTTATTCTCTCGCTTTACGAATTGTTTCCACAAAAAATGGTAATAATATGTAAGATCTTTAACTGACTTCGTTTGCAGATTGCTATTTTCAACACAATGACATTAAATTTTTTTTTTTTTTTTTGTAATTCAAATATTATCAGACGACATCTTACTAACATAAAATCGACTTTACTGACCGCTAAACAGTGTTTTCACAAAAGCTTTAGCTTAAATTAAACAAGTTACTATAGTTAGATTTAGTTAATGCTATTCTTTTTATACTCAAATTGTTCAAAATAAAAAGAAATTTGAGAAATATATAAAAAATATGTAAAGTAAATAAATATACGTAAATATATATAAAATACATAGGACTTTAATGGTGTTGAATCTCTTGAAACGCGACGATTATTAAATATTAATAAATATAGATGGTATATATATATTGTAATTTATAGATTTATTAAAATATAATAAACGGGATATTCACGTACACTAATTGTCGACCGTAGAAAGATATAGTCCGTTCCGGACTAGCTTTATTATGATCACATTCACATCATTTCGTAATTGTTTGTTGAACTATTGGTACTCAAATTTCTATAAATAGTATTCTTGTACGTTAAAGACCCATTGTTTCCATATTAGAAATGAAGAAAGGTTATTGGTACCCTTACACGAATTTTTATGAATGAAATTTAGTATGTAGTTCAATGAATAAACCTATTATCCTTACTCGTACAACCTAAAATGAAACAAAGAAATGTGGTTAAATCGATAACAAAACATGTATTTTATTTTTGTAGATTGTTCAGATAAAAATTTGATTAAAATATAATAAGAAATATTATCGGATATATCGGATATCATAAATTTTATATAAATACAGTATGATCGTTAATATTTTACTAATTCCAATCCATTAATTATTTTGTAATTTCGAACATAATGTCGTGGGTAGACGAAATTCGAGTTATAGTTGGTCTAGGTATAAATATAAAAAAAATAATTAAAATAATTGTTATTTGAATTGTTTTCAGCGCTGAACTAATCAATTATATCATAATATGAATTCATAGATTTCGGAACAACCTACTCGGTAATTTATATTGTTTTAGCACGTTAATATTAGAGTTGATATGACAAGTATAAATGTATATACATCATTTTTTTTTTTTTTGTAGGGATTTTCCTTATTTCATGTTGATGATGATGATATCGGGAATATCAAGACGAATAGTGAATGGCCGGGAGAGTTAGGAAAATTTAAGACCAATACAGTACTTCAATATAAAGAAGATTTTGAAGAGGTTGAATTATGGGGTTATCCGGCCTTATATAAGAAACCTAATAGGAGAAGCGGAGGTGATGAAACAAAACCTGTAGAATTGTTTAAATTACATTTGGGTAATTGTCTGGAAAAGTTTAAACCAAAATTTCCTAAACCATTAACTTATAAACAAGCAATTACTGATTATCTTAGTAAAATTGGAGAGGTAAATAAATCGGACTATTTAAATGTTAAATAATCTATTTTAGCTTTTAATATTCTCTAATTTTATTTATTTTAATTAATAAAGTTGATTAAGGAAACCATTCCTAAATACTGGACTGGTATCGACTTTATGGAACATGTTCTTTTGGTTCTTACTATACCAGCTGAATATTCAGAAAATGACAAAGCTATAATGAGAGAATGTACATTCAATGCTGGATTAATTAGCGATAAACGTTCGGAAAAATTGCAATTTACAACTGAACGTATGTTTATTCATTTTTGATTATGCAAAGTGATTTTATGATAATTATGATAAAAATATTAACAGAAATATTTTATAAAATATAGCTGAAGCTGCAGCAATCTACTGTATGTATAGTAGCTTAAGAGAACACAGACTTGCAGAACCCGGAAGTAAGTTTATATATTTATAAAGTATACTTGAGAATTAAATAAATGATTATGTCGTTTACTAATACTTTGTGTCTTTGTCTGATCAAAAAGCAACTTTCATGATCGTCGACTGTGGAGGCGGCACAGTAGATTTAACAACACGTAAATTATTAGACGACGATCAGTTAAGCGAAGTCACTGAACGGGCAGGAGACTTTTGCGGAAGTACTTTCATTGATAAAGAATTTATTGAACTACTTAAACGTGAAGTTGGAAATAAAGCTGTAGATTTGTTGGAAGAAAGGCATTATGGTCAATTGCAATATTTAGTTCAAGAATTTTGTCAAAATGTTAAATTACCATTCACTGGAAATAATCCAGATTTTAGTTACGAAATTGATCTTGAAGAAATTGCTCCTGCGTTATTACAATTTGTTACTGGTTCAAAGAGGGATTTGATGGAAGAAAAAGAATGGATTATTGGACTTGATTTTAATACCATTAAAAAATCCATGTTTGATCCTATTATTGATAGGATTATAAGAATGATTCAAGTTCAGTTAGACAACTCTTCTGACGAATGTTCTGCAATATTTTTAGTTGGAGGTTTCGGTCAATCCAGATATTTACAGGAAAGAATCGAGAAAAAATTCAGTCATTTAGTAAAAAATGTCTCAATTCCAAATCAACCTATTGCGGCAATTGTACGTGGCGCAGCAATCTACGGAAAAAGTTTACAAAGGTCGAGAAATTTGAAGAACATGAATAATGTTAAATGTGTTATCGCAACTCGAGTATTGAATCATACGTTCGGAATTAAATTACATCCTATATGGAATCCATTCGGTGATCCAATAAATCGACTTACAGCTGATGGAAGAATTGCTAAATTTTGCTGTATTGTAGAACGTAAAACCGAAGTTACAATTGATCAAGAATTCAAAGTTGAGGATGTGTTACCCGTTTATTCAAATCAAACAAAATTACGCTTTGAAATATTTTACACAAAAGAACAGAGTGCTGATTATTGTGATGAACCCGGCATGAAATTGCTTGGGAACTTACGCATTGACCTTCCCGACGTGCATTTAGGAACTAATAGGCCTTGTACATTTTGCTTATCATTTGGTGATATGGAAATTAAAGCTAGAGCATTTAATCAAACGAATGGACAAAATTACCAAACCAAGTTTGAATTGAATAATTTTTAGGTTACTTATATTTGTATCATTATTATTAAGTTTAAATAAATTTTAACGTTAATAAATATATATATGTAAGATTAAATGAAAGATTTCAATTTTTTCGTTCAAGACGTGCTCTATCGTAAAACATTTGTGTGGATAAGATAGACCAAAATAAACCATCGAGGTTAAATACGTATGATATCAACTAGTATGTGATAGTTAAGTTTTAAAAGCATTAGCGTTTTGAAACGATTTACTGTGCCATTGTAACTATCATTTTCATCATTACGTATCGCTTCAAATCGTAATCGTCTGAATACTTGGAAAACTTACACGTCTCATCTTTATGATTCCAGTAAAATTATTTCTAAATTCCCTACGAATTCTGTAAGCTGATTTTGAGCCTTTCATTTTCGGTACGAAAGTGTTGACAAATCTTCTCCAGATCGTTTATATTTCTCAGAAATTTCTTTGAACTGATTTAAATTCATTTATCATTGAATAATTTTTGGATTTTGGAACTTTCAGTTCGTCTTTTATTGTTTCTTTACGAAGAGCGTGATTTCCATCATGTATTTCAACACATTTAGCGTGTATCCTTCATCCCAGATAGGATGGATATTCTATTTTATCCGTGTTCATAAGTTTTTGATAAAAGATGTCGTCCAGTGTCTAAAAAGCATGTCAGCTTTTGAGTGCGCGATTTGTTAATATCAAGAAGTAATTTGGTGGTTCTGGTTCCGTGGTGCGTCTAAAATGTAATGAAGCTTTGGATATTTTTTTTACTATATATTTTACGACAACATTATTATAATCCTATTTCAGGAACTTTCTCAAATAGTACCATCAAAATTAGTGCTTTTCCTCAATTCGTTTTGGACGTTTAACAAATAAATTGAAGATTTTTACATTGCATTTTTATTATCAAGAAAACTGATTACATTTTTCTTAAAATTACAAATTTCAAGTAATAAAATAGAACACATGTACTATAATAAATATTTTATTAAATTCTTGTTATACAAATAATATCATGAAAAATTAAGTTATATTAATAATTATTCACGTTTAAATGTAACGTGATATTTTTTGCCAGTTTTTTTATTTTCAGCAGTAGCTAAAATTTCAACAGTAGTAAATGTTAAAGTAAATAAAATCGTCGTATCCTTCATGTCTTCAATACTTTCATTCTCGGGTAACTCAATCTCCCAATTACGAAGTAAACTCACTTCAGGATCATCACAATATTTTACATCTTGATTATCCGTAACGTATATATCAAAACTTATTTTTTGTTGCAATAATGATGATGGCCTAAACTCCTTAACAATCTTTTCATCCATAGATATTTGTTTCCCACGTTGTACTAGTTTTTCGAAAGTTATGACTTTTCCATCTGGAAGCTTTTGTGAAAGCGGATCAGATTGTTGCCAATTTCGTACTACATCAGTGCCTAAAAAAAAAAAAGAAAGAAAGGTTGAGTACCATGAAAATTATAATAACTATAATATACATTGAGTTATTTACCATATGTGCGTTTTAATACACGATCTTTAACAGTTTCTTCTTTAAGTCCGTATAAAACACCTAAGCAGAAGAAAAACAATAAAATAAATAAAAATTAAATGTGATTGATAAAAAACAAAAGAAAAAAACTTATTTACCTCCTTTTACAACTGATGTAGTAGGATGAGGTGGAACTGAAATATTTGGAATCTTACAAAATTCTCTTCTGATTCTATATTGTAGATATTTAGATTCACTAAATCCCCCTACTAAAAATATAGCAGAGCATTTTTTCTCACTTTTATCCAATTGTCCCCTGATCAAACTTAATATTTTATCTATAACGGGATCAAACATATTTTTAATATCTGTGAAATTAATTTCGATTACCCACTCAGAATTTTCTAATATCTTCCTTTCCTTTTCATTTATTTCCTTTACGTAATCTTTTATTGGTGGCAACAATACATCTAATTCAATAGAGTGTTGCACATCCTTATCATTGCCCGTAAATGGTATTTTTACCTGTTTACAAAATTCTTGTACAAAATATTGTAATTGGCCGTAATGATTTTTTCTTATTGATTCAATTACAGATTTGCCTACTTTTTCCCCAATAAATTCAAGAAATGCTTCATCTATACGACTTGACCCGCAACAGTCTCCTGTACGTTCAGTTAGTTCACTCAATCTTTTATCCTCTAAAAGTTCACGTGTCGTTAAGTCTACGGTGCCACCACCACAATCGACAATCATAAACGAATCTACATAACGATCAAATAAATTAGATTTTAATCGAGATTTATTTTCATTAATTATAATTACTAACCTCCTATAGTTAAATTATGTTCTAATGCCGAATTCAAACAATGGATTGCCGCTGCTTCAGCTAATTAAGAAATTTATTCAATATAACATTACACATTTTAATCATCATAAAGAAACTTATACAAGACTGCATTAATAAAAAGATTCTACATACGTTCTGTTATAATTCTGATATTATTGCTGTCTTTATCTTTCAGCAGACCAGCATTAAAAACACATTCACGAAATGTTGCAATTGCTTCATCATCAAATTCAGCGGGAACCTTAGGAATAAAAAAAAATTAATCTATTTATGATTAATAATAAATAATAAACTTAGATTTAATACTTACCGTAAGTATATATAACACGTTTTTTTCAAGATCCAAATTTTGCCAAGCCTTCTTCAAATTAGTTTTGACATCATCACCCAATTGTTTCATGAAATCTCTAATAACATTTTTATAATTTAATTTTCTCGGCAAAATAGGTTTTTCGCTTTCTTTAATTGATTTTAATAAATGTAATTTAAATAATTCAATAGGGATTGATGTAGATTTAGGTAATTTGGAAGAAGAAAAGAGTCGAGCTTTTTTAATCTTCGATCTTTCGGTTAATGCAGGGTATCCCCATAATTTAATAACACTATAGTTATCATTATATTTTATGACGGTTGGAGTTTTAAAACGGGCTTCATATTCTTTCCAACTATCTTGAACTATGATTTCATCAGGCTCTTCTTTGTGAGCATATGCGTACCCCTAAAATTTATGTGATGAATGTTATAAATTAGAAATATTTCTTAAAATCACAAAAATATAAAAATATGCATAAAATTATAAGATTCTCTAAATATATCGTCACGTTCTTACAGAGTAGGTTGTTCCAAAATCTTACAAAAAAAAAATATATATATATGTGATGTTATTAATAGAATTATTATTAAATTACGGAATTTTTAATAGGAGAAAATCATACCGATAGCAACGACCACTCGAATATCATCATCCACTTCTGACATTATTTTTTATTTTAATTATTTTTGAAATTTTTTTTTTCTCGCAACAAAATTTATGCTAGTTATATCATTTATCTGCAATATCAATTGTACAATTCCGTTGTGAAACGTTATATGCGTTATGTGGACCATTGTTTCCTTTTTAAAAAAAATTAGAAAAAAAAATTTTTTCACATCGATGAATGAACATTCAGGCTAGCATTATCCTTATCTTGATTCATATGACCAAAAACGAAACAAAGAAATGTGATTAAATCGAAATAACCTTTTAGAGAATTTTTTTACTTGTTTTCTTAAAAAAAAGGGGAGAAATAAATATGATTGATTGTATTTTTACTAATTATAATAAGTCTAGACCGGAGTTTATGAATCCGGATTCTCCGGATTTTTAGAAATAGCAAAAAATGAAGTAATCCCAACCAGATATAGATTAGTTCAAATATTTATAATACACGTGATTGTGATGGCGCAGCAAACTACACATTTTTATAGGCAAACTGAATATTATAATATAGTTATTTTACGTTAACGATAATAACAGATAAGCATAGCCGCCATTAAATAATGATTAAGAAAAAAATAAAAAAATAAAATAAGACCATAAAATAAGCTCATTTTAAAAGTTACTAGATAAATTTTATATTTTTTCGTTTTCATCATTTCCAATTACTGAAAATCACGAAAATCATCACGTCCTTCTTGTCTGTAATGTACATTCAAAAACAATATTTCGTTAATATAATTAGATAAGATGGATGTGCTGCATCAGCAAATAGAAAATTTCCAATAAGTAATAGGTATTTACCGTAAATATGTTCGTTGATCTACTTCTTTATTTTCCGAGTCCGTATAAAATACCTAACCAAAGAAAACACTATTATCACTTTTTCGTTGTATTTAAATATTAATTAAATCGATCATAATGAAAAACTGTTTTACCTCCTTTTACAACTGAAGTAATAGGGTGAAGTGGAACTGAAATATTTGGAACAATCTCATCAAATTCTTCTCTAATTCTATCTTGTAAATATTTAGACTCACTAAATCCCCCTACTAAAAATATGGCCGGACATTCTTTTTCACTTTTGTCTAATTGACTCCTAATTAAATGTATAATCTTTTCTATAACTGGATCAAACATCCCTTTAATATCCTCAAAGTTAATTTCAATTAGCCATTCTGATTCTTCCAATTTACTTCTTTCCTCTTCTTTGACATATTGTTGTATTGCTGGTAATATTTCTTCTAAATCAAATACAAAAGGCTGCTGTAAATCTAAATCTTCTTTTTTTCCTGTAAACGGAATTTTAACATCTCTACAAAATTCTTGTACAAAATATTGCAATTGACCATGATGATTGATTTTCATCGATTCAATTGCAGATGTTCCTACTATTTCGCCAACGAATTTAAGAAATGCTTGATCCACGCAACATGAACCGCAATAATCCCCCACATGTTCTTCTAGTGCGCTCAATTTCTCATCTTCTAATAGTTCAAATGTCATTAAGTCTACTGTGTTATCTCCGCAGTCGACAACCATAAACGAAGCTATTATAACAAGCAGGCAAAATTAAAAAAAGTAATATAGCAATTTACCGTTCACTAATAATTAGTTACTAACCTGGAGTTAATTCATGCTCTTCTTTTGATATTGAATCCAAATAATAGATCGCTGCTGCTTCGGCTATTTATTGATAATTAAGAAATTCACGTTATTTGAAGACTTACATAATAATAAGTATTTGGTTTTACATACGTTCTGTCGTAATTCTGAGATTATCCTTCAAAAAGCCTGCATTAAAAGCACATTCACGAAATATTTCTATTGTTTTATCATCAAATTCCGCAGGAACCTTTTCATTTGTTTAAAAAAAAAAATTATTTTCGTTACTAAATCTCAAGTAAAATCTAAATAAAATTGATCTTTACCGTGAGTACGATTAATACGTTATTATGAAAATCCAAATTTTGCCAATGACGAATTAAATTCTCTTTAATATCATCACCCAATTCTTTCATAAAATCTTTAACAATATTTTTAAAATCTAATCCATCCGGCAAAAAAGGTTTTTCCTTTTCTTTCAAGGATTCTAACGAGTGTAATTTAAACAATTCAATAGGTTTAAATGTCCTCTTGGTATCAGAGCTACCGTCAGATTCTGAGGAAGATGACTTTTTTTTCTTTTTTGGTTTTTCAATTAATGCAAGATATCCCCATGACTTTATAGTAGTATAAGAATCATCTTTATACTCTATGACAGTTGGAGTTTTAAAACGACCTCCAAATTTTTCCCAATCATTTCGAAATATAATTTCTTCAGGAAGAGATTTGTGAGCATACGCATATCCCTTAAATTTATATTATGAAAAAACTATCAATTAAGTCATTTTTAAATCATTGGAGGATTTTATAAAATTGTAAAAAATCTTACTGAAAAGTTTGTTCCAAAGTCTTATAAAAATAACATTATATGAATAAGAAGAATGTATTATTAATTAGAATTTCGTTTATCGAAACTGCAGAATATAATAATAATAAAGATCATTACCGATAGCGACAACCACTCGAATATTATTATCTTCTGACATTATTTTTGAGATTATATCTACCAAAACTACAAGATATAATTAAAAATACAGAATCATAGCAACATTATTTTTGAATTGTCGCAATCAAAAATATTTATTACAAAGATAGATATCGCTTGTTCGATAATCTGTAATATGCATGATGACATGATTTAATAAAACCATTGTTTCCATTTTGAAAGAAAAAAGCATTCAACATTAATGTATCATAAAAGTCAATGAATGAACTTATGTTTATTAGTATCAATAAGAATTTTTTGGCGTAATTTTGTTCATATAAGCAATTCATATAACCAAAAAAGGTAGACATTATGAAAAACATGATTTAGCCTATTTAAAGATTCTATAGATAATAAAGATGATCGAGTATTCTTACTAAATTAACAAATGATTATAAACTTTCCCAATCCAGAACTAAATAGTATCAATAAGATGCTAAAGAAGGCATATCTTTATACAGTGGCACATAATGCTTCTTCTGTAGAAAGCTCTGGTAGAATTGTAACACATCGCGTAATTGCCTACGCCATTTCATATAAGCTATTTTTGGTTCTTTATTTCCTTCACAAATTATATTGTCTAAAATTGATTGCTGATAATTTTCGTCAGGTTAAACAAATGTTGTTTCTGCATCGAACTTAAAGTAAGTAATAAGCCAAATTTTAGACTACCATTTTCTGTTGATAATTAGATCGGGTACTCTTATGGTGGCGTTTATTACTTTTGTAAGTTCTTACTGTTAAGCCGTTAAGGGTTAATATTTTAGATCAAAAATAAACAATACGATTCATTGTTGTATTGGAACTAATACTTACCTCTGTCCCTTTGAAATAATCAGATATTAAATTTCTAAAATTCTGTTGAACCTCTTTTTATTTATTTCAATTTAGTGAATGGTATTAGCTTAGTCGCGTTAATGGATGTTTAAGATATATTTTTTTATTTGTCCGAATACCCGAGGTTAACCAACTTCACTCCCTAATATTCATTTTACCAAACCAGAATGACGTAAAAACGGTTGAATTATTTGCCCGTTTCTACTGGTTTACTACAGTAATCCTTGGATTCGTATTTGTCGTTTGAATATCATGCTCCTTCCTAATCCTAAAGAAGATTGAAACAGATATGGATTTAGAAATACGTGTCTTTAATGGATAAACTAATCCATAATATTAACACTTTACATCGATCGATCAATGTTCGAGCACGTGTAAGAAATCTCAGAATTTTAATTTCCATTTTAATCTATTTCTTTCTTCTTTTAATATAATTGTTTAAATTTAATATTTATACAACTACCCACCACTTCACACCAGCAAGTATGCGTGTGGCGACAACAAAATACGAGTATTATAACGGCCATGTAGCTTTTGATTATCTTATCTTCTCCCGTTTGTAGCGATATTATTTCTCTAGTTCGTAGTACATTCTAGTTTAAATTTTTGACAATGGGTGGTTGATGAACCCTCTCTTTATTAATTTTAGATCTCTATGTACTATAATTCCCGTACCTACTCTTAGATGAATAAATAAAAGTGAATAATCTCTATTCATAATAATCTTTTAAAAAATATATTATTTATTACAAGTAAATCTAATTGCACAAAGATATATAATGATATTGTATGACGAAACTATTAGTAATGCCAAAAGTGTTTAGTCGTTAAACATTGGACATTATCATTAGACACACAGCAGTCACTTATGATATTAACGACATCTTCGCTATTTTTTCTTGATCTGTATAGAAAATATTTGGTCTAGCTAAAGAAAACAATTAAATAGATGAAGATTTAAGAGAATAGTATTTACAACAAAAAATAATAACCTTATACTGTATGGTTTATGCACTTCATAAAGAAAGTCAAATCATTGATTTAAAAATTGGTATTATTTCATAACGGTTGGATGTTTTTCAACAACTAGATCATATGCTAATATTCTTTGTTAAAAAATAAATAATATCAATCAATATGAAAATAAATATAACATCAACGATTTAATACAAATTTTAAAAAAAATGTTACAATAAGATATTTAATATAATCTTATTATTCATCTTATTATAAGCTGATGCACTATCCCGAATGTATGAAGATAACACTCAAATTTTATTCTTTTACAAATACTAAACCATGGAAAAGACCAGATGAACCAGTCCAAATGGGTCATTATTTCCACTTCTTGAAAGCTCATATCCTTGGAATTAACAGTATGCAAAGGATATGATGTTGGTTAAGATGATGATTTTGTGATTAATTTTAATTAACAGCGGAATATTTCAAATATATAGTTTTAATATTAAAATTTTAAAAGTCCGCGTTTTCGCGTTATCGTTACTCGTTAGAACCGGCAAAAATTTATGCACAGCGCGATCACTTGTTTTTCTGGACTTCAGCATCATTAAGATCTATCAAGTTATAAATGAATACGTTCTGAAATTTAAATTAGAATGTGATAAACTCGACTTTTAATTCAAAATTTAAGTTATAAATGACTAATTAAATAATACTACAAATATATTTAGAAAATACTGATTGAACAATTAATTAATACTTTATTTTATAATTATAATTTACGATTGTTAAATAAAAGTACGAGAATTATAGATTTGATTATGAATTTATTCATATTTGATTTCACACTGATATTTTTTACCCGTTTTTTGATTTTCAGCAGTAGCTTCAATTCCAACACCAAAAGATAAAGTAAATAAAATTGTTGTATCCTCGAGATTTTCATTCTCTGGTAACTCAATTTCCCAGTTGTGAAGCTTACTCACTCCAGGATCTTCACAAAATTTTGCATCACTTCCTTCTGTAGCATATAAATCAAAATTTATTTTTTGTTGTAATAATGACAGAGGCTTGAACTTTTTGGTGAATTTGTTATCTCGAGGTAATCTTGCACCACGTTGTGCTAGTCTTTCGAAAGCTACAGTTAATCCATTTGGAAGTCTTTCCGAAAGCGGATCAGGTTGTTTCCATCTTCGTACTATTTCAGTACCTAAATAAAAAAAAAATTAACCCATGAAAATAGTAAAAATTATAACAGATTATGATAACTAACCATATGTTCGTTTTAATATGCGATCTTTCACAGTTTTTTCCTTGAGTCCGTATAAAACACCTAAACAAAAAATAGAAATATTACTATGATTGTATACTATTAAATTAAATGAAATTAATCAAAATGAAAAACCTACTTACCTCCTTTTACAACCGATGTAATAGGTTGAGGCGGAACTGAAATGTTTGGAACAATTTCGCCAAATTCTTCTTTAATTCTAGTTTGTAAATATTTAGATTCGCTAAATCCTCCCACTAAAAACATAGTTGAGCATCCCTTTTCATTTTTGTCCAATTGATCCTTAATCAAATTTATAATTTTATCTATAACAGGATCAAACATCCCTTTAATATCCTCAAAACTTAGTTTGATTAACCACTCTTCTTCTTCCATTCTATTCTTTTCCTCTCCTGTTACGTATTGTTGTATCGCTGGTAACAATTCTTCTAAATCTAAATCCTCACCAGGGTTTGAATCATCCCCTGTAAACGGTATTTTTACTTGTTTACAAAATGCTTGTACACAATATTGTAATTGACTATAATGATTGTTTTTAACTAATTCGATTGCAGCTTTGCCTACTTTTTCTTCAACAAACTCAAGAAATGCTTGATCTATGAAGGATGATCCGCAATAGTCTCCTGAACGTTCTGTTATTTCGCTTAATCTTTCATCTTCTAATAACTCGCGTGTTGTTAAATCAACGGTACCACCACCACAATCAACAATCATAAACGAATCTATACAACGAACAAATAAAATAGATAAAATTAATAACGAACGTAATTTAAGAATATTAATTATAATTACTAACCTCCCGTAGTTAAATGATGCTCTTCTCTTGTTGTTGGATTCAGACAACAGATTGCAGCTGCTTCAGCTGTTTATTAATGAGTAAAAATTTTATTTAATTCAGTTTATATAAAAAATTTATATAAATAATTGATTTTACATACGTTCTGTCGTAAATTTGAGATTATTAGTATTATATTTATCTTTCAATAAACCTGCGTTGATAGCACATTCACGAAATGTTTCAATGGCTTTATCATCAAATTCCGCAGGAACCTTTTTGTTTATTTTTTAAAAAAAAAGAAAAATTAATTTTTATAATTAAATCAACAAGTAAATTAAAAATAAATTGATCCTTACTGTAAGAACAATTAATACGTGCTTATAAAAATCTACATTCCTCCAGTGACGTTCTAAACTTTCTTTAATATGATCACCCAATTTTTTCAAATAATCTCTAATAACATTTTTATAATTTAAATCTTTGGGCAAAAAAGGTTTTTTTTCTAATGATTTTACTAAATGTAATTTAAACAATTCGATAGGTTTTGATGAAGTTTTTGTCTTCTTTTTCTTCACTGGTTTTTCGGCTAATGCGGGAAATCCCCACGAACTAATTTTAGTATAAGAATCATCTTCATACTTTATGACGGTTGGAGTTTTAAAGGAAGCTCCGGTCGTTTCCCATTCACTTTGAACAGTAATATTTTTGGGATTTTCTTTGTGAGCATATGCATATCCCTTAAAATTTATATTATCAAATAACGAAAGGAATTGTAAATAAATCTTTAAATTAATAAATAGAGGCATAAATTACTGATTCAAATTCTTACTGAAAATGTTGTTCCGAAGTCTTAATATTGGTAAAATAATTAATTTGGATTAGATTATATTTATCAAGACTATAAAATTTGATAAAAAAAGTTATACCGATTGAGACGACCACACGGATATCACTCTGGATTTCAATTGACATGCTTTATTTTGAAATTTTTATTTTTTTTTTTTTTGTAGTCAAAATATTTCCAAAGATATGCAATAAATAAATAAATCTTATCTGCTATATCGATTACAAAAATATGTGGAACGTTCGTATTGCAATACATCAAACCATTGTATCCATATTAGAAATAGGAGTTTTGGCTATCCTCAACAAAAAGAATTTTATGAATGAAATTAGGAATTCAATGAATGAACTTAATTTTATTGAACAATAAAGAATTCTTGGCGTAAATTTTTCATATTACCAAAAAAAGAAGTGATTAAATCGAAAATAAATGCATGGGAAAAAACACGTTTTTTACCTGTATTGGATAAAAATTCTGATAAATGATTTACATAATATATTTTGTTTATATAAATATGATCGGTAGTATATTTTTTCAATCCATTAATTACTTTACTGTATATCGTTCATTTAACATAATGTCATGGACAACCGACATTCGCGTTGTGATTGGTTTAGGTACATTTATAATATTTGACATTTGAATTTTCTTTTTAACACTGAATTAATTATATATTATATATTAAATCAGATTTTGGAACCACTTATTCGGTAAAATCATGTAGTTTCATGTTAAATTTAATATGATAAGAAATTAATTTTTTTTTTTATGGTAGGGATTTTCTTTATATCATTGCGAAGCTAAAGATATCGGAGACATCCGTGTAAATAGTGATTGGCCTGGAAGGGATGGGATATTGAAGACAAATACAATTCTTCAATACAAAACTGACGAATTTAAAGAGGTTGATTCATGGGGTTATAAGGCCTTGTACTCGAAACCTAGTAGGAGAAGCAGAGATGATGAAGCAAGACCTATAGAATTATTTAAATTATATTTGGGTAATTGTTTGGAAAAGTATAGACCAAAGTTGCCTGAACCATTAACATATAAAAAAGCGATTACCGATTACCTTTATGAAATGGGAAAGGTAAATAATTAAAATATTAAATAAATAAATTATTTTTTTCACATTATAATAATCTTTACTTTTGATTGATAAAGTTGGCTAAAGAAAATGTTCATAAATTTTGGCCGGGAATTGATTTCATGGAAAATGTACTCATAGTTCTTACTATACCAGCTGAATATTCAGAAAATGATAAAGCTATAATGAGAGATTGTATATACAACGCTAAATTGATCAATAACAAATTTTCAGAAAAATTGCAGATTACAACTGAACGTATGTTTGATTATTTTGATCATGTTTATTATTTTACTGCAATGATTGTGATGAAAAAATAAACAAATAATTTTTAAAATAAATATAGCGGAAGCTGCAGCAATCTACTGTCTGTATAGTAGCTTAAAAGAACACAAACTCACAAAATCCGGAAGTATGTTTCTATTTAAATATGCTTAACAAATTATGTTTTAATAATTGTATTAATTAAATATTCTTTTGTCTAATCAAGCAAATTTCATGGTCGTTGACTGCGGCGGTGGCACAGTAGATTTAACAACACGTAAATTGTTAGAAGAAAACCAATTAGGTGAAGTCACTGAACGAGCAGGAGATTTTTGTGGGAGTACATTTATCGACAACAAATTTATTGAACTACTTAAGAGTGAAGTTGGAAAATCGGCTATGGATTCGTTAATTAATAAACATTATGGCCAATTTCAAAATTTAATTCAAGAATTTTGCCAAAATGTCAAGTTACCATTCACCGGAGATGATCCAGATTTTATTTATGAAATTGATTTAGAAGCTGTTGCTCCTGCATTATTAGATTACGTTACTGGTTCAGAGAAAGATTTGATGGAAGAAAAAGAATGGATGATTACGCTTAATTGTGATATTATTAAATCTATGTTTGATTCTATTATTGTTAGAATTTTCGAAATGATTCGTATTCAATTAAAAAATTCTGAAAAATGTTCTGCAATATTCTTAGTTGGTGGTTTTGGTCAATCAAAGTATTTGCAGAAAGAAATCGAGAAAGAATTTAGTCACTTAGTTGAAAACATCTCAATTCCGAATCAACCTATCGCAGCGGTAGTGCGTGGCGCAGCGATATACGGAAAAAGTTTATACGAGTCAAAGAATTTGAAGAACATGAATAACTCAAAATGTGTCATTGCAACTCGTGTATTAAAATATACCTTTGGGATCAAGGTATCTCCTTTATGGGAATATGGAGATCCATCAGATCGGCTCACAAGTGATGGGAGGATTCATAAATTTCGTTGTATTGCAGAACGCGAAACTAATGCTACAACTGATCAAGAATATATAGTTGAAGACTTGGTTCCTATTTCTCCGGATCAAACAGAAATGAGCTTTGATATATACTATACAAAAGAACAGAGTGCTGTTTATTGTGATGAACCTGGTATGAAATTGCTTGGAGAATTACTTATCAGCCTCCCCGACGTGCATTTGGGAACTAATAGACCTTGTACATTTTGCTTATCATTCGGCGATATGGAAATTAAAGCCAGGGCTTTTAATCAAATAAATGGGCAAAACTATCAAACCAAGTTCGAATTAAATGAATTATCTGACTTAAATGAATTAAATGGTTTTTAGAGTTTTATTTTAAATAATTAATAAATAAATTATTTTATTAATAAATATAAATTTCAAATTTTTTTATTTCAATTTCATTTCAGTTTGTACTACAGTTCGACCTTAATAATATAATCCATAATGATTTTACAAAGAATTCTTTTTTATAAGTTTTTTAAAAAGTATTTAATTAATCTAATCTACTGCATTGTATGAATCGTCGTCCGATTCCAGTTCTAAATGTACCTTAGCTTTTTTGGACGTCAAATAGTCTATTCCTTTTGTAATGAATTTTTTCCTTTTTATGAATATTTGAGCATGAGTATATATTTTACGTTTCTCCACATCTTCCAAATCTCGACCAATCATTGGAAAAGAACAAATTTCAACTTCTAAGTTATCAATGTCATCTTTATCCCAATTTCCTTCCATAATGCTTGGGTCAATACTAGATTCTGTTTTGATCCATCTCATTTGAGCACTAGGTTCTTGAACCTTTAAGCGAAATTGAAATATTCTAATAAATTCTCGAATTAAATCTGGCGCCAATTTTTCAACATAATTTCTTTTGTTTACATCTTTTATCGTACGATATGTATTCATTTCTCTATTTAATTCGGTTGTTTTCATGATAATGTAACCATGTGATGTATAGTTTTCACTTGACAAGACATCTGAAAATCCTCGATTACCAAGAGCGATATTGACTTCTTGTCGTACTTTTATTGAAGCTGCCTGAGTTATTGTGTCATCTCCACTTCGAGTTTTAGAGAAACTAACTAATTTATTTTCTAAATCTTTCGCCATTGTTGCAATCTCTTTTTCTAAATGCATTATCGAACCTTCCTTTAAATTTTGTTTGAAGTATTTTCTAATATCCTTTGTTATCGTTTTTATAATATGATGATGTAAAACTGCTTTAATTAACGGTTTGTTTGGCTGTTTGGGTGTAACTTTAGTTTTAATATTATACTTTCCCATAAGATTATTAACCGTCTTGAAATCGATCTCAAAATCTCCTTTTAATGTTGTAACGTAATTCTTTAACTTATTTTGTAATTCTTCAATATCCTTTTTAAGTTGAACAGAATGATTCTTATCGTCATCGTCCATTCGATAATTTGTCATAGTACCCAGCGCGGACTGGTATTGAGATGCTTCTTTTTTAAGATTTATATTTTTTTCTATAAGTTCTTGTTTTTCTTTTTCTTTTCTTTGCAATAAATTTTTAAGATCATTTATCTCCTTAACATATTCATCATTTTTTTTCTGAAATTGTATAATTTCTTCTAATTCGTTAGATTTGTTTTGAAAGTTACTGATTTCTCCATTCTTAACTTTAATATTAGTAGATAATTGATCATTTTGGGATTTTTCCTTAAGCTTATCTTCGAGTTGCTTGAGTTGATCTTTGAGTTTATCATTTTCAGCTGAATAATTGTCTGGACTTTTAGAAGATGTAGATATCTTATCTTTATGCTTTTTGTTTTCAGCAACTAATTCTGCAAGTTGATTTGTGAGGACTTCTTTTTCAGAACGAAGTGTTGACAAACTTTTCTTATATTCTTTGTTCTGAACTTTGAGATTAGAGTTTTCAGTGTATATCGGTGAATGATTATTTTGTTTGCTATTTTTATTTTTAAGTTTTTCATTTTCGAGGTGAATTTTGAGTTTATCATGTTCACCACACATAACTTCATAATCTGTTGTTACTTTTTTAAGATTTGCACTTTCAGTACGAAGTGTTGATGATAAATTGGTTTGTGCTTTATTAAGTCTTTCATATTCGCTTGACAAACTTTTGAGCTGAGCTTTGAGGTCACGAATTTCATTAGAATCATTTTTTTGACCATTTCTAAGTTTTTTGTTGTCCGTACGAAATGATGAGAGTTGATCCTTGAGGTTATTGTTTTCAGCTTCATAATCATTTTGTACTTTTTTAAGCTTTTCATTTTCACTTTCGAGCTGAGCTTTAAGTTTACTAATTTCGTTAGAATTATTATCTCTAAGTGATGAGAGTTGATCATTGAGGGTATTATTTTCATTGCATATGGTTTCATAATCAATTTGTACTTCTTTAAGCCTTTTATTTTCAGTTGACAAACTTTCGAGCTGTTCTTTGAGGTATCTAATTTCGTCAGAATTACTTTTTTGTTTATCTATAAATCCTTCGAGTTCAGCTGTGAGGTTATTGCTTATTTCTAAATACTTGTTATGTTCGGTACGGAGCGCCCTCAAACTTTCTTCATATTGTTTAACCAGATCTTCCTTTTCATCAAGTAACACTCTGATATTATCTCTCTCTTGGGAACATTCATTTAGTCTGTCTTGGAGGGCAGAATTTTTCTGTTCAAGTTCTTGAATCTCTTCACGAGAGGAATAATTTTCATCCACATCCATTGCATCGTTCTGATCACTAATCTTCATGGCTTAAATTTTTTTTTTTTTTTTTTTTTTGCAAATTAAAGGAAAAAAGGTTTACCATTTATTTATTTATAAGTGACAATTTAATGGTATTTTTATCACTTTACCTTATCTGTTTATCAGTTACGAAATGCATAAAAAATTTTTTTGTAATACACAAAACCAAGTTGAAACAAGTTATGTTTGTTTTCGGGTCATCAATGAAAGACCATGTGACCGACATAGCCTTACTGAGTCTGAAAAAATACTTGCAGATTACATTATTTTGATTGACGTATGATAAATTAACACGTTATATTAATAAAATATTCATGATTTTCACAATACATGCTTCAAAATTTCTATCCTCAGATAATTCAACATACTGTAATCTTTCAGAGAAACCATGACAATAAATATTTATCGCGTTACATTTAATTAACGATTTCCTTATATGAAGTTCATATAAGATAACCGAGAAAAAGAAAAAATAACTTTTTAATTGCAAATAAATATAAACTAAAAAAAAATTAATCAAAAACAAAGAATCTTTACTTCTGATGTGATGGAACCAAGTAGTGCTTCGATCCGTAGCGGTTTTATCCGGATTTTCATCCGGATTGAATTTCATTAAATTTCGCTGGCACTATGAGTTTGGCCAGAATTAGTATAAATTTTTGGGATAATAATACTTTAATGTTGGTTTAAATTATAGTCTGTTTAAATCTGAAATTCATAATCTTTCTCAGCCATAATCGTCACATGAAAATATTCAAGTTTTCATCCGGATCGAAGCACTAGAACCAAGATATTTGAAATATTTTCGCAAAAATTCATTCTATAAAATATTTTAGTTATTTATATCGGAATCAAACATTTCAATAACCTCAAATTAATTTCAAGCGAAACTTTGAGTATTTAATTATAATTACTGAATTTTGAAATTAATTTATATTTTCCCATTTATCATTATCTGATCATTCGAATAATAACAATTATTTACTATATTTAACGATTAAAAACTTTATTAAATTTTACTCTTTTTTTTTTTACAAAGAGAGTCACTTTGTTATCATCATTGTATGACAAGACTATTGTTTCCATTTTAGAAAGATTTGAAAGAATATTTATGAATGAAACTTATTTTCAAATAAGAATAATAAAAGATTCTTGGCGTAAATTTTTTCATATATCCAAAAAAGGTAATAAAGAAAATGTAGGGTTTTAATTTGCGATTTTTAATAGTTGACGTAATGGCAGTACTATATTCATCAGCAATAGCTGTAAATCAAAGATTTTTCTTATAAAATATTATTTTTAGAATCGTGAATTATAATATATATGTATAATAATTATCAATTATGAGTTTTTGTAAATATGATAGGTTGCATTTTAATTATTGTCCGGAGCGAAAGCGAAGGACAATATATGTCTACGCACTATGAAAAAAAATTGATCACGTGAGTTTCTCTGTCCTCCACGTGATCGTCACCCAATGAATCGGCAAATTTTAGTTTTTCGTTCCGGTTCCCGTTTCCTAGTTTAATATACTTACAGTACGTTCATCGCGGATAAACGAGAATTCGCGTTGTAATGGTTTAGATTATATGTAAAGCTATAATAAGTTAAGAATTTATCATTTTGGCTTTTTTACGACAAACTAATTAATTGCGTTGTATCCTTCTTAGGTTTGCTTATTATTCGGTAAATAATATACTGAATGTAGTTCCGTCATATTACGTTAGAATTGATACGATAATAAAAAGAGATTTTTTTCGATAGGAATTCTTTACATTATATCGATAACGAGCAAAATGTGAAGGGTCCAAACATTAAAGACAAATACGATCCTTCAATATGAAGTTAATTTGAAGGAGACCGACTGATGAAATATCTGTGATGGCTAATTTCTAACTACATTTCGGCATCCATAATAACTGACCTGTTATGTCATAAATTTACTTGCCATAATAAAATTTTTTTTTAGAAACGATGTAACATCTCTCTCTTACTTTTTCAGGAACGGTTCTGGGCTTTCTGTTAAGCGGCGAGATTACTTTAGATATTTATTCAAGAAATGACGTTCTTTTAGAAATGCGATTTAGTAATCTGTCTGAAGACCAAAAATTATAAATAAAAAATCTACTTTGATTGACGTTAGTTTATCAAATTGTTTGGAATTTTCATCTTTTAGAAATAATGTACTGTATTGCTTCATAAGTTATTTACAATTGAAGAGAAGTTAATGTATTTTATTAAAAAAATAAAATAAATCATGATGTAATTAATATATAGCTGACTAAGCTGAGGCCGCAGCAATTTACTTTACGTCGACCGTAAAAAAAAAATTGGAAAATAAGTCACTGTACATTCAATAATTTGTATAATCACACAAACGTGAAATTGGAAATTTTGCTATAGTCACCAACTGACCAATCTATTGCAGCAATTGTATATGACTAGCAATTTAAAAATAAAGTTTTTGTCAAAAAATCTGAAGAGCATGAATAATTTAAAATGGATTGATTATAACCGCTTTAAAATCAATCCCTTCTCCTTTTAACGTTGTGACGTAATTTTTTAACTTCCTTTGTAAATTTTCAATATATCTTTTAAGTTGATCTTGTCATCATTTATACAAAAGTTTATTATACTTTTCAGATTCGTATTGAGACGCTTTTTTTTTAAAGTTCTATATTTCCCACAAGATCTTGTTTTTCTTTTCTTTTTTTGCAATAAATTATTAAGAATATTTATCTCCTTAACATATTCTTCATTTTTTTTTATGAATTTGCCTAATTTCTTCTAATTCGTTAGGTCTTTTTTGAAATTTACCGATTTCTCCATTCTAACTTTAATGTCAGTAGCTAATCGATCATACTTGGATTGTTCCTTAAGTTTATCTTCGAATTGTTTGAGTTGAGTTTTGAGTCTATCATTTTATTAAGTATCGCTGAATAATTAATTGTTTAGACTTTTAGAAGATGTAGATATCTTATCTTTAAGCTTTTTGTTTTCTACAACTAATTCTGCAAGCTGATTTGCGAGGACTTCTTTTTCAGAACGAAGTGTTGACAAAGTTTTCTTATATTCTTTGTTCTGAATTTTGAGATTAGTGATTTCATTGTATAACAATGAATGATTATTTTGTTTATTTTTATTTTTAAGATTTTCATTTTCGAAGTGAATTTTGAGTTTATCATATTCATTGCACATAACTTCATAATCTGTTGTTACTTTTTTTAAGATTTGCACTTTCAGCACGAAGTGTCGTTGATAAATTTTCGAGATGAACTTTGAATTTATCATTTTCATTACGTATCGCTGAATAATTGTCTGGACTTTAGAAGATGTAGATACCTTATCTTTAAGTTTTTCGTTTTCTGCAACTAATTCTGCAAGTTGACTTCTTTTTCAGAACGAAATGTTGACAAATTTTTCTTATCATATTCTTTCATCTGAACTTTGAGATTAGAGTTATCATTAGATAGATTAGTAGTGACTTTTACTTTCATCGAATCTCACTCTATAAGAATCTCTGACCTTTGAAAATTCATTTGCTAGCTCATTGGAGATTCTTTTGTTATCAGCCTCAAGTTCAAAATATTTCTGTTCAAGATCTTTGATTTCTTCATGAGAGTAATTACGGTCGACCACTTCATCCATTTCCATATCATCAACTTTTGACTTGATAATTTTAATTAAAGATGGAAAATGGGTTACCAATTATTTATTTCATAAGTGACAAATTAATGGTATTTTGATCACTTTACCTTATCTGCTTATCAGTTGTAATGCATAATTTTTTTGTAATACACTACTTATTTTCGAGGACCTCGTGACTATTAAATTTAACTTTATCGTATCAGTATTGTGATAAAAATTGAAAATTGGCCACGCGGACAATCTGTTTAATTAAATACGCTCCTAAGTCGTTATAAGTTGGAGAAAAGCGAAATTTGGTAGCAGAATTGGATTTTGATGAGCTAAGGCAGTAATAAACTATAAAATTCATTTACATAAAGTTAAATCAACGCGTTCATCAAATACTATGTTCTTAATTTTTATATTTATTTCTAATTATCTATATTACTCAATAAACCTGGCAGTTAAAATTTCAATTTCAATAAAAAGTTAAAATAAATAAAATTCAGTTGTTATATACTTCGAAATTCATTCTCCGACACGATTTTCACAGTTCCCCTTTAAATCCGTATAAATAAAAAACAAAAAAATAAATAAAATTAAGACTAAATAAATTTGGCTATTTCCAGTAAGCATTTCAATTTATGCGATCATTCAATATTTTCAAACCTACAGTAATTTCAAGCGAAGCCATAATGAGCAATAAATGATTGAAATATTGATTATCCCCTGATCGGCACCATTTACACGATTATGCAATTGTAGTTATACCTACTGGGTAGCAAAATTTATATGTATTTATTTATCCGTTTCTAGGAAATTTTGCGGTAAAAATTAACTATTGATTATACTATAATGGACTGATTTGAAAATTTGAGTAATTCGGAAAGATTTGCATTTTCCAAATGAGAAAATCTTTCTTTTAATTTATTTGTAATCTCAATATTATTTTTCAAGTGTAATAGTAATAGTTCCGAAGCTTTTAAAATTCAATTATTTTTTTAAAATCTTTTAAAATAAAAAAAAAACCAAGCAAAAGAAAAATAAGATTCAACAATTAAATATACTATATTATACTCACGATATACTATAAAACACTTACTATTGTGTAAATGGCAGGGGATAAATCAATTATCTCCTGGCTAATTGGAATAGTAAAATTTTACTTAGAATCGGAACATGATCAGCCTTCGGCCGATCATTTATCCAATCCTAGTAAAATTTTACTTATTCCTAATTAGCCAGGAGATAAGTAATACTTATATTAAAATATTAAGTTAGTTTCAATATTAATCTTGGCGTAATTGTTTTTATATGAATAAAAAAAAGGAAACAAAGAAATGTGATTAAACCGAATTTTTTTTAAAAAAACGTGATTTATTACTGGTCTTTATTCTTGAACGATTTTACCGATAAATTTAATTTTATAAGCGTAATGTATAAATTTTTTACAATCTATAGCAAGCATTTTTGTAATATAAATAAACGAAATTCGCGCCGTGATTGGTTTAATTTAGGTAAAATTATAATAATTAAGGAAATAATATTTTGAACACTAAAATTAATGAATTATATTACTATATGATATCTTTCATAGATTTTGGGTCCATTTATTCGTAAATAATATAGTTTTGTCATGTATACGTTAGAATTAATATGATAAAAATATCTTTCTTTATTGTTAGGAATATCATATAGAAAATAAGTATTCAGAAAAATTGTGAATGTCTCACCGGAGGACGGAGGTATGGGAACATTAAAGATAGTAAATACGTACAATGCTAAGTTTGAAGAGGTTGAATTATGAGATTACCCGGCCTACTAATTAAATTAAAGGAATTTTCTTCAATATTGGTCAGAAAATTCGGAGACCATTAATATTCAGAAAACGATAAAGCTGTAATGAGAAAATGCGGCGCGACTGAGATGAAGTCGAACGAGTAAGAAACTTTTGCGAGGTACATTCAATTTCTTGAACGTCAAATTGAAAATAATACTAGTAGGTAATATGGTCAATTACAATAATTGATCAAAAACTTTATTAAAATGTACCATTCGCCGATGATGATCAAATTTCGCTGTTTTACTGTTTTACAGTACGTGAAATTAATATTACAATTAATCAAGAAATTGCATAGTCAACCTTTTCAACGTGCATTTTGGAACTAATAGACCTTGTATAATTTGCGATATGGAGATTAAATAGGGCAAGGTTATCAGACTAAACGATCTAAAGAGTTTTTAGACTTTGTTTTGAATGTTAATATCATTAATAATAATAATTATTATAATTTGAATTTGAGAATAGTTTGAAAATATTTTAATAAATGAAAATCTTTATTTAATCTAAATTAACATAAAAAATATCACATATTTATTCTACTCCTTCTTCGTCCGATTCCAATTCTAAATTTTTCTTATTTTCTTTGGGGATAACATTACCAAGATACGATGTGAATTTCTTCCTTTTTGTAAATACTTGAGCATGAGTATATATTTTACGTTTCTTCACATCATCCAAATTTTGACCAATCATTGGAAAAAAGCAAACTTCCACTTCTAAGTTATCAATATCATCTTCATCCCAATTTCCTTCCATAATGCTTGGGTTAATATTAGAACCCATTTTGATCCATTTCATTTGAGCACTAGGTTCTTGAACTTTTAAACGAAATTGAATCATTCTAATAAATTCTCGAATTAAATCTGGCGCCAATTTCTCAACATATTTTCTTTTGTTTTCATCTTTAATTATACGATATTTATTAATTTCTTTATTCAATTCAGCTTTATTAATGATAGTGTAACCATGTGATACATAGTTTTCACCCGACAAGACATCTGAAAATCCTCGATTACCAAGAGCGATATTAACTTCTTGTCGTATTTTTATTGAGGCTGCCTGAGTTACTGTGTCCGTTCCACTTCGAGTTTTAGAGAAATAAGCTAATTTATTTTCTAAATCTTTTGCCTTTGTTGCAATTTCTGCTTCTAAATGCATTGTCGATTCTTCCTTTGAATTTTGTTTGAAGTATTCTCTAATATCCTTTGTAATCTTTTTTATAACATGATGTTGTAAAACTGCTTTAATTAACGGCTTGTTAGGCTGTTTTGGTGTAATTTTAGTTTTAATATGATACCTTTCCATAAGACCATTAACTGCATTGAAATCGATCTCACAATCTCCTTTTAATGTTGTGACGTAATTTATTAACTTATTTTGTAATTTTTCAATATCCTTTTTAAGTTGAACAGAATGATTCTTATCGTCATCGTCCATTCGATAATTTGTAATAGTACCCAGCTCGGACTGGTATTGAGATGCTTCTTTTTTAAGATTTATATTATTTTCTATAAGTTCCTGTTTTTCTTCTTCACCTTTTTGCAATAAATTGTTAAGTTTATTTATCTCCTTAACATATTCTTCATTTTTTTTATGAATTTGCCTAATTTCTTCTAACTCGTTAGGTCTTTTTTGAAATTTACCGATTTCTCCATTATTAACTTTAATGTCAGTAGCTAATCGATCATACTTGGATTTTTCCTTAAGTTTAACTTCGAATTGTTTGAGTTGAGTTTTGAGTCTATCATTCTCATTACGCATCGCTGAATAATTGTCTGGAATTTTGGAAGATGTAGATATCTTATTTTTAAGTTTGTTGTTTTCTGCAACTGATTCCGCAAGTTGATTTGTGAGGACTTCTTTTTCAGAACTAAGTATTGAAAAACTTTTCTTATATTCTCTTATCTGACCTTTGAGATTAGAGTTATCATTAGATAGATTAGTAGTTAGTTTATCATTTTTAAGTTTTTCATTTTCGAGGTGAAATTTGAGTTTATCATGTTTATTGCACATAACTTCACAATCGGTTGTTACTTTTTTAAGCTTTGCACTTTCAGTACGAAGTGTTGTTGTTAAATTTTCGAGCTGAGCTTTGAGTTTAACATTCTCATTACGTATCGCTGAATAATTGTCTGGACTTTTAGATGTAGATATCTTATTTTTTTCATTTTTGAGGTGAATTTTGAGTTGATCGTGTTCACCGCACATAACTTCATAATCGGCTGTTACTTTTTTAAGCTTCGCACTTTCAGCATGAAGTGTTATTGTTAAATTTTCGAGCTGAGCTTTGAGTTTATCATTCTCATTACGTATTGCTGAATAATTGTCTGGAATTTTGGAAGATATCTTGTCTTTAAGTATTTTATTTTCGGCACGAGTTCTTTCTAAATTTTCTTCTGTTTCTGCAAGCTTATATGTGAGTTTTTCTTTATCAGATTTAAGTGACGACACCAATGTTCTTAATTCTTTTGGCTTAACTTTGGGATCAGAGTTATCATTGTATACCACTGAATGATTAGTTTGTTTATTATTTTTAAGTTTGAGGTGAGCTTCGAGTTTATCATTTTCTTTGCACATAGCTGCATGTTCCTTTTTAAGTTTTTCATTTTCAGTTGACAAACATTCGAGTCGAGTTTTGAGGTCATTATTTTCATTATTTATCTTTAAATAGTTGTTATTTTCATATTTAAACCCTTCGTATTCAGTACAGATCGCCTCCAAACGTTTAACCCGATCTTCACTTTCATCATGTTTCATTTTATAAGTATCTCTCTCTTTGGAACATTTATTTAGTTCATTTGAAATTCTTTTGTTATCATCTTTAAGCTCAAAACATTCCTGTTCAAGTTCTTTGATTTCTTCAAGAGAATAATTACGGTCTTTCATGGCTTAATTATTTTTTTTTTTTTTTTTTTTTGCACAAATTAAAGAAAAAAAAGGGTTACCATTTATTTATTTTAATGGTATTTTTGTCATTGTCTATCTGTTACACTAAAAAACAAGTTTACTAGTTATTAAGTGCCTGTTTTCGGGAAATTACGCGACTACATATTATAAAATTGACTTTAAAATGTATTGCATATATATATGTGATAATAAATTGAAAATTGGGTTACGAAGTAAACATGAAGTTAATTAAACATTCGATCATTGGAAAATGTCTGTTTAATCAAATCTGCATGTTCCTAATAGTCATTATAAATTTTATAAGATTGAAAAAGATGTTAAAAGAGTAATAGTAGATTATAAAATAGTATAACTTATAACGTACCCGATACTACATATAGAGGAATAACTTTGACCAAATATCAAATTTTGGCCAAAATTAACACCATATACTATTCAATATATCGAAATTTACAATTAAATATATTACCATACTATTACAGGTGATACTGTACATAGTAGAATTCAGATTAAGGTAATTTATTTAAAGTACATAAATCAATCCGTTCATTAAAATACTATGTTATTAATTTATAATTACTTTGTCGGTAGTTAAAATTTCAATTGAAAGTTAAAATAAATAAAATTGTTGGGGCAGTGAGTCAGTGAAATAAATATATTAGCTAATATTAACCCCAAAAATATTTTGTATTACGTGCAACTCAATCATTTTCTTTATAAAATGTGTAAAATTTTAAAATATTAGCTAATACTGATATGTCGCCGCTATTATATACTTCATTCTCTGATAAATTAAATATTTATCATGTTCATTTTAATACATGATTCCTTTTAAATCCGTATAAATAAGAAAATGAAAAAAAAATTCTTTCATTATCTAATATCAAGGATAAAATAATAAAACTAACCAAAAACATAAATAAATTACAATAATAATTTGGCATTCCTTTCTATTTAAATTAAAATATTAAATAAATAATAATCTTGATTATTTATTATAAATTATCAATCATACATTTTTTTTTTTTAAAAAAGAAATTTAATCAAAGAATCGCTCTATACTAACCGACTATAATAAAAAATCATAATAATATGAACCATTGTTTCTATTTTAAAAAATGAAACTTTGTACGTCATACTATAGAAGGTATAGGGAGTTAGGGAGTTTAGTTATTATCAAATGAAAAAAATTTTTGGCGTAATTGTTTTAATATAAATAAAAAAGGAAATAAAGAAAATGTGATTATTTTTTTTAGAAAACATTTGCATCGATTCTTGAAAGATTTTATCGATAAATATATTTTTTATACAATATATAGAAATGGATTGCATTTTTACTAATATAATTTTTGTTTGTTGAACAAACGTAATTTGCGTCTTTTAGGTAAAGTTATAATAATTAAATTATTTTATACTTCTAACACCAAATTAATTAGTAATTACATTATATCCCTTCGTAGGCCGTTTATTCGATAAATTATATATTTCGCTATGTCTAATATTTTTTTTTGTATCATATCATGCTAACTTTGATTATGAGCTACCCGGCCTAGTACTACTAACTAGGAAGCGGAAACCGTTGTAAGTCCGGAACGAAAAAAAGATAAAACTCCGATTTGCGATTTCATTGGATGTCATCACGTGAGGGACAGAGAAACTCACGTGAACGATCATTTTTCATAATGCGTACTCTAAAATTATTTAAATTCCATTTGGATAATTACTTACTTAATCAAAGTTACCTATAGATTTAATAAAGAAATTACTGGTTATCTTTGTGAATTGGAAAAGTCAATAATTAACTGAATTTTCAAGACTGAGTAAATTATATTTCACGTTTTTATCTTCAATACTAGTCCGGAATTGACTTCATGAATATTCAAAAACCGTCTACCGAGGCGTTAGATTTAACATGAGGTTACGTGGAATTGGAAATAAAGTTGTAGATTTATTAATGATAGGTATTATGGTATTTGGTCAAGAACAAGAGATTGTAAAAATAAATCCGGTTTTATTTTTAACTTATAATATATCCGGTTCCTTCAAATCCTTCGGATTTATATCCGGTTTTATTCGAATTATCCAGATATAGTAAATCCGGTTTTCTTCGATTCATCCGAATTTATTATATCCGGTTTCTTTCGATATTCGGATTTAAATCCGATTATCGAATACTGAATTTTAACCTCTATCAAGAACCTTATTAAAATATAAAGTTACCATTTCACATTTCGCTGTAAATGAATCTTAAAGAAATCAAGTCATTCACTATTACATTATATTGCTGATCAGAATAGGAAACTCTTAAATTTTGCAGCGTTATCAACTCCCGCACGTGCATTTGTGATAATGTGGTGTGAAAATTGAAATTAGGGTTAAATTAAACGAACTTAATGGTTTCTAGATTTTATTTTGAATATTACTAATAAATTACTTATTCGAATATTCGAATAACTCTTTTATTGATAAATATATAGTACGTAATAAAGTTTATAAATTTTTTATATATTACGATAATATATGATTTGAATTTTCGTTTTTATTTAATAAATGAAAAATTCTTTATTAACAGACAAGTAAAATTTTCCATGATGTTCCATATAAAAAATATCCCTCAATATTTTAAATAGGATAAATTGAGGGTGTTTTAATCAGATACATCATCGCCCGATTCCGGTTCTAACTTTTCTTTAATTTTTTGTGATGACCAGATGCTAAACCCTTCATTATACGATGGATATTTTTTCCTTTTTGTAAATACCTGAGCGTGAGTATATATTTTACGTTTTGCCACCTCATCCAAATCTCGACCAATCATTGGAAAAGAACAAATTTCAACTTCTAAGTTATCAATGTCATCTTTATCCCAATTTCCTTCCATAATGCTTGGGTCAATACTAGAACCTATTTCTACCCATCTCACTCGAGCACTAGGTTCTTGAACCTTTAAGCGAAATTGAATTATTCTAATAAATTCTCGAATTAAATCTTCCGCCAATTTCTCAACATATTTTTTTTTGGTATCATCTTTAATTTTACGATATTTATTCATTTCTCTATTTAAATCGGATTTTTTAAACATAATGTAAATATGTTGTACATAATCTTCACCCGATAAGTAATCTGAAAATCCTCGATTACCAAGAGCGATATTAACTTCTTGTCGTATTTTTATTGAAGCTGCCTGAGTTATCGTGTCCGTTCCGTTTCGGGTATTAGAGAAATCAGCTAATTTATTTTCTAAATCTTTTGCCTTTGTTGCAATCTCTTTTTCTAAATGCATTATCGAATCTTCATTTAAATTTTGTTTGAAGTATTTTCTAATATCCTTTGTTATCGTTTTTATAATATGATGTTGTAAAACTGCTTTAACTAACGGTTTGTTAGGTTCTTTGGGTGTAACTTTAGTTTTAATGTTATACTTTTCCATAAGGTCATTAACCGCCTTGAAATCGATCTCAAAATCCCCTTTTAATGTTGTGACGTAATTTTTTAGCTTATATTGTAATTCTTCAATATCCTTTTTAAGTTGAACAGAATGATTCTTATCGTTATCGTTCATTCGATAATTTGTAATACTACCAAGTGCGGATTGGTATTGAGATGCTTCTTTTTTAAGATTTATATTTTTTTCCATAAGTTCTTGTTTTTCTTTTTCTTTTCTTAGCAATAAATTTTTAAGATCATTTATCTCCTTAAAATATTCATCATTTTTTTTCTGAAGTTGTATAATTTCTTCTAATTCATTAGATTTGTTTTGAAATTCACTGATTTCTCCATTCTTTACTTTAATGTCAGTTACTAATTGATTATACGATTTTTCCTTAAGTTTATCTTCGAATTGTTTGAGTTGAACTTTATTTTCATTTTGTATTGCTGAATAATTGTCTAGATTTTTGGAAGTTGCAGATATCTTATCTTTAAGTTTTTTGTTTTCATCAAGAGTTTTTTCTAAATTTTTTTCTGATTCTGTAAACTTATTTGTAAGTTTTTCTTTGTCAGAACGAAGTGTTGACAAAATTTTTCTTAATTCTTTAAGTTGCTGGGCTTTGTCATCAGCGAATACCTCTGAGTGACTAGTTTGTTTATTATTTTTTTCATTTTCGAGTTGAGTTTTGAGTTTATCATTTTCTTTACATATATCTACATAATCGGTTTGTACTTTTTTAAGTCTTTCGTTTTCAGTGCGAAGTGTTGCCAAATCTTCTTCGGATTTACTGAGTCGAGCTTGCAGTCTTGTAATTTCTGAATCATTTTCTTGCGAATTATCATTTATAGATTGATTATATTCACTTTTATCTAAATCCATTTCAGTTTCATAATTTAGTGAAAAATCATAATATGAACAAATATATATATATATATATATATTTTATTTTTTTAGGAAAGAAAGAGTTAAATTTTTGATCAACACACATAAAATGAAGTACTTTTATCACTTAACCATATCCGTATAAACCTGTTCTTGACCAGAATCAATGACAAAATTTGTAACCATGTGATCGATTGACTGTTAAGACATTAGATGGTTCACAAACACCTGGTATTAAACATATTTTTGGTATCAGATATTGAATTTGTAAATCCTTAAATTATTTCCGTGAAAAAAAAAACCTCATTTAACAACATAAAATGTCATTTCATTGGGTAACTTTAAGTTTTTAAGAATTTTATTACATAATTATTTAATTCTAATAAATATATTTAATATATTCAGAATTAAGAAATCTTTTTAAAACTATTTTTAAAAAAAAAGCAAAATAAAATAAATACAGTAAAATAAAAAAAAAACAATAATATAATCGCGTTTCTTTTCCGCACAATTAAATTTATGAATTACAAAATTGCTATATAATACCTGGGCCACAAGCGACATGTAATTTATAATAATCAGGCAGATTAATAAATCCATAATAAAGAATATCATATATGAATTAATAATCTATGCGAATAGCTATCTTACAATATGTACTATTTATTATTTCCAAAATATTTAATTTTTAAGAATGAAAAATAGAGAATAGTCATTATATTTTTAATCAAGAAATTCTTGGAGTAATAAAATTATTTTATTATCTTTTATTAATATATACAACTAAAAGAAATTGTGATTGAATCGAAGAAACAATTTTTTTTTTTTTTGGAAACACGTTTTTATCTATATTGATTTTTGAAAAGATTTTACTGATAAAATTTATTTTCAAATTCATAAAATATATGTATGATAATTAACAATTATGAGTATTAGATTGTATCAATACAGTAACTTATTTAATATACCGTACTTAACGTTCGATCGCGGAAAAACGAAAATTAGCGTTGTAATTGTTTAGGATTTTAATTAGGTAAATTTGTAATAAATTAAGAAATTATCATTTTGACTTTTTTACTCAAACTAATTAATTGCATTGTATATCTTCTTAAACTTTTGGATCATTTGTTCATTCGGTAAATAATATATTTCCGTAATGATTCCACTAAAGTGACCTATACTTGCTTGGGAGGCAACAAATTTTCTTATATCATTTGATGATAAGAAATTGGTCCATTTAATCAAATAAATGGACAAAAATTATCAAACCAAATTCGAATCAAATGAATCAAATGAATTGATTTAATGAAAAATCATCTAAATGGTTTTATTGTCTCGATAATCAATAGTATAGGCTCATTAGAACAGGACGGGGTGTTTTTCTTGGAAATGTTTTATGTTTACGTAAAATTTATTTTTTATAATAAAACACTGCTCCTCATGAGGGTGAACTTAAAAAAAAAAAAATAGTAATAATTTATAGTAGTATAATCTTTATAATTTTACAAAAGAATAGTTGAATTTATTTGAAGGTATAACAAATGGAAATTCTTTATTCTATCTAATTAACAAACCAGTAAAAGTATCACAATATTTCATCATCGTCCGATTCCTGTTCAAAATTTCCTATAGTTTTTGGCGTCCGGATGCTACATCCTTATTAACATTACAGTAAATTTTTTCCTTCTAATGAATACCTGAGCATGAGTATATATTTTACGTTTCTCTACATCATTCAAATCCTGACCAATTATTGGAAAAGAACAAACCTCCACTTCTAAGTTATCATGCTTGTTCTTTAAGATTTATGATTTTTTCTATAAGTTCTTGTTTTCTTTTTCTTTTCTTTGCAATAAATTATTAAGATTATTGATTTCCTCAATAAATTCTTCATTTTTATAATTTTTATACTGAAATTGGCGAATTTCAGAATCCTTTATCTATGGATTATCTGATGCATTTTCATTATTTGCTATATTTGAGCTAAGATTTGTTCTAATTCATAAGATTTTTTTTGAAATTCGCTATTTTTAACTCTAATATCAGAAATTAATTGATCATACTTTTTGGATTTTTCTTTAAGTTCATCTTCGAGTTGCTTGAGTTGATCATTGAGTTTATCATTTTCAACTAAATAATTGTTTGGACTTTTAGATGTAGATATCTTAAGCTTTTCGTTTTCAGAAACTAATTCTGCAAGCTGATTTGTGAGGATTTCCTTTTCAGAACGAAGTATTGACAAATTAGAGTAATCATTATATACCGTTGAATGATTATTTTGTTTGCTATTTTTATTTTTTAGTTTTTCATTTTCAAGGTGAATTTTGAGTTTATCATGTTCACCACACATAACTTCATAATCGTATGTTACTTTTTTAAGATTTTCACTTTCAGTACGAAGTGTTGTTGATAAATTGGTTTGTGCTTTATTAAGTCTTTCATATTCGCTTGACAAACTTTTAAGCTGAGCTTTGAGATCACGAATTTCATTAGAATCACTTTTATTACCATTTCTAAGTTTTTTGTTGTCCGTACGAAATGATGAGAGTTGATCCTTGAGGTTATTATTTTCAGCTTCATAATCATTTTGTACTTTTTTAAGCTTTTCATTTTCACTTTCGAGCTGATCTTTAAGTTTACTAATTTCGTTAGAATTATTATCTCTAAGTGATGAGAGTTGATCATTGAGGGTATTATTTTCATTGCGTATAGTTTCATAATCAATTTGTACCTCTTTAAGCCTTTTATTTTCAGTTGACAAACTTTCGAGCTGTTCTTTGAGGTATCTAATTTCGTCAGAATTATTTTTTTGATTATCTATAAATCTTTCGAGTTGAGCTGTGAGGTTATTGTTTATTTCTAAATACTTGTTATGTTCGGTACGGAGCGCCCTCAAACTTTCTTCAGATTGTTTAACCAGATCTTCCTTTTCATCAAGTAACACTCTGAAAGTATCTCTCTCTTGGGAACATTCATTTAGTCTGTCTTGGAGGTCAGAATTTTTCTGTTCAAGTTCTTGGATTTCATGAAAATAAAAAAGTTCATCCAAATCCGTTGCATCGTCATGATCATTAACCTTCATGACAATTTTTTTTTTTTTGCGAATTAAAGGAAATCAGGTTTTATTTATAAGTGACAATTTAATGGTATTTTTATCACTTTACCTTATCTGTTTATCAGTTACGAAATGCATAAAATTTTTTTTTGTAATACACAAAAACCGAGTTGAAACAAGTTATAAATGTATAAATGAGCTTTGTTTTCGGAAGGCCGTGTGACCGATATTCGAGACGAGCAGATTATTTAACACGTGCATATAATAAAATATATGGAATACGTTAATTATATATTTATTAATAAAAATGGTGAATAAATGTGTATCTCAACCTCCTGAAACGTGTAAAAAATTCTTAATATAAAAAATACAAACTTTTTTAAAAAAATGTGCAATATGTGTATTTTTGCCTGCTTAACATCAAAGGTGGTTTTGAATGTCATTTTTGACTTTATGATTTTCAGGATTTTTTTTTGGTTAAATCACATGATATATTTAATTCTGGCCAGAATTAAATGATCGGCACATAAAAGTATCCCTTTTTGAAAAAAATTAGGCATCACACATAGTGAGAAGATTTAGATTTGCCCTATTTTTATTTTAATAATTTTTGAAAAAGTTATTACAAAAACTTCTATTCTTCAATAATATAAAATAACTGAAAAACTTTTTTAATTGTAATTAGCTATAAATAATTAAAAAAAATTTATTAAAAATAATAAAACTTTACCTTCTGCTATTTCTGATATATAATTCATTTTATAAATAATTAATTTATCTATAATAGAATTGAATATTTTAATATTATATTCAAAATTAATTTCAAGGAAAAGTACAATATAATCATGAAGTTTTTATATATTATTTATTACTGTAAATTTAGCTAATTAAAGTAGGTATTTAATAAGTAATTATAAAAGATAAAATTATAAAATTAAGTTCACATCTAAGCTTATTACACTTTTAAATGTATTAAAAAATAAAGTTAATTTAAAGATTATAATAAATTTGGAAAAAAAATGCTTAAAATACTAAAGTATATTTAAAGCTAATAAAAATATACAATTAATTAATAAAAATTTGACAATTATAGTAAATCAAATAATAATGTACAATTTGATATAATAATATCTTTATAAGAAATATTTATATTTAAAATATACTTAAAATTTTATATTAATTTGCAATATACTTATAATATATTTATTAAATTAAAATAATTTTTTACTCTTTAATCTAGTTATCTAAAATAAAAAAAAATTATAAAAAAATATTTCAATTTTTTAAATAAAAAATATTATAATATAAATTATTAGTATAATACTGTATATTAGAATCCCAAATATTTAGTATAAAATTTCTAATTAATTTTTTGCTAAAATTGATACAATTTAATCTTTTTTTATTTTTTATTTTTGCAATTATTTTAACATCTAATAATCTAATTTAGATAAACTTTTTTATTTTATAAAACTTAACATTAGCTATAAACCAATTAAAAAAAAAGTTTATTTAAATTGTTAAGAAAATTGTAAAAAACTAACTTTTTAATTTTTAAAAAAAAAGGTACTGTAATTTACTCTAAATTACTAGTAGTATCAGTTCAAGACCCTGCTTACTTATAAGATAGGTCACCCCTAGGCCTAAGGTAAAAATCATATATAAAATTCTTTGCAGATTCTACTATAAAAGGAAATTTTATGTTACATTGTTATGATTTTTTTCCTTTTTAGCTAATTAACCAATAGAATTTAAGAAAAAAGCAAGGTAAAAACTATTAGTAAAGACTACGGTGACCTTTATTATAAGTAAGCGGGGTCCTATCAGTTCGTTAGTTTTTGTAATAATAATAAGCATTAGGTGCAACAATCCTATTTAGGTTGTAATTATATACTTAGAGAAGATATAGTTAATTCAGGATCCCAGATATCTAATATAAAGGTCATAATGGACTTTTGGCTAAAAACACCCCTTTTTACTGAAACTCAAAAAATCGTTTTTT